AGGAGGAAAAGGGCAGGAGTCTTGTGGCGTATTGGTTAGAGCATTCACTTCACAAGTGAGAGGACCCTGGTTTGATTCACGGAGAGGGCGAAGCCTTGGGCCAGTTTCCTTACTGCACACACTTCTGTTTACCTAACAGTAAATAGGAACCCGGTTGTTAGTCGATTGGCGGATCGCTTTCCCGGGATAATAAACCCTTAAAAAAAACTGATCACTCAATCCATGGCTGTTTGTGAGACGCTGCTGTGTGCAATTGGCTGCCGTATTTCCCCCATAAACTATACAATGAGTTCAGTTTACAGTATATTCCGTGAAGCGCTTTGAGATGTCTTAATGACGTGATAAGGTGCTATATGTAATACAAGGAATATTATTTTTAATACAATGAGGACAAGCATCGGAATCTACAGCGCAGAAGGAGGCCATTCGGCCCTCAAGCCTCTGGCAGAGAATGGGAGGAACATGCACACACACACTTTAAAAAAAAAGGCAACGTGCGAGGGGATAAAATAGCTGCTGTGATTAAAGAGGCTGAAGAAAATGCTGACAAAAAACAGAAATTCAAAAAGACTGCAGCGATCTGACACAGAATCAACACTGACCTAGATTTGTGAAACTCAAGTGCTCGGGGGACTGGGTGTGGCTTAACGAGCGGTGATCTGTTGTGTGAGCAACATTCCCTTTGCCTTGACTTTATGCAGCTCCAGAAGATGCCTCTGGTGGTGAACGCCAGCCCGGTCTCAGCACAAAGATTGCATTGGTGATCACCAGCTCAATAACTAACTCCCGGGTTGGCGGGATCAATAAGCTTATCTTATAAAACTAGACATGCAGAATGCTGCCACTGTGTTTTGTTTATGTAATCTCTTCTCTTGCCAACGGAGGGTCGGTTTGGCTCAGCCCTGACAGAAAGGTTTATTATTGTGATGGTGAAAGGAAAACGAGAGAATGAGAAAGAAAGAAAAGGGGCAGCTCCATAATTTACTGCTGCCAAAGGAGGCCGGCTGCGGGTCTGCTCACATAAATCTCAGCTTTAAAGCAATTCACTGACTTGTAGAGAAATGAGTTTTGTTTAAATACTGCAGGCGTAAGCATAAGCCCATCCATTCCAATACTGCGCTATAGCACCCTCTATACCCTTAGGGATCCATAACACAAACATATTGCAGGGTAGAGGCAGGTGAGAGGAGGGTGGGGGGGTGTTGGGGTGCAGGAGGAGGAAGGTACAAACATAGAAATCTACAGCACATAAGGAGGCCTTTCGGTCCATCAAACCTGCAAAGCAAGGACATTGCTTCACATCCATCTCACTTTATAATAATAATCCTTTTATTTTATATTCTAGTCTGTGAAGCGCTTTGAGACATCTCAAAGACGCGATAAGGTGCTATATCAAATGCAAGGATTATTATTGCTCAGTGTGTCAGTCACTGTGTGTGTGTGTGTGTGTGTGGACATGTGTGTAACTGAGGTGGTTTATAGTGGAAACATTGTGGCCGCACTTTTTTTATTGGCTCAAGTTACTGACTCCTCATCAGTAGAAATAACTTCTATTTATTTATTTACCTGATAGTATTGTCCACCTCAAGAGCAGGTCAAGGAGACATGTGCTCCCAGGATGGGAGAGGGCTAATTAAAGGGGAGAAGGCCCAGCAATATCAGTAGGATTATGGTTTGGCTGTAATTTGCTTCCAACACGCTGGTTTGTCAGACGCATTCTGATATGGGATAGCTGGAAGCCTTCAAGAGACGCTGAAGGCAGCAACACCAACTAATTAGCCTGTTGTTCTGAGTCGCTCATGGTTCATAAGGACAAGCATCCTGCAAGCCACATCGGAATGGGAATAGCTGAAGAGATATGACAGCATGTCTGTATCAGACGAAGCACAGATCCTTTTATGTTAGGCTCTCTCTCTGTCAGGTGCCTGATTTGCCTCCCTCGCCTTGACATGACGGGATTCAAAGGTTACGATGGGGCACAACAAGAAACAAGCAACATCTGAATTAACATTTTGTAAAGAGCATCATGCGCTCGCTGGGGTATATTAATATATTAACGAGGGTGAAAAAACATTGGTAAAAAACTACAAAGGGTGAACAGCTTCAGCTGTCAGTTTGTGTAAGTGATAAACAGAGTAGAAATGAGTTCACTTTCTGCCTGTGGTGTACTGTGAAGGTGCAGACACACCAGTCCAGTGTAATTAAGGGAATAATTGGCTGAAGGTAACTCCGAGGCTGGGTTGCGAATTCTGATGCAGAACAAATAGCTCTATTGTCAACAGCAAAACCAAGGCTTATGTCATATTAAATTAGCTCCTGGAAGAAATTCAATCATTTATATACAGCACTCCTGTGGCTCAGCGTGCCAAGATAGTGGAATTCTTGTTTCAAGGTTTAATTTTAAGTGTAATTTTAATGGGCCAGCTCTCCAGCGCTTTAAAAAGATAAGCCATGATCACATAGAATGTCAGAACAGGCTGAAGGAGCTGAATGGCCTCCTCGCATTCCTATGAAAGAGAGAAGAGGCAGAGGCATTACGATGGGAGCATTTGGCAGAATGCCATTCATTGCTCCGGCACCCAACTTAGTAACATGTTTCCTCTCAACACTCGGGGCAGAAGGGAAACAAGTCGTTATAAATTTATCTTAAGACACAAATGGTTGAAATGATAACAAGGTATTGGGGCAGTTGCTGGCTGTCACAAAGCCAGATGTAATTACAGAATACGCCAATGAGTGAAATGTTACCGTTATCAGTATTTACTCGGTACACAAATCCCAGCGAGGGCCGGTGTGATCAATGTTGAGCGGTGTCAGCCACATGACCCATTGATACCGTGTTTGCATTAAGTCCCAGGCGTCATCGCAAATTGAATAAATCACATCTTGACTCGTGCCGCAGGGAAGCCTGCAGCCGCGCAGTGAAATGTCAGTGCTGCAGCTGAATGAATGCAATTTTGTTCTGAATAATTATCCATTTCAGTCTCGGGGTGGCTCACTCGGACTACCACTTGTCACAGTCCACAGACATTCAGACGAACAACGGGGGCTCAAATCTCTGTGGAGTAGAAAATCCACCTGCATTGAGATTGACTATTTTGTTAGCATTTCAAAGTGTGTAGATTTAGTAAACTCTTAAAATTCTGAGCCTGCTTTTACAACCTTACGGCACAAGAAGAAAGCTGTTCGACTCATCATTGGGTGTCAGCCTGGCTCAGCTGGTAGCGCTCTCACCTCGGAGTCATACAATTCTGGGTTCAAGCCACACGTTGAGACTCAGAACTCATTCAGACTCAGAACTCGTGTAGTCTATGTTGTCACTCCAGTGCTGAGCTTGTGCTGTACGGTTGGAAGTGCCGTCCTTGGCATGAGATGTTAAACCGAGGCTCCACCTGGCTTTTCGAGAGTTTGTTAAAGATTTCAAGGGCTACAATCAAACCTGCCTTCACAAATCTCAGGAGACTGAGCCGTCTCCTTTCAGAGCTATCCTTTCAGTTCCATTTTCCTGTCCTTACCCCAGACCCTTGAAGTTGACTCCTTTTAAGGTATTTTCTAGTTCCCAATATGGATTCTACTTTAAGCATATCCTAACTATTCCATATGTCAAAACATTTCTCCTAACCTCCCTCCCCATTTGCTCATTTACTGACCATCTTAGTTTGATGCCCTCTGGGTTTCTATAATAACTAAAGAAAGACGGCTTCGAAGTTAAGACTGAATTCAACAATTTGCCAAATTCCGCACACGTTGAAATGTTAAGAAAATAGCGTTGACCTCCAGACCCAGTTAGAATTCCTCCCCTACATTTGCAACAGGAAGTGGCAAACAGTGACTCCTACTGGTAACTGGGAATGTGTCACACTAACTCCAACTCCTTAATTAACGCTGCATTTGTGATTCCCGGTTCCAAATATCACATTTTCATCCCCCAAATCACTGATGTCACTTTGTGAAATTATAAGTAATTTTTATATAAACAGACTTGATTCCTGAGCGGCTACGGGTGAACTCATGCTTCCAATTGTTTTATTAATAATAATAATCCTTGCATTTGATATAGCGCCCTTCCACATCTTCAAGACTTCTCAAAGCGCTTCACAGAATATACGGTAAAGTCAATTGACTGTATATTTTGTGGGTAAAATGTTTCTGAAGGGTTAGATTGTAATTCTCCACTTCAGATGCAGTTGCGATTCAAAGGTTTTCGGTTGCTAATCTACCTTTACAAAGATCTTCTGCCCAATCACGTGTGGTGCAGCTTTAGTGCACTGATGGGAAAAATCCAGCTCTTCAGATTCCTTTTATCTCTTAATTCAGCTAACCAATTTTCTCGTTTTCCGACTGGTTTTTATCTCAGTCTCCAATGCTCAAGTGTTTGGAACAAATCCCCGAGGGAAGGAGTTGGTAATAGTCTTGTGGATGCTTTTCATAACCCTCCTAAAGCAATAAGAAAGCTCAATACAGCACTTTTCCCTCACCTGACAGTTCTGTGGCATATTGGTTACAGCATTCGCCTCGCAAGCGATCGGACCTGGGAATCCGATTCCAGGGCAGGGTGAAATGTTGGGCAAGTTTCCTTACTCTACACGCCTCTGTTTATCGCGGAGTAAGTAGGAGCCCGGTTGATAGTTGATTGGCGGATCGCTTTCTGAGGGTAATAATCCCTTAAAAAAATAATATTAATAATTTGGTCACTCAATCCTTCATCAGAGAATTATGTAACGCTTTTAATCTGGCCCTACATTCTCAAGCCTTCCAGTTACAGCTTACTTATTAAAAACTTTATATGTGCTTCATTTATGCCTCCCCTTCACACACATGCTGCCAGCCAGGCTGAGGTAAGAGACAGAAAAGAACCACCAAGCAAGCCTGATGTCATGCAGGAAGCCTTGAGCTCGCAATCCTCGGAGGACTGTGCCCTGACTCTCATTAAGCCAACTCAAAACTCGCTGAGTGATTAAAATATGCAGGTACAGCATCGTATCGAGGCTCATTACAAGTCGAACTTGTAGCTCTTTATTAAGAAAAGTTAGAAGATCAAAATGCAATACAACAAAAGTTTTGCATTTCTTTTCCTCACTTAATTGCAAACCTTTACACCTATTGAAAAGTTTGTTCAGATAGCAAAACACTATCGCCCTTAAAATATGTTGCTTTGCAAATAAAGTGCTTTGTTTTGTTCCCAACGTCAACAATAATGTCACCAGTTAGTACATTAACAATGTGAAAATGCTTTTTTTTTTGTTAGTCTTCAGATCTGCAGGAGCATCGCCACTCCTGCTAGGACCCACTTGGCAGATCTCTCCTTGGTCTTCAGATTGAACGTCCAGACATAGGTCGGGCCCCGTTGAGGTGTCTTGTAAACAGGGCAGGGGTACATGTTCCGTGTGTCCTGCTTGTCCACGGGAATAGCTTTGATGAAGATGACTGGCATCGCCGGAGTCAGTTCCTTCAGACGAGAATCGGTGATAATGCCGACCTTGGGAAGGGAGAGAAGACGAGAGCTCAATAAAGAGACTTATCCAAGCCAGCAGGTTTTATGCTCTGAACTAGAAATTCAGCAACAAATAAACTAAATGTGCGGCTCAATTCCTTCAGTAGAATAGAATGTTGCACTGGTTCTTATAATGAAATGCTCGATTGACAAGTCCTTGTTCGCCCACAAAACACAATCACTCCACTTTATTTTTATTTGGACAGCCGAGTGTCTGACACATACGGAAACCCTTTTATTGCTTAATCATATCCAAACCAAGCTGAGAATTCCATGCCTCCCACCTGCACATGAAATTTCCAGTGAAGCGCCTCACAGGATTTCCTGTGAAGCACTTTGGGACATCCTCCAGACTTGAAAGACGCTAGACCAAATGTCAAGATTAATACTTATTCCTCATTTCCAACACAAAAGCCACCCTAAACATTCAATGCCGTGGGAGGTTGAATAGAATCTGTGAACAATACAATTCTCCATTACACATGGTCAGGGCACCTTCCACCTGCAGAGGCAAAGAGGATCACGGGTAGGGTTGAGGGCAGGATGGAGAATTTAAACTGAGACACGAGGGCGGTTGGAATTGAGGTCAGGAAGCATTTCTTCATACGTAGACAATATGGAACTGCACTGCCTCAGAAAGCTGTAGAGGCAGAGTTTATAACCATGTTTAAAAGATATATGGCACATCTATAACTGGTTACACGGTACACTCACCACAAGTGTACAGCACACAAGCAGCATTGATCAATTTGTCCCCAATATCCAAATGCTTATAATGTTCCACCTCTGAATTTGAAACAATTCAACTAGGAACCAAAATTTCAATCAAAAAAAAATCCATGCACTTAATTTAGCTCAGTGAGATCAATAGATCCTATTAAAAAGGTACAGAAATCGTTTCAGACTGGTGATTAGATTATGTCTAATTACATTACAGTACTCTTCCGGGGAAACTTGATGGAATGCAGAATCTGTAAAGAAAGGAAATTTGAACAACTGCTGGCTGCCTTTGCACCTGAATTAAGGTCGAAGGGCAGAACAAACTCGGGAAAATTTGTCAGGTCAGCAAGAGTAATGACATTTCTGCTTCTTGTCCTATAGCACTAAGGATCTGAGCACTAAAAGATTGTGCAAACAATGCTATATAAAATCCTTTGAGTGCTCGAGTCAGATGATCCACTTGTTGGAATGTAAGCTGCTGTGAGTGGGTAGTGGAGAAAGGCAGCCATCACAGCTACAATATTTATACAACAGAAACTGGAAAGTACAAATACAAGGTTGAGATTTTGATCCCTTGTGGAAGTGCTTGAGATTGCGAAGTCAAAAGGTACAAAGCGCTGTTGTACTGCATTAGCTAGCAATATCCTACAATCCTGGGAAACTGAACTCTTCATCATGTCGTGTATCAGTAATACTGGCACAGTGAGGGACATTTCTCTATCCTATATGTGACACCAGTCCTGTAGCTCAGTGGTTAGAGCACACGCTTTGCAAGCGAGAGACCTGAGTTCAATTCCAGGCAGAGGGCGAAACCTCGGGCAAGTTTCCTTACTCCACACAGAGCCTAATAATAATCCCTTCAAAACCAAAAACAATAATAAATTGGTCATTTTCAATCTACGACTGTTTGTGGGACATTGCTATGTGTAATTGGCTGCCGCGTTCGCCCACAAATATACAGTCAATTCACTTTACAGTGTGTTCTGTGAAGTGCTTTGGGACGTCCTTCCAATATGAAAAGCGCTATATCAAATGCAAGGATTATTATTATTATTATAGATGGCAATCCTCAAACATCTAGCAAGACCTTAACCTGATGTCTGCCCTCTCTGTTAGCAGCTCTTCACAGAGAAAAAAACCCACACATTTAAAGGCAGACAGGATGCTCCTATTCCAGGCTCCTAAATACAACAACAACAACTTGGATTCATATAGCGCCCTCCACGCCGGACGGCATCTATATCCTACAACAAAAGAAAAGAAAGATATTGGCTGGACATTGACACACCAATACACAAGGCAACAGAGCTCCTGGTCAACCAATTACCAGCCACCCTGGTTTATACATTCAACCCAAGTGCATAAGTAGTAAGTACTCGATGTGGAATGATTGATTTTCTAGGGAGTTAAGAATATTTATTTTGGAAGCGTTTCCCCTAGAAAACACACCGTCACTGCTACACTTTACAATACATCCTGTGAAGCGCTTTGGGATGTCCTCCTGACGTAAAAGACACTGGTATCTAATGTAAAGATTCTTATTCTTATTATAATAATTTGCAGTCGTTTTTTGTGAAAAAAAGTTTCACCGTGCTAACTTTGATTTATATATTAAAACAAAATGCAAAAATCACATGAATATTTAACATCAAACCACATGAATATTTAACCTGACTGCCGGCACAAAGCGACAGTGGATTAAAGGAGACTTATTGCTATATCAATATCCAGCTAAATAACTGAATATGCAGTGCATTCCCATCCAGAGCCCTGTCAATCCATACTGAGCAGAATACAACTGAAATGGTTCACCAAAAAAATATTGGACACTTGGCCAGGATTGCTTTCAATCAGACAATGGTGGGATGGGAGGTGGCTATTTTGCAATGTTGGTTAACAGATTTATCCAAAAAGTGTTTATTGTGTTATTTAATTTGGGGAGGGCACAAGTTTGCAGGGCTATGTGGAGAGAGCGGGGGAGTGGGATTGATTTGGAAGCTCTTTTCAAAGAGCCGACACAGACATGATGGGCTGAATGGCTCCTTCTGTGCTGCATAATTCTATGATTCTATGGTTCTGTGATAATTTCTAAAACATCAAGAATGTCACAAAGAAACACGTTTCCTATAAATAAATAAATCAATGAAGAAATACTGCAAAATTATACCCCAACAGTGATGGGCTCCGCAACCCTATCAGACCCATCCTTCCCCAGCTCCCCTTCCACCAGTGGAACGAGTTCAAGATCCTCGTCCTAACCTTTTAAGTCTCTCTGTGGTCTTGCCCCATCCTACCTCTGTGACGTCCTCAAACCCTACAAGCCTGGCTGCTCCCTCTGCTCAGCGGGCACCAGCCCCTTTCAAGACCCCGGGCTAACCAGTAAAACAATTTGGTCAGTCAATCCATGACTCCGTTACCTGAGTGTCCCAGCGAGCCCCCTCCATGTACAGCCCATGTACATAGGCTCCTTCCCGCGGTGGGCTACTGAAATCCTCACGGTTTTTCTTTGTAACGTCACACTGAAGGCACATCTTGTCTAAGGGCCATTCGTTCTTCCTGGCCATGGCCTGCATGATGGCTGTGAGGAAGGACTGGGGGTTGAAGAAGCCGGCCAGCCATACTGCGGAGGGGAGGGCAAAGTCAGCCGTCCAGGCTTCCAGCTCTTTAATACGACACAGGAGGTCAACAAACCAGGCTGATAGTCCGGCCATCGAGGGATAAGCCTGTTTGGTCCAAGAATCTGGTACTTGATCGAAGAAGATGGAGTTCTGTAGGCTCTCCATATCGCTAGTCATCGTCAGCTCCCCCTAGAGGAGAAGTGAACAGATATTTAGCCGCACATTAGCGTTTGATTCAATTATCGTCGAACTAGAACTCGGACAGCAAAACCCAACTGTAGGAGGGCGTGGGTCGTGCTTGGAAAATAAAACTTGCACAGCAGTTTTAACAATAAAAAGAAAGCTTTATTTGGGTAAGGAAGTTCTGCCTTTTCACATCCATCTTCTCCAGACTCCCCTTCCTTCTCTCTATCACCCAGCTCTATACTGGTACTCAATTAGCACTGAGCTCCCTTGATTGTGGCACCCTTTTACTGAGTCACAACAATGTGCTCCTTTACACTGAGGTTGAGTGCCAAAAACAGTAGAAAGCAGTGACAGGGTTTATTCCTCTGTCCCTGTCACACCAACAACATTAATTGATGAATATGTGTCAGTTTTCAAAACACTCCAGGTTTCCCGGAACTAGGTCTTAGTGGAATGAAAGATATTGGAGTTGAAAAAGCGCTTGAGAAAATAAGGACAAGTCTCACTGCCCTTGGGAATTCTGTTCAAGGTCAAATTTGGTTAGAGCAGGGTTTTTGTGAGTGCTTCACTGAGTGAGACACACTTTACATCACAAGGCAGCCTTCTGGGCAACATTCCAGTTAAGATGGCCAAACCTCATTCCTCACGTCAGCCTCTGCACTATATAGTCCTCCCCATTAGTTCTTCTTCAGTAAGAAAACCATTAATTATAATTAATTATCCAAACAGTAATTAATACCTCAATATAACCATACTCTGTGGTTGCCCTCCAGCCAATCCAATTCTCAGTCCCTACGGATACGGATCATTGTTCTCAACCATCAAACAGCTTATTTTAGTCCATGTAACCATACCTTCAAGCCCAAATCCAGTTCCTTAAGCGAACGGTTAATCTCTAAAGTCAGGGCATTCATTCGCTCGCACTCTTGGAAAGCCACCACAATGTACGGTGTGCGCTCCTCCACTTTGCTCATCAACTCAGGGATGTTAAACTCCTCAGGCAACTTCTCCATTATCTCGTCCAACACAGCCTTCACCTGGAGGCCAAAAGGACAGAGAGTTGAGCTGTGAGGAGCCCACACTGCAGATCCCTGACAGCTGCCTGAAAAATGGGACAGAACTCTGGCTCCTTTGTGACTGAAGAGATTTACGGCTCTGAAGCTGATACACTTTCTACTCTACCTCTGGTGATGAGCTGTGACAACAGTATTAATGGGAAGTTCGAGAACAAGTGCAAGCTATAAGTCAGGTGTCTTTAACAATGAACGTTAGCTGCAGCTTTTGAAGGGCAGGCTATAAAATGGGAAAGCATCGCACACTAACTGCGTATGGAGAGGAAGACGGAAATGGGCAGGAATTGGGTTATTGGGTTACCTGATGTCACATCATCAGAAGTAATATTCAGTTTATGCGGGAACTAAACTGAATAACTTGGGTTGGCCCTATGTCACTAACTATCCCCTTTGTAGGACTGCAGTCAGAGAGAGTTCCAGCTGTCATTTCTTCAAAGAAGATTCACTGTGGCAGATCGGAGAATTCCTCCTAAATTGGGGTTTGACTGTGAGCTCAGCAGAGAGATCTCTCAATGTTCCTCCTGGCCAGTGTGACACGGGCTCAGCCTTTGGTATGTGGGCCCCCAGCAGCATTGCCATGATGGCCGCCAACCCCAAAGGTACCAGGCGCGACACTCAGTGGTGTTTGTGCCGCCTGGTGATCAACTGTACCATTGGCTTTATTGATACTTTACAAGAGGCTACATTTGCCCTCCCTCCCCGTGGGTACCATGTCCCTCTAGAATTTACTGAAGGTGAATGTGATTTATACACATTAGCCTTCGCCTGGTGGGATTACAGATGCCCACTGGGACTTGGTTTGCTTCAATGAAAAGGTTCAGAGGTCACCAGCTTTGCACATAAATATTAAGTCCTTTGCGGGATAAAGTGCAGTTCATTGAGCATAGCAATTTCACCAGGAGAAACATAACCCGTTTTGTTAGGCTCAATATATCTTCAAAGGCTGGCATCGTGAACACAGTGACATGAAGATATTAAGGATTAACTCTATCAACCATGTGTGAGCAATATCATTTTTCGGTTTCTTTTTCTGCCAATTTTCTACACTCCATTGAAGTTCTGACTGTTTCCTTCCCTTGGGGAATGGTTCTACAACAAACTGTTGGCCAGGAGAAAGTCTTCTCTTTCCAAATAGTGCCATGGGATCTTTACCATCTACCTAAACAACCAGATGGGACCTTGGTTTACTCTTTCATCCAAAGTATAGCCCCTCTGACACTGCAGTGTTCCCAGCGTTGCAGTTGAGTACCAGCCTCGGCTGTGAGCCCAAAGCCCTGACATGGGGTTCAAACCCACAACCTTCTAACCCTAACATTGTGACCATCTGAGGCAGGATAACACGTAAGTGGCCATTCCTCATGTGATGCTTTGGTGGAAAGATGGGAGGAGGGATATTCTCTAAAGATGAACGTGGATGATGAGTATGGAGTAGAGTCTGAATTTCACAATTGTATTATAACGATGTTTCCTGGTTACCTTTTCCTCTCGGGTGCTTCCTGCTCCCTCTCCGCCACTGCTGTCCCTGGGCTGCATCTCCAGCACAGTGCGGAACAGCTTCTCCGAGGTCAGGGTCAGGAAGCCAATCTCAGCATTGGGATGTAGACCGTAGAGGTACGGAGACTCAGGGGGAAGCCCATCATCAATATACTGACAAAGGACAACACGGAAATACAGTAAACAATGCCATCAATCAAATCAAGGCTCCACTGGGAGCCATGTGATTCCCAATGAGTAAGTTAGTTACAGCACAGAAAGAGGTCACTGAGCCTCGGCTGATGTAAACTCCTCCCTTAGAGCTGATTACTCTAATCCCAATTCCCTGCTCCCTTTAACTTTAGTCCTCAATTGTTTATACAATTCCTTTTGAAGTGCTTATGGTCTCAGTCTCAATAGTCACTTGTGGTGAAGCGTTGCATATTCCTATAGCCCTCTGGATGATAATGTTTCTTTCATATAAAGTTAGAGCGACAACAACAACATAAATGAACTGCATTTATACAGCGCTTTTCACTTTGGGAATATGGCCCCAGGCGCTGAAGGGACATCAACTTCACAATAAATCCTGTGAAGCGCTTTGAGAGGTGTCAAAGATATGATAAGATGTTACATCAAATGCAGGGATTATTATTATTATTATATTATTATTAGGGCCAGATGATGCACTCATGCATGTTCCATTCCCATAGGAAGTCAATCAGCTGGCAAACCACCCGAATCCACTTTCCCAAAATTGCCCTTTGTATTCCTGAACCTCTTGATCTGTTGCCTTGACATCTCTGAAAGTGGGAAGAATGTGTGTGAAGCTTGTTTTCCTCTTGACAACATTTAGTGATTGACAAATCCTCCAGAGAGAAACCATCTGTTGAGGAGATTTTATGTGGACTAGAGGAGACGAGTTAATATTTCCATAAACTGATGAGGTTAAACAACAAAAGCACCAAATGAAAGTCTATGGAAATAGAGACTCATCGAATCAGCAACCATTCAGTTCAGCCACAAACATTTAATTCATTTAAGATATTGAGTGCTGCATTAACATATCTATGAAAAAGCAAATCTTTATGATTTTTAAACAAATTTATACAACACAAAGAATTAAGATGCTCTGGTGAACGAGCAAACAAATTAGTTTGATTTGCAGATATGTGCTTATTAACTCCCAGTTTGTTTTGTGAGGTTCTGCCAAAGGAGCACCTATATAATATTATTATATTATTATTATTATAAAGGAGCACCTGGAGAGGTCTCTGATTGTTGAACATTCCTGTTAACCCACTGTTCTGAGAGGCCCCAGTGAGGACCACAAAACTCCCACTGCTGGTCGGTAAAGATCCCATTAGAAACATATAACAAGAAAGATGTTTAGTTATCAGTTTGATGGATCTCGGTATCTTGCAACTCTCAGGTCACTGGGGAGGATGTGAGCAGGACAGTCGGAGGAATAGGAAGAGGAGGTAAAGGAGAGAGATGGGAGAGGGAAGAGTAAAGAGAGTAGAGAGCGTGATAGTGGGCTGGAGAGAAACTGATAGCAGGGTTGAGGAGACAGAGTGATAGAAGGGTACAGGAGAGAGGGGTAGAGGGAAGAGAGTGTTAGAGGAGAGACTGATGGAGGTGTAGAGCAATAGAGGGGCAGGGAAATGAGTGATAGAAGAAGAGACAGGGGAGTGAGAGGGAGAGGGGAAGAGATTCCATCATCAGCCAGTTATTGCAGTGGTCAGTGACTGAAGCCCATCCTCCAGATCATTCGTCTGACGGAGATAATCATTTGGAGTTGAAGCAATTTAACAGAGAGAAGACGGGGAAACCAGACTTTTAAAACAATAAAACACTTAATGCATTGTCTTCTTCTAAATCTTATGTCACCCGGATTAAACACCCAACAGGTTGATGATGTGGCTACACAGTGTAGGAAGCTTGTATCACTTTTACTGTAAAACTAGCCACAAAAAAATGCATAGAAAAGATGGACTCCAATTTTCACTGCATTTGCATAAATTTGCAATTATCACACAATCGTAATCATAGATTCTATTTCTGTTGAATGGAGAGCGCGTGGATTATAAAACTCTCACTCAGAGCTGGATTATATGGAATCCTGTAGGGTTAGTGGTTAGAGCATTCGCCTCACCAAGTGGAATCCATCAATAGATTTTTCCTTCTAAACTTTTCATATTTTTCCACCTAATCTACTTGAACGATTTGCCAAGTAGTGTTCGGGAAGAACAAATCTACATTAACAAGCAAGTGTCCTGGCATCACTGCTTACCTGGTGGTACGCATTGTAGTCTAAGTTAGTTGGAAGAGGAAATCCAGGCGCAAGTAACAGTTCCCCTTCCATTATCTCTGACTTAATGAACTCCTCCAAGTAGGTTCTGCAGAGCCTTCTGTCCCAGTCGTCTGTGATGTGTCCTCCGTACATAATCTCGCCAAACAGATAGCGCAAGTCGTCATAGGGGACCTGAAATGACAACAGTATGTCGGTAATAAAGAAAAACTTGTGATTTTATATCACCTTGTTGCATTGAAATGCCACTCCCAATAAAGTGTAGTGACTGCGCGTTAAAGATCCCACGGCACGATTGAACAAGAGAATACAATATCTCCTAATGGCCTGGCCAACAATAATATAATAATAATCCTTGCATTTGATACAACGCCTTATCGTGTCTTTGAGACATCTCAAAGCGCTTCACACAATTTTACTGTAAAGTGAATTGAGCGTCTTCTCACTTGCGAGGCGAGCACGCTAACCAACACACTACATGACTCTGCAATCTCCCAGAGACTTTCAGGTGACCAGATGATCAGCTTTTGCCGACTAGGAGCCCTGAATGAGGCAGGCACATGGTCCATGTTCATTCATTCACGGTTGTAACTCTGGGATTTATATATCGCTTTAGACAGGATAAAGTCCCTGCAGTGATCTAATTTTGTTTAACATTCCTTCTCACACAATCTCACAGGCAATTTAAAATAGGATTTCATACAAATTCAACCCGTGAAAAGGCCTGACAAGGAATGAAGGCAAATAAATGATCCACCATTTCTGGTTTAAGAAGGAAGTTTGTGGGATTATTATTTTGTAAGCAGCTCTTTACTCCTGGTTTAGGTCTTAACAGGGATCCTCAGTCATGGAGGGAAGAGAGGGAGTGGTGGTGGGAAATTGAAACAGGTTAAGTCGTAATGAAACCATTTGTTCAATCTTCTAATGCATTCATGCAGAATGGTGTTTATCTCTCAATTGCAGGGTTACGTTTCTACCTCGGAGCATAACATAGCAGGCTTGATTTCTCTGTGAATTGTGAACATTCCAGCAGATTTCATCCGATGTGCCGTTATTGCTGAACTCGGCTACAAATGCAATATGAAAAGTGCTGCAATTCCTTTCCCTCCGGCAGTGAGCAGTTGATTTAATGCACTCGATTGAAAAAGAGCTGTGCGTAACCGTAGTCTAGTGTAGTCTGGAGGCTATGTTAGGGTCAGCGACAGCCAAAATCAGACACTATTTGCAGAACAAAAGGCAATAGAGGAAGGTTCATGTCCTCACTCTATATAAAAATAAAGGTTTTTCCTGAACTCCAGTAATGGTTGAGACATAAATTGTGCTTCTTTATTGCCAAACTTTTCAGAGAAAATTACAACTGAGTTGCTCTTATACCATCCATACCATTTAGGCCACCTCACCTGGATACATGTCATCCCTTGGGTTTCAGGGCCTTGGGATGTCCTCCTGACGTGAAAGGTGCTATACAAATGTTATTTGTGTTTTGTTGTTGTCCCACCTGCTCCACCCCTCCACAGCAATGTCCCGCTCATCAGTTCAACCTCTCTTGGTCGTGCGACAGAGAGCAGAGAGAGAGACCTTCAATCTGATTGACTTATTAACCTTCAGGTTTAATTACCTTTGCATTGGCCTCCAGGTAGTTATAGAGAACGTAGACAGAGATGGTCAGGTCCCCAGTGTTGAAGGGGTAGGATCGGTTCCAACCTTGAGGCCCAAACTTGCGTCTCTCAGCCACAACCGCGTGAAAATAGCAGAGAGCGAAGAGGATGCTCTTGAATTCATTCTCCCGGGCACACATCTCCAACGTGTCCTGCAGAGTGTCAAAGGGTAAGGCATTTTACAGGGTTTCCATCAGTCATCAAGAAAACTTTCTTCTTCATTGAGGCTTTAACTTCTCACAGTGACTTACATCCTTCAGGTTCCGTATAGAGAGAGGAAGAAGAACCTTTGGCCCCTTCGATCTCTTCGTTCAACAGTACTGACCTCACCATAATCCCATTACAGCATCAAGTTGTTTCTGAAATATCTTGGACTGAACAACCCTTTCTGGTAACCTTTTTGCTGTGTTCATTACTTTCTGTGTAAAATACTCTTAGGTGTCTGTCCTAACGTTCTGAACCTGTGCTCCTCCTACCCTGCCTGGTTTGCTGTATCTGAAACCATTTATTTTCACTGTTGCCTTTAGCATTTTATATACACTGATAAGGTTCCTTCTAAGACAGGCTTTTCAAGGCTGAAGAACGCAAGCTTAGTCATTGGTTCTGATGGAAACAAATCCCTGTTGTCATCATGGGTTCCCAGTATTCCAATAATAATAATAACAATAATAATAATACTCAAATTTGATATTGCATTTTTTACATCTTCTGGACGTCTCAAAGCGCTTCACAGAATGATACGAGCGGGGTACATGAAGCAGACCTGTGCCCATTTGGGTACCTGCAGTGCTACACCGTACTAGGGAGCTGGCAGGACACCACCCAATACCTGGTTGAAGTTATCCAGAGCCTTGTGTAGGTTTGCGTGCATTCCTGTCGGAGGTTCATTGGTGATTTTGATGGAGTTTTCCAAGATGCCCTGAGGGATGATGTGGCTTTCAGCTGAGCTGGCCGGCTCCGCACTGATGAAGACCCGGAAGTTCTGGTGGCTCCCGTCACTGTCCTGCTCCAACTTCCTCTCCAACGTACTCAGCCATTTGGCCACTAGGTGAATATTCTGCACATAATAAACATCAACAACATTACAAATCAACACAGTACTTAGCAACATGGAAGGTTTTCTGACTCACGCTAAATAATAACAATAATAATCCTTGCATTTGACACAGCACCTTATCACATCTTCAAGACGTCTGAAAGCGCCTCACAGAATACACTGTAAAGTGAATTGACTGTATATTTTGTGGGCGAAATGTGGCAGCCAATTGCTCACACCAGCGTTCCCAAAAACAAGCGTGGATTGAGTGACCAAATTATTTATTATTTACATTTTTTAATAAGTAGACAATCGCTACACTTCATGGAAACATTTTGTGAAGCTCTCTGAGTGAGACACATTCTCCAGGTTGTAAGTGTTGTCATCAAACACAGGGATTATCGTGATTGGAACTGAGAAGCTTCAACGCAGGCGTGTGATGCCAGATACTGAACGTAAAATGGACAAGTGAGAGCTCCCGTGTTGGTGCTGGGACCAAACTCACACAGCTTTCTGCAGGTGACTTGACCATTGTTTTCAACAAAGCCCAACTTTAAGAAACGCTATGGATAATTGGTGGATGCTTTGTGCTTGGATCTACCTAATGGGAACAAATGTGCAACGATGCTTCTAGTTCAGGTCAAATGTGCAGAATGAAGTTGAAGCTTTATGTAAGTGACCCAGTGTTTCTCTGCAATTGATGGATCATAAAATGACAGCTACAGACATGATACCTTCAGGCATCGCTGAGACCCGACAGACTAGTGTATGACTCTACACTTATTCCATCAATCAACATTTGAATTGTCAATTTCCCCATGAGTGATGCTGCCTCACACAAATGGGACAAGGTATTTACCAGCTAATAAGTGATATTTGCACCAATACCTTTACAGAAACAGCTTGACATTAACGCAGGAGATTAACCCTTTGAGTACTGGTGTCTAATTACCGGGCCTTGACCAAGCAGCCAGCTCTGCTCGTTAATGATTCCAGTTAACTCTTCCAAGCATGAAGATGGAGACGAATGATTGATGCAGTCCCACCTGATGTTACAACAACCGGCGTCATCACTGTTTTCCTTTCCTATTGAATCACGGACCAAACGACTGCTGAAAATCAGTTCTTAGGGGTGGAAGATCAGTCAATAAAACCTGACTATTGAACTGTTACTGAGAGTCTGGCCAGACCGCACAGTAAAACCTCCACTTTAAAAGTGACTTTTGCAACCCCAAAAAAGTAAACTAGAAATCTGGTCACTGACTCCACCACTGTTTGTGGGGACACTGCTGTGTGCAATTGGCTGCCGCGTTTCGCCCACAAAATACACAGTCACTCCACTTTACAATATATTCTTGTGAAGCGCTTTGATACGTCTCAATGACGTGCTGAGGTGCTATATCAAATGCAAGTATTATCATTATTATTATAACATGTTTATTATAACCTCGTCCTGTTGGCATATCGAATCCGAAAGCCATTGCTCAGGAAAACTGCCATCCCTCTAACACCAGGGATTAGCCTCATTGCCCTCCTCCACATACTTCCTCTGGGGCCCGGCTTACTCCTTTATCTTCTTAAACAGTTTCAAATCACCTCTTATTCTGTCCCTATTTTCCTAAGATTTTAAGCGGAGTCAGTCGATAGGCAGAGATACGCCATCTCTCGTCTTCGTTTCCTGTCACGGTCAACGGGTTTATTCAAAGTGCACAAGGCCAATCTGCGAGCTGTTTATCTATTCATAACATTGCAGCTTCACTTCCTTTCTAACTGTCAGATCTCTCCTCTCAGGAGCGAGTGCCCCACTGAACCCAATCAATGACTGGATGCTGACACAAATCACAGACTCTGAGCAAATTGTAGAATATTTTTCAAACCACCCATCGATTGATTGTACAAAATGCTGAGGGTAAAATGAATAGACGAGTGCACAAGCCTGAGAGACCCATTACAGTTAAACAACAGCTTAACCTTCTCTTGAGGAGAGAGACGCAGAGCAAGAAATAAAAAAAATCAGCTCTGTGACCTTCACAGTCTTGGGAAAGCGACAGGCCATAGTTGGCGAGGTGCAGAGCGGGTAGAGAATAGCCCTATTTTTCTGATGCAAAAATCATTTAAATGGCTCAGTGATGCCGAACAGGCTACTTGAACGGCACTGAAAAAAGATGATTAACACCCATCGCTGAACTGGAAGCTGGTTGTTATTTAATTTATTATAACCACGGAAGCCAGTGATGCGGTGATGCATGAAAATTAAATCCATTCATGGAATAAATTAAGTTGATCGTGAAATAATTGAAGTGGCATTTTCAGGCGATGAATGGAAAAGCTTCCTACTGGAAAGGACTCACACTGGGTTAGGTGAGAAACATACAGGATTTTTGTTCTTAATCTCAGTTTTAAAAGCTTCCGATCGGCTTTCAATGTGCCGGAATAATGGCCACTGCTGTGCTGGTCACGGCTGAACAGTCTACCTTCAAAGGGAATGTCATCTTTTGTGGTTTGGAACATTAATAATTTAGCGGTTGTTTTTCAGGTTTAAGTTAATATTGTGGTGAGCAAATACATTTAACGCTGAGTGGCCCCAAGGATTTCGCAAATTCTAATACCTTAACAGCGACGGAGGGACCGAGAGAACAAACCAAACCCAACCTAATCAGCTGGGTGGCCAGCCCCAGGACAGTACTTCATTCAAAGATAAAATCTTGCAAGATTTTTATTACTTCACCCTGAAGCTCTGGGATGGGAATATTAAGTCATGGAAACACCAATGGTTGGAAATTCTGCTGTGACACACTGGCACCAAGCTTGTGGCGTTCACAGAGAGGAGATTAACTTCCATTGGTCTGTGGAGTCAAGCGTATCTCTCAGTTGAGCTGTGCTCAAAGTGATCAAGGTCCATTTGCCTCAATAAACTGCACAGATAATAATAATAATCCTTGCATTTGATACAGCGCCTTATCATGTGGTTGAGACATCTCAAAGCGCTTCACAGGATAGACTGTAAAGTGAATTGACTGTATATTTTGTGGGCAAGACGCGAGAGCCAATTGCGCACAGCAGCGTTCCACAAGCAATCATGGATTCTTCAGATGTTTTTCTGATGTGAAAGGCACTGGATAAATGCAATTTGTTCTTATTGTTGTTGAAATCCCGCGGTCCAGTCATTAGTCTTCACTGATGTTACATCCAAACCTCAGCCGAGAGGCTGACTGGTATCATGGCCAGTAATAAGCTTTGAGTGAAGCAGATTGCTGGCGTGTACATACCTGCAGAATCACCCAATGACCTTCTTTAGCAGCCAGATCGAGCGCTTGTTCAGCGACCACCTCCTGGCCTTGCCCTAGAGACACATTGTAGAAGTTTCCTCGATCGAATGTGTAACCCAGCTTTTTGCCTTAGGGGAAAGCACACAGTCATGAGCATCCGACATCAAGACAAACGGAATTATAGTCCAATTCCCTTCCGCAAAAAGCGATGAATCAACATTTATGGCTGCAAATAATATCAGATGAAATTCTACGTTGGCCTTTCTTTCAATTTGATCCGAAATAATCAACAAAAGGTAAATGTGCAATATATTTTTATTAGATTATCAGGCTCAATCCACATTAATATATTATTGCTCACGTAGCCCTGACAAGGAGTTTAATCTTCACATTGCCTTTAGCCATGTTACCTGCCGCTAAACTCGGCTTTATGGAACTGAATTGGTCTTTTAAATTCATTACTTTCTGACTTAATCCGTGAACACATCCAGAAAGCCAGTCTTGCTGGAACTTTGAGCTAAAATCACACAACCCATTAAGTGGAAAGATACTCTGTGAATTTTATCGTCTTAAGGGTCCAATGCTGTCTGTGCACAACCATTGGAGAGGCGAGGTTCCAGTGCCTCTGGCAACGTATCACATTGCACAGCGCCTTTCACGTCGGGAGGACGTCCCAAGGCGCTCGGCAGTGAGGGATTTGGACCTGAGCTGGGAATTGGGATCAGGAGGGGTGGAGGGCAGGGAGGGTGGGGTAGGAGGAGAATGGATTAAAGCTACAAATTAGAACGTTCAGAGAAGAGATGGCCTCCCCCAAACCCATCGTTAGTAAAATCAGGATCTGATGCCAAGATGCAAATTGATCTTTTCACATATCTCTGCCCCAAACCCTCACCGCTCCATCCGCACCCCCCTCCCCACACACACACACACAACCCTCCACACACACACAACCCCCTACACACAACCAGACACACACACACACACACACCCCCACCACACACACAACCAGACACACACACACACAACCACCCCCCCACACACACACACAACCCCCCCCCCCCCCCCCACACACACAACCAGACACACAGTTTCATCTGCACTAAAGGTCAGGGAGAGAACAATGACAGTCCTCAGATGGCAGACAGCCGAGGCTGTATAAAACCAATAGAAATGTTATCAGCTATTGGCCACGAGTTTACTAACCGAGTCTCAGTGACTGTTAGTCTCCACTTGGGCCGGATTTAGCTCCATGTGAAAACTACGCAATTTGCTTCACAGCAGAATTGATGGAACTGCGAACCCACAGGTTTGTGGAGTATAAAACATGATCAGTTGAGCGAGCACAACATTAATTATCCTTTAGCACAACAGAGGTAATCAAGTACAATTTGGAAACACTTATAGAAACTTGTTGCCTTTCACCTGTAAACCAGAGATGCTGTGGTTAACTACCTTGGGTTTATCAGCTTCCATATATGGGAATGTTGCACTTGGCTGGACTGGGATTCTCACTCAATGTTCAGTCTCGCTCTCTCTGATGAGCATTGCATTTCTAATGGACAATTAGGGAAATTTTTCCCGTTCGACTTGAACGTTATTGAAGATAAAGATAAACGTTACCGTGTTTCTCCACGTCCTTCAGGGGATCGACACCAGGGGAAAGGATGAAGAACATGGGTGTGGCGGGTCCCGATTCCTCAAAGGAAACCGCAAAGTCCAACGACCGCCCCACAACGTATTTGCTCCCCAGCTTCTCCTCGACAAAATCTCTGCGAAAGGACAGAGGGTTTTGTCACCACTTTAAATCGTGCAGATGGTCTGCGTCAGTTAAACATGATCATTTGGCAGCAACCCAGTGATTACATTGTAATGGACAGTCTTTCAGGGCACGAAGGAAATACAACACAATAAATATTGTCTCTCAAATCAAGATTGACTCCATCTCTCACTGACAGACTATGGCTGCAGAGTGTTATTAGTCTACTTATATTATTATAGACAGAAGTAATATTGCAACACTCTAAATAATTACAGCCCCTTCTCGCTGTTCTTACCGTATGGCGTAGGTCATGCGATCAGGTCGAAGGGCTCTCATCATACACAGCTGCTGAAGTGCAGACTTGCTCTTCCACTCCTGAGGAAATGTCTCTTTCTCCGGACACTCTGATTCCACAAATTTCTTCCACCGTTTGGCAGATCCCTCCACGTCACGATCCAGGTTACGAAACTCCTCCATGGATGCCAGCGCCTATCAAAGAGTCAGACATCACATTATAATAATAATAATCCTTGCACTTGATACAGAGCCTTATCCTGCCATGGGCCATCTCAAAGCACTTCACAGAATATACTGTAAAGTGAATTGACTGAATATTTTGTGGGCAGTTGTAGACATCGGGCTCCCACAAACAGTTGTGGATTGAGTGACCAAATTATTTATAATTAAAAAAAACGGATTATTCCTCCCGGAAAGTGATCAGCGAATCGACTAACAACCAGGTTCCTTCTTACTGCCAGGTAAACAGAGGCACGTGGAGTAAGGAAACTTATCTCAGGTTTTATCCCGCTCGGGAATCGAATCCGGATCCTTTTGCTTGCGAGGCGAGTGCTCTAACCACTAAACTAAGGGACTCCACTTCACTGCACGCTGGTTGCAAATCTGTGCTTTCACCATTTCACCATTTTTACCCCCACAGTACGTGTAATGGGTTCATCTCTCACCAGCACAGCGGGATGGCAGATTAAAACCAACCAGAGTAGACAGTACACTTTTCAACAAAAAAATCAAGGCTGAAATAGAGACTACAAATATAAAACACTACCATGTAGGGATATTAGTCGTCAGATGGTAAAAATACAGGAGAACACAAATGCATTTCACAAAAGCACTTAATGCTATCAGAAACCATTACAATAAACAGCCAGACAATGGAATGTGTTGTGAAAGGCAGAATTGCAGGGCGGAGAGGTAGATGGAAATGTTGTTCCTGTTTCCATGGCTGAATTGGGAATCGCACTTGTGAATTAAGTCTTTCAGAGCCACTTAAGGAGATCAACGACATACACGCGATGAACTATAGCTGAGATATTCCTTTCTGTTCCAGCCGTGTTTCTGTGTTGATCTACATCGTCTCAGCAAGAATGGTGACTGAGGTTAATCCCCTTCCTACTGAAGCTGCTCTACAAAACAAATCATTGTACAGAAAAAAAACTATTCAGAAGACTAAGTGCTCCAGGCTTGTGGTTAAATGAAGACAAATCATTTTGCTGAGTATTAGGATTCTGCAAACTTTTTGTCTTCTCCTACTCTACTCCTCTGCTCATCCCCACCCCCACACCAACCCTTGGTGAGACTTTCAATTCAGTTAAAAATGTACATAATGACAAAGGATAAACTTCTCAGCACATGCTTCTATGTGTGTGTATACCCCACTTTACAAAAATTGAACTACTTTTTTTTGATTGAGTGGTGTTGAGATCAAAATATACAGCCACTACACTTTAGAGTATATATCCTGTGAAGTGCTTTGAGACGTCGCAATGATGTGTTGAGGCGCTATATTAAATGCAAGGATGATTATTATTATAATCCCCTATAAGTATCAATTCACCTTCCTGATAAGTGCAACATTAAAACAGAAAGTGTGTTGATTGCCTGCGTGTTTGTCACTGTAAACCTCCCTCGCAGGCCTCGAGTCCCTACCCAGGAATTTATAACTTCCTGGTAACGTAAATCAAAGGGAGGAATTAGAGCCAGAAATGGAGTTCGTTCTGGGAATGTTAATGGGTTATACATACAACATCGAAACAGAGTGGATTGTCTTGTAACTCCCACCCATGTGCCCATTACTGAAGATTTATCAGGGGCACGGGAACAGGTTTCTATTATCTATCACTGATGTGCGGTGTGGGTGTCCAGCCCATTTAGCCGTCAGATGCATAATTTCACACAGCCAGATAAATGAGGGAATTATTGCAATGAATTCCTCACTGCCTGAGGTTAAACAGCGGGTGAGGAGGGGGAGTCAGGAGCCTCGCTTGGGACTTAATCTCTTCCTCACAACAAGCACTGATACACTGGAGAGCTATCCCCCCTGGCTGCTTGAAAACCATCCAGCGCAGCTCAGTCAGGCAGCTTAGGTCACGTTGGAGTTGAAGGTGATGGTTAGAATCTAGTCAGGGCTTCACAGGTTTATATATAGTGCAGACGGGAGGTGGGGGGGGGGGGGGTGGGGGGGAGAGGTGGTCTCCGCCTGTACATTCAGCAACAAAACTTTTCCCAGTCACCAGCAAATATTAATTGGCTCCTTTCCATTTATTCATCTAAAGTAAAATTCAGTTGCATTTTATACTCACATTAAAGGGATCCCAGAAACCTATGGAACCCCAGAGACCTCAGCAACTGCTTTCTCAGCACAGTTGCACCACTTGGGTCCCAGGCAACCACGTCTGATTTCCCTAGGATTGCAGAAGTGAATCATCTCCCCGAGAATTCAACATTCCCTTTCCAAATAACTAATATCTTTCATGCACAGTAATCTCGCCCCCCCCCCCACCCCCCACCAAACTATTGAAAGCAATTCAATTAATGTAAATGACAGAGTTTGCGCTATCGCCCGCTGCGAGACAGGGCTGGAATATCAGATGCAAAGCTTTCGTGTTACGGTCTTTTAATGGTCTCTGGGAGATGAGAAGGCTGTGACTGATGTCCTTAGTTAAAAGGATCTTCAAAAATATGAAAATGTGCACTAACAGATTAATTACTGGGAGGCGATGGCTGTGGCTGTACATTGTCACTGCACCTCTGATGGATTCGGCAAAGGAGCATCAGCAAAGTGTTGAGGATGTGCTCCATAGATCACTGGCAATTAGTCCTCCCAATGCACATAACACACTTTGGCCCAATACCCAACTTTACGCATGATTCAGGATTGGAACCCAAAGCAATATCTGACACATGAAAACCCATGGCCAAGCCTGAGCACCCACTGAGAGGTCAGCACAGTTATCTTGCACAGATTTTGGGACCAAACACATCACGAGGTTTAGGCTGTGCCCCATTTAGCCAGGAGTGAGACACACTAGAGTAGAGATAAGAGGCAAAGGAATGGCAAGCATTCATAGAAGAAAGCACACGCACGCACACACACCCACCCACATGCACTCACATGCACCCACACACATTCACACGCACCCACACGCACACCCGCCCACATGCAACCACACGCACTCACATGCACCTACACGCACTCACGCCCACCCACAAGCACTCACATGTACCCACCCCCACCCACCCACACTCACTCACACCCATCCACACGCACTCACACCCACCCACACGGACCCACTCACACCCACACGCACCCACACGTACCCACACACACTCACCAAAGATGCTCAGAACATGACCTCACATTGCTGCTTATGCTTGTGTTGAGCTGACAGCTTCCATAACTCTTCACCACTTGGATAACAGGAAGCCAATAAACAAGGAAAAATTGGTCAAAGATAAATAGCTATTGGCATCACTTTCTTGTGCAGGAAGGCACGGGGATGGCACTGAGCAGCTGTTTGGTGCTAATGCTCTATCTCTTAGGAAACTAAACACCTGTCAGTTGCTCATATAGATCATTGTCAAAATACCTAGTCCCTGTCAGCTTAGTCCTCCAGTACTCCAGCACACAGCTCCAGTACTCCAGCACACAGCTCCAGTACTCCAGCACACAGCTCCATCACACAGTTCCAGTACTCCAGTACACAGCTCCAGCACACAGCTCCAATACTCCAGCACACAGCTCCAGTACTCCAGCACACAGCTCCAGTACTCCAGCACACAGCTCCAGTACTCCAGCACACAGCTCCAGTACTCCAGCACACAGCTCCAGTACTCCAGCACACAGCTCCAGTACTCCAGCACACAGCTCCATCACACAGCTACAGTACTCCAGTACTATCAGTGCTATCAGTGCAAAACTCAAGGTATCTAACGTACAGGTTGGACAAATAATAATCTTTGCATTTGAGGTAGTGCCTTATCACATCGTTCAGATGTCTCAAAGTGTTTCACAGCATTTACAGTGAAGTATAGCCATTGTGTAGTTTCTTGGCAAATTCTGAGGATGATTTGCGCACAGCAATATCCCACAAACAGTTATGAAGTGAATGACCAATTCTATCAGGCGATTGTTGACCAAGACACCACGAGAGAGGAACTCCCACTCATTTCAAATCGTGGCATAGAATGATGCACATTGTAGTTACAGGAGGAAGCCAGCGACTACATTAGTTGAACCGACGCAGAACACCTGATTGTTGTCATACCACAAAGTCACACGACTACAAACAATTATGTTCAAGATTGTTTTCTTCCCCCCCCACCCAAGGAGTTCCCATCAGAATATGAGAGACAGGAGATGAATTAGGAAATTGTTCAGCATGTGAGGGAACCTGATTTTCACCACAATAATTCCAACAAACGAGCAAAGTGCAGTGGGTGAGAGGGACGAGGGGAGAGGAGAGAGCCAGATATCGGCTGACAAGAATGGTGATTCTCACTGATTATAGCAAAGATATACCTTGACACCCCCCCAGGACTGGTTGGAGAGGAAGTCGACAGGACTGCAGAAGCCAGGCTGGGCCGGGTAGCGAAGGAGGAAGTCTAACTCCTTTAGGTTAATTTCTTTGTTGATCAGAAGAATCTGTGAAGTGGAAGTGAGATAGAGAGAGAGGAATCAGTGTACACACATGCCTCTTTCTCCATGAAATGTCCATTAAAACAGAAACCAATCTCCCACTACTACAACACAACAACAACTTGCATTTATATAGAGCCCTTCACATGGGGTAGCATCCCGGAGCGCTAGAACCTTTCAGAATAGTGAAAACTTCCCTTAGATCCCATCCTAACCTTCTCCGCCCCTTCAGTCATTCAAGCCCGTCTTCCTAGCACACTGGTGCAGTGGGTTGGAGTTGGAGGGCTAGGCCATGGAGTCACAGAAACATAATACAATTAGGAATGTCAAAACAAATGACATTCATCTTATGCTTTAATGTTGCAAAAATCTTTTAAGGATTTTTTCAAGGCAGCTTCGGGCATTTGCTTATTTTAGCGGTGAAGCCCATGGTGGAATAAGCTGCTTGTGCTCTGGTCAACTGGGCTCAGTGACTACCTACTTTCACCAACACTCCGAAACCAAACCAGAGCATTCAGAATAAACAATGCAATCGCAGAGAAAAAGCTCGCCTCAAACCCTTGTCAGCGCTTACTGAGCGTTAGAGACGGTTTCAAGTCTCGTTGGCTAAAATAAAAAAGAGACCGAAAATGTAGATTGATGATACTTGGGGAGTTTGGGCAAAACCTGACAAGAAAGACCTGGTAGGTATGTGGGTCAGTGCAATGGGAAACTCCACTTTTACCGGAATTGTTCTGTCGTTTGTCTCCTTGCAGCCTGCTTCTGTTTTAAGCAACGAATAATTCAGAATCTCTGCACAATAAATAGAGGGTAGATGTTCTAAGGGAGCATCTGTTTTCAAGGAAGCCTTGTAAAACCCAACCAAAGTAGCGCTAAAGAGGCACGTTTTGATTCAGGAAGAATTTCTGTGTTAAAAGCAGGCGGACAGCCTTTTAGGGGTAGTCGTGATATTGAAAGGGAATGATGGACGTGCTCGGGACAATAGAAGGTGTCTGTGCCTCCATGTTATTCAGCGCTGCCATCAAGGCGTTCCACTTGCTTAGAAGCTGAGACAAGCCGAGGCTTCCTTTCGTGCATTCCAAGAACGTACTTAACCAAAATGCTTAAAAACGTCTCCATGTATCTAACCGCACAATGCCAGTGAACATCACAAGGCAGGTTCGGATGAAGAATGCCCTTCAACTCATTTGATCTCATCCTTCCACAATCCCCTCCCTAGCATCTTCCCATTGTAGTGCAAAACTGTTTCACTTAAAATGAGTCCAGTTTGCAGCTGATTTCCTCCCCCCCGCCCCCCACCCCGAGTACAAAACGTATTATAACTTTGCTGAATTAAAGGCTTCTAATATTTCTGAAGGTCAACTTGGGCAAAAGTATCAACTGTGGAAGAGGAGCAGTTTAAGATTTAATAGCGTTGAACATTTGATGATGTCTGATAGGTGGAGTGCTCTATTTGTAGAACATAAGCTCTAAACTTTTCAAGCAATTTTATAAAATATTCTCAGCTACATTCAATAAGAGCGCTCTAGTGCCATAATAATAATCCTTACAAGTCTGCAATAATACCAATTTACATTTATATAACCTTTCACGTCTTAATCCTTCTATTTGATATAATGTTGAAATATCTCAAAGTGCTTGAAATGCAAGAATTATTATTATTTATCTTTAATGTGAACAAGCAGACATGACCTTGGTTTTACGTCTCAGCTGATGGATGACCTCTCCAACAATTCTGTCAGCCCCAGCACTGCACTGAAGCTCTTTGAGATGATCCTACATTGCAGACCATGTTAGCTGGAGGATTGTGGGCTAGGACATCAGGAGCCAATCTCTTCTCTATCCAAACACTGTAATGTCATTGGATTCTGTGCCTTCAAATACGCAGTCACCATACTTCACAGAATCTTTGCAAAATGCTTAAAGACATTCAATATTATACGCGTGATATCAAACGCAAGGATTATATTTATCTTTAATGTGAACAGGCAGCCATCACCTCAGTTTAATGTCTCATCTGAAGGCCTGGCTCTCCAACAACACAGAACTTCCCAGCACGACAGTGAAGTGTCAGCCTATAGAGTTCGCACACAGAACCTTCTAACCCACAGGCAAGAGTTCTAACAACTGAGCCAGGCTGATGCAATCAGAGCCTTCACACTGATCTCACCCACTGGCCCTCAGATCTGGGTGGCACTGGGCGACTGTCAGCACCAGGGAGATTGCGGCAAACGGATGATGTTGTGGAACGTGGTTTTATAGATCAACGGTTCTGCATGTTTCCCAAGGTAAGAATGATTGATGCAAATTCAGCATAAACTGGGCTGTTTATGCTGAATATAAATTAGCTGAATGGTCATTGAAGGACAACTTTTGGAACAGTTTTATGTCTCCTATTATATCCTGTTTATTTTCATGAGTGGGCCAAAGTTGGTTGAACTAAAACAGTTTCATTTCTTTGTTTACCATCAGCCATCCTTTGCTATTAAAAAACGGGAAATCCTCCCATCCACCCCGGGTTACGGACTCTCCTCCCCACTCCTCGCCTGCCCAGACACAGATCCCAGACACAGAGTCTATGCTAACCCTCTACCAACACAGAGTCTGTGCTAACCCTCTACCAGGTGTTGGGGGTGAGATCCATCAGATGAGACGTTAAACCCAGGTCCATCTGCCTGCTCAGGTGGAATTTAAAGAGCCCACAACAGCATTTGAAAAGTGAAGGCAATTTCTCTCTCCCACTGTCCTGGCCAACAATCCCTCAAATAAAATTGGTCACTCACACCATGGCTGTTTGTGGGAAGTTTGTGGGAAGTTGCTTTGTGCAAATTGGCTGCCACCTCCACCTACAAAATATAATCACTACACTTTACGGTAAAGCCTGTGAAGGGCTTTGAGACATCCTCCCAATGTGATAGGCGCTGTATCAAATGTAACGATTATTATTTTGCTGTTATGTATCTGTCAACCACCCGCTCACTTCCACCATCTCACACTCTCACCAACCTGTTCCCTCTGGTTAAAGACATACTTCCTCGTCAGTGTCTATCCTGAAGTGTAAGACTGGCAGAGCAGCCTCACTTACCTGGAAGGCAAGCTGGGCAGTGTAGGTGAGCTTATCACATTCAAACAGCCCCCTGATGGTGTACTGGAAGACAGAGAAGGTGAGGCTGTCGATCAAATTGTCCACTCGCTGCTTCAGGTTCTCATCAGCTGTTGCCTTTGAAACAGACATTTGGAACACAACACTGAAAGCCTGGAGGGGGAACAGCACAGGAATTTATCAGCAAATTATGTTATTGGACAATACATCAACAGTTAGAACTTCCTTCCCCATAAACATGTCAAACCCCAAATTAGATTCCGTCCTCCCATCCCTTGTAATTTAATTTCAAAAGTTGCCTTTTTTGGGGGGAAAACATGAAGCGCAGAAGCTGGGAATCCTTTGGGACAGATTCTTTGATCACGCCCCGAAGGTATGAGTTTTATATTTATTGCTCTTTCAACACAAAGGTTTTGACATCTGAACCTTGGCGTTTGATGGAACGATTTGGAGGCAGTATTGGGAATGACAGGTAGTGGGAAATCCAAGACATTTGTTTTTTTAAAAAGTTTATCAATTGGAGCAATTCATCTGCTAACAGGGAACAGGTGCAAATCTGCGTACCTTCAAAGAGAACTGGTACATTGGGTTGATTTTACTCAGGTCGTTCATTATGAAGTACAATAAAGATCCTCTGCCAGCAGCCGCCCGATAATGCTCTCGTGCCTCGTTGATCTTAATCTCCGTTACTTTGGCTTCTTTCACCTGTTTCGAGAGGGATTTGGACGATCAAAGTATAAGATCATATACATTCCATCACAATAAGGAGGCCACTAGGGGCATTGAGTCGTCACTGGAACGAGGAACTCAAACCTAATTCCTTGCTCTACTTTCCTCCACTTCTCTTTCCCCGAAGGCTTCAATATTATTCCTCCACAAACACCTCCTCAATTCCCTTTCAAACAATCTGGTGCTAAACAACCTCGATTATGTGGCCTATTGTCTTGTTGCCTTGGCTTCTCTGACAGTATTGTTGTGGTTTGCAGGGGAAGGAAACTTGCATCAAAATTGGGCACAGAATTGTTCAATGTAAATTATATGAATGTTTTTCCACGTCCACAAGACAAAAGTGCTCCTTGTTCCAATTTGCATCCATGTTCCTCTCGGAGAGATTATAACAACACAGAGCTGTCCTGTTAATACTTGAAAGGTCATTTGCAACTCAGAGTTAACTAGGTCATACATATTCAAAGCTTGGCCTTTTGGCCACAGTTGAGCAAGTCTAATCCCTGTGTTCATCCGGACTCATAACTGGGCAGCTTGCCAGGCTGAGCTCTGAGGAATAGAGATACGACACTGCCAGGAAGACAAAGCCAACTAATGGTGTTATCTTAGCTCCTTTAAAATTGTGCTTCTACCACTGTTTCAAACAGATCCAAAATTAATAATTTCCCCTTTTCTGTTCATCAATCATTTATAAATCTATCAGCCGAGAAGCAACTCTGCTGCCAGGGCTCGTAGAGAAATGCTACGTCCCTCGCAGTGTGAGGACCTCACCTTCTCCTCGATCTCCGCCGCCGTGCGTTTGGTGGTCTCCAGGTTCTCCACCAAGGCCGTGTCTCCGAGGAAGTTTCCAGAGGCAGAGGAGAGGCGGGAGAGCAGGTTGTCCTCCAAGGTTTTCAAGGTGATTTTGAAGCCATTCTGCTGCTTTGTGAGGTTGGACTGTGAAGGAATACCACAGAGAGACTCCAATAATAGTTCAAGAACATTAGCGACAAGTGCAAGGGAAAATAATTCAGGTTACTTGATGCACTCCACTTGGTGATAGCAGGGGGCCATCTCACTCTTGTGACCTAATTAGTAGATAAGAGCAATTACAGAGTGAGGAATTATGATGACTTTGTTAATTAGAGAGGGATCAATAATATATTATTCATATCCACTAGTGGAGGAGCACTGGGGGTGGGGGGGGGAGGGAACTTGCATTGATTTACACCTCGACCAACATTGGGCAGATTAAATCAGACAGAAGCGAAAGTTGATGGCAGTTGTTGTTGTTGCTCTAAGTGAGGGAGATGAAAGAGAGGATTTGGACATTGCTTGTTTATCTAAACTCACGTTGCTGTAACCCGCTTCCACAAGCCAGCTCCTAGTAACCCAAAACAAGGTGGCGTGGAATCTCGTTAAGCTCTGAATTGGCGCTGGGCTGAGACACAAGATTAAAGATTGGCTTCCTCAGTGGGAACTGGGTCAGTTGTGACATTGCTTGGAATAATGATCATTAAAGCAATGGATTGTTGGAAACATCAAGCACATCTAGAAGCTTCTTCACTTCAGACTCCGACCTACCCAGTGGGCAGGGAGTTAAGTGATTTAGATGAAGGCAACCGGCTCACACCAGCTTTACGCCTCCTTTTTAATGAACACAGGCCAAATGCAGAGCAACATAGGTTTTATTCTCCTCTCCCATGCACTGGGTTACAGAACTCGGATGTGCGAAGTGTTGCCTAGAGATCAGAACTTTGATAAAGTTTCAAGAATTCTTTTGAAATAAGAGTTCCCAATTCCCAGAAGCAAATAATGTGAAATGGCAATTAGTTTCTATTTACTCATCTCCCTACCTCCTCCTGCCCACCCCCAACGTCCATCCACTAGCACATTGTCTCCTCAAAATGTCTCCTCTCTTTTCCTGAAGATGTTTAGCTCATTTTTTTCTCTCTTTGATGGTTCCATGGGGCCCCTTGGAGGAAAGGATACTTGACTGATGTTCTCCTCACTAACCCAGAGTGGCTGAAGCTAATTTGAGTTTTTATTCACGTAGACCACCTCATATGATCTCAGTTTGTCACCCGCCCACACTCCATACCCTTTAATATTTCTCATTTGGAAGCATCTATCCAATTCCCTTTTGCAACGATTGATGGCGCTGCCTGAGGAACACTGACACTGCAGCAAAAAAATTCCACATTCCACCCACCCGCTCTGTGTCTCACCTCCCCGTGATAATAATGTATTGGTAGGAACTGGATCAATTAAAATGTACGTATTGCAGCAAAGGGTAAGCTGTTTATTCATGAATTTTGAACCATTATAACAGCAGGGAGAATACATTGATATATGACAGTAATTAGTTGTGTTTGACTGCAATAATTAAGGGAATTAGAAAAACAATTTTTTCAACATCGTTAACATAAAAAAGTGGAATTTATGAAGCTCGATGAACGGTATGTTCTGGCAGCAAAGGAAGCATCATTCACATCCATGTCAAGTTTGAAGCAGTGTTAACATCCCTCTGACAGAATTATTTAATCCAAAACTCAGAAGATTAGCTCTGCTGCACCAGTGAATAGAGTGTAGAGAAGTTTAGGTGAAGAAGGCTCTGAGGTAAGCAGGGGGCATCCCTCCAGAGAGAGAGAGAGCAAGAGAGCGCGTGCCATTTCAACAATCTATCTCTGGGATTCCATGTGAGGTGGGATGCAGGGAATTCTCAGTTTGGTTTGGATACTCTCAAGCCTGGTGATGGGTTTCCACATGTGTCAGACACACTCCTAATAATAATCCCTCCAAAACAGAACAATAATAAATTGGTCATTTTCAATCCACAGCGGTTTGTGGGACACTGCTGTGCGCAATTGGCTGCCGCGTTTTGCCCACAAATATACGGTCAATTCATTTTACAGTCTATTCTGTGAAGCGCTTTGAGCCGTCGAGAAGATGTGAAAAGTGCTATATCAAATACAAGGATTATTATTATTATTATTTATAGCTGACCAAAAAAAACCAAACAAACACAATTTGCAGTTAGATTAGAAAGGTGGCTTTGCATTGTAACATCTGGGAGCTTTTTGCAGGATCGGAGAACCAAGCGCGGAGGGGATAGGAGGGAAGGTGAGAACAACAGAGTTTAGATTACGGTACCTTCAGTTCCTCCAGGTCAGGTCTCTCCATACTGACCACAGACGCCAGCAGCTGGTCCTCCAGGCCATCTCTCGTCACCGTGAAGTTAATGAGCGTGCACTGGGCCTGCATCTCAGGCTGATAGTGGGGATTGGCCAGCTTGGTGTGCAGAATGAGACGAAAGCTGGGATTGTACTCGCACTCCTTGTCTCCAATGCGGATGTACCTGGGTAAGAGAAGGTGGGTGAGTTTCAGTCAGATGGTTAACGTTACTTTTCTAGAACAGTTAGAAGCGAGTTCAGAAAACATTCCTTCAGCCCGAGATTGGGAAGATGCAGAATGCACAGTATTGGCTTTAGAGAGAGAGAAGATAAATCAATTGGGATGTGAAAAGGGAACCAGAACCTCGGGAACTCAGGAGTATGGAGAATAGGCAGCGAAATGGGATAAGACAATGCACCACAATGCAATAAACTGTTCAAAAACAAGTTTGATGGACTGAATTCTCTTGTTCCTAGATGTTTGCACATCAGTTCAGTTGGATGATGTATGAAAAGAACCTCGACGAATCATTCAGCCCAACAGATCCGAGAGAAACATGAGTCACATGAGTCCCTACATGAAGCAGCAATGTCAGCCTCCCAGTGATGTGTGAGCCCTGATGGTGAGTGTCAGCTGGTAACCAGCCACAGGGGGAATCACTGTCCTTAACTCAAGTGTGCTTTGGCCAATCATACGTTCAGGAGGACACCACATCCTATGTTCAGATCCCAGGTATTATTTGAAAAGAGAAGAGGATATTGGGTGTCGATCCTCAAAGAAGAGGTTGCATCGAGTTGGACGTTACACACTGCATTACCAGGAAGGGCGGTACCACACAGAATCACTTTAAAAAAAAGCTTGGATGGGAAGGCAGTGGCTGGGTTTTCTGGCCAGAAGAGAATCTCTCTGCTGCGGTTTTGTGATCTCTGAGAGTTGGTGAGAACACCGATGAAGACTGCTAAGCCTTTTCCTCCCTGTTGCCTTACCTGCCCTTTTTAATGGTTTCTCGGCCCAGTAATGGTCCCAGCACAGGATCGACCGATTCCTCCAGGTTCTCGATGAGGACCACTTCTCCCGACCCCAGAGCAAGCTCCATCATGTCCAAGTATCTGAGAACCAAAACCACAAATATAGATTGAAGCTGATGACTCATGCTTCTCTCCGATCTGTTGGGCTGAACAATTCACTGAGGTTCTGTTTGACATTGGCTTTTTATGTGCTCATTAATGTTTGAGAGCGATAAGACCCCAGGCTGGATTTAAGCCTCTCAAAATTCAAATAATGTTAACACAAGTTCAGGGACAGCTAAAATGAGCATTCTGCACAAATTCATTTATTAATAAATGCTTCTTTCCTGAGGTTTGGGGTGTAAGATCATCTAATCCTCGCTCCCTCTGCCCGGCTAAATCGTACTTGCTGCACATTCCCCGCTCCTCTCTTTCCTACTCAGCATCCAATCTCATCGGTTGTAAAGAGGAGCAAGAGGAGGAATCCTTCAGCCCATCAGTTGTGTTCCACACAACACAGTGATGGAGGCTTATCCTACCTCAATCTTTAAGAACACTGATTTGGCTGCATGTTAATGGCACTTGTCCATTGTGTGGATCCCCATCTCCTGCAGTACATCAGTATCCAAAGGCCTCAGAGGTGATTTGAGAATGGGTTTCTACCTTACATTAAACCCCAATGTAGAGATCTGGTTAAAAGATCTGTAGTGACCAGCATAAGATGAGCTCCCACCTCCGAGAGTTAAACTTAAATCCAACCCAAACATAATGGAGCCAAACATCTGCTGTTTCTGACAGCTAAAAGGGTCCTGAGGGAAATTAGTTCACTCCCAACCCTGCTGCTCACGTCAGGAGACCACAACACAACTACTGACAAGTGACCACTAATTAGTAGTGACATTGAGGGAGGCTGTAATAATGATGTGTGCAACACCAAAATATCACAGCTGCATGATAAAACACGAGCCGTTCTCATCTAAATGCTTTCTGGAATTAGGTAAACAGAATGCCTCCCTCCAGGGAGAGAGTGGGCATTGCATTCCAACAATCTATCTCTGGGATTTCCATGTGTAGATGGGATGCCTGGAATTCTCAGCTTGGTTTGGATACTCTTAAGCAACAGTGATGGTTTCTGCATGTGTCAAGACCCAAAACATTGTCATCGTTGTCGTTGTCTCTGCACAGTGGTGGAGTGACAGTGACAATGTTGTGGCTGAATATCAAGCACATACAGAGAGCAGCAGTGGCACAGGTTTAAAATAAGGCGTTCAGCAGGGCCACAGATACTGGATGCTGTTTCTTAAACAATCTATTACTCAGCAATGACCCTCGTGCTCAGTTTAGATCATAAATTTCCAGGAAAGACTGGTGAAGAAGCTGTGAAAAAATTGGATGCAACGTACAATAAACCAAGTAGCAGTATCTGGGCCCTGTCTGCCGACTGCAAACACATCCTTTCTCACAGCTATTCCCCACCGACACTCGGCGATTCAATCACAATGTTACCAGGGATGAGGAGGTTTCAGTTCAAATTTTAAATAATTGCACACAAAAATATATAAAGAGGAGATTAGAAAAATATCTTCACATGGGGGTGGGGTTGGGATACGGAATTCTCTTCCACAAGTTGTGGAAGGAAAGTACATACATTGTTCTAAAGGGAAATTGGTGCTTTATGAGAATTGGTGCTTTAAATATATGTCATTTGTTGTTGTTGGGCTAAATGGCCTGTTTTGTTGCTGTAAACATCCAATCATTGTACAACAGTAACCAGCTACAAATGGATCATCATTCGAGAGAAGCGAGCTATTGAATCGCTTACCCTCTCTGGCCAATCCTCAGGACTTTGAGGTGCTCTCCACACTTGTTCTTGATCCATTTGATGCCCTGCAACTGGGGGTCAATCATGAGAGGCCAGCGCTCGCAGTTGGTGAGGATGGTGGCGTTCTCGGTGGACATTCTGTCTGCGGGCAAACCCTCGTTCTGCCAGGCAGCGATGTCAGCATCGTCTGTGAGCATTGTCAGGGAATCTCGCTCAGAGGTCACAGGGATCGGAACCTGCAGGTGGGGAAACGCACAGCATTTGGGCCTGTCTGGCACCATATTATACACTCACAATTTATGTACTGCTTCCAATTCACGAGTGAATTCAAGAATTTGCTGCTCGCTGTCCACACCATTTAATATTCCTCTTTCTGCCCTTTGGGTGAGATGTTGATTTATTTAATGCCTTTCATATCGGGAGGACACATCAAAACAACACAGGTGAGTGGGCACACACTCCTGGGGAGGGGCAAGGAAATAAGAGGGTTGAGGGATGGGGGTGGAGAAAAGATGACCCAAACTACAGTTTGAGCGCAGAGCATGTCAGAGGGACTCAGAGAGACTCAGAGATGTACCAAGATGGAATAATAGAGTCTAGCTTCTCGTCAACAAAATTTAATTTCAGCACGACTCATCACCATCAGTAACATATTTGGCAGTTTTTAAGACCGCATTGCTATTAAAATAAATATGCTTGTTTAAAACAGCTGTCTGCCAGTCATTCAATTGAAATGTTACATCCCAATAAAACAAGCAACAAAGCGATGGCTATTTTAAGGAATCAATTCATAAAAAGGACTCCAATAAAATTGTAAGAGATCAGACCATATAAATCACATGGCTAGAAAGTCCTGACTGGAGGAAGAGATTCCACCTGTGTCTCGATTTACTTCATTTACGTAGCACTTTGGAACATCCAGAATTTGACAGTCTGTTAAATTCAATCTTAACTCTGAAATCGCCAAGAAGGTTTAAGAATTTGCCAAGTTTTGGACGCTCTAAATTGCTGCATAAGTATAATAATAATAGGACGTCTCAAAGTGCTTCACAGAATATACTGTACAGTGTAGTGACTGTATATATTTTGTGGGCAAATTGCGGCAGCCAATTGCGCACAGCAGCGTTCCTCAAACAATCATGGATTGAGTGACCAAATTATTTTTTNAAAAGGGATTATTACCACAGAGAATAATCCGCCAATCGTCTAACTGCTGGGTTCCTACTTATTGCTGATAAACAGAGGCATCCGGAGTAAGGAAACTTCCCTAAGGTTTCACCCTGCCCGGGAATCAAACCCAGTTCTTCTCGCTTGCAAAGGCGAGTGCTCTAACCACTAAGCTACAGGAGTCCACAATAAATCCCGGGTGGAAAGTGGTTCTGAAGCCCTGAAGCTATTCTGAATTTTGTCTTACTGACGTTTCATCATTCTGCAGATCATACCTTTAATTAAACCACTGCGACAGTTTTGCTAAAATATTCATCCTTTAATGATCCTCGCATTTGATATATAGCCTATAATGTAATGTGATATGGAAGAGTCACCAAGGTTATTGCTATCAAGTGAAGTGCCTGTAATTGTTGGCAAACATTTTGCACACACTAAACTCCCATAAACTGCAATGAGGTGAAGAACCAATTCATTTGGAAGATTGTTGGCCATGACACCGGGAAAAACTCCCTTCTGTTTCTATACAGTTTAATAACCTCCAACAATGCAGTTCTCCCCCAGTAAAGCAATGGAGCGTCAGGTGGAGATATGACTGCGATCTCGAGTCCCAATGTGGGGCTTGAACAACAACAACAACAAAATCGGGAAGATGTCCCAAAGCGCTGGATGGCCCAGGATGTGCACGTAAAACTTTCAATTTAGAGACAAGAGTGCTAGCAAATAAGCCAAGCTGGCTCTGCTGTGCTTCAATAATAATCACATGACAATAGACCAAATTTCAATTGCTCTTTAACACAGTGTGTTTCATAGCAAGATTTAAAGGAGAGCCATTCTAGATAAGTATGACTAATAAGAGATTTTACCAAAATTAACAAGTCAAGTGGAGATGACTTAGACACTTGATTTTATAGTAAATGGTTAGCACTTTGAAGAGTCATTAGCATAGTTTGATTCCACTGAGACAATGGTATAAATTATATAATATTACAGATGGTGGAGTGAGTAATAGGGTGTAATTTAATCCGGGGACATCCTTAAACTACTTGAGATTTATTGCGGAGGTTTGTTTTCAGAACTCCTCAATTAAAGCACAACCTTGCAACTCCGCACCATCCCTAATCTTCCTTGTGATTAGATTACATTAGCAACTGGGATGTGCTATGGGGTGTCAAACAGGACACAATGGGTATTCATACACTCTGCACACTAATAATAAGAGATTTTACAGTGTTATGGGTCCACACACACAAAGCCCCAAAAGAGGTTTCTTAAAGACCAAGAGAAAAGATATAGAGTATTCAATCCCTCTGCCTTGACTCCCCTTTGCCCAACTTCAAAAGACTTTCCCCTTCAACAGTGCCTACAGTCACCTCCCCTTTCTCCCTGGCTCAGCGTCAAACTACGTCATTGTTAAGTGCTCCAATACTACCCCATGTGAAGGGCGCTGTATAAATGCAAGTTGTCATTGCACCTTTGTGAATCACAGAACACAAGCTACAGCTGGTGTTTAAATAGCGTACCAGTCAAGAAGGAATTTGTTTAGAAGGTGCCTTTAAGAGAAAACAATTAGCCACACTTCTTGCCCAAAATAAAGAGCTTCTTTTTTGAAATTATAATTCTGAGACAAATTGTTCAAAACAAATACAAACTGCACATTTCCTGAATAAATTAATTAGACTTTGATATTCTCATTTATAAAATGATTGAAGATTCTCACAATACAACAAATGTATGTGTTTAATTGGCCTCTTGGTTCTCCTTAACAATGGCGATTAGTTGATGCCAATTTCTGAAATTAGATCTTTTTATCAAGTCTTTGCAATGGAATGGAAGGTGTAGCAAAGAGAAGAGTTCTTAATAGTGATGAGCCCAAGCTAACAACTGTAGACTACCTGCAGGAAATGTTAATGAAGGAGTTACAAAAACTGTTCATTGTAAAGGTAGAAAAGAAGATGAAGCTCTCACCTTGACCTGCCCAAGATAAGGTCTCCACTTCCCATCCATCAGATCCTGCCTGTACTTCTTTGTGAAGTAGCCCAGATACGAGACAAAGGCCGTGATCAGCAGCACATCACCACAGAGCATGTTCTCCTGCTCTTTGAAGTTACGCACGGATTCTGCCCAACGTACGTTCTCTGAAGCCAAACCACCGACCTGCAAGGGATACACCGCTTTGAAATAGATCAGAGCAAACCCAGGGCTGAATAGATGAGGGACCCGGGAGCTTCATTACTTGCAAGGAGAGATGCTAGAGCTCGACACGGCCGGTGATTGGCAGATGTGGGAGAAGGGACAGTGAAGCTGTAAATCAATTCTGAAGGGAAAAGGATGAGGAAGAAAATAACTAATAATAATGTGGTCGGTCAACCCACCACTGTTTGTGGGACACTGCTATGCGCAATTGGCTGCCACGTTTCACCCACAACTTCACCCACAGTCAATTCACTTTACAGTGTATCCTGTGAAGCGCTTTGAGACGTCTCGAAGACGTGATCAGGCGCTGTATCAAATGCCAGGATTATTATTATTATTACTTAAAAAAAAGCCATGAATTTTGTGAGGATGTAAAAAAAAAGCCCGAGAGAATCCCAGCCAGTGCTTGTTGGGGTCAGACTCTGGCTTTTTGCCCCAATCTCAACCTGGTGTGTGTGTGTCTCTTCCTGCTCTGCCACAGGGGGTTTCAATCACAACAGCTTTTAATCATCTTTAATCAAGACCTTGTGGAAATGAGAAGTGACAGCTTCACGTGTCAGCCGCGTAATCGAGAAGCACAAAGAGAGGAGCCTGCGATCTCCATTATTCATGGGGCTGCTGCTGAAACAAGATTGCGCGTCCGTCACCTGGATTTATGGACCTCAGCTGGCAATTCTGCCGTTGCTAACACGGGGAAGAAAGAGCTGGCAGGCAGAATTAAAAGGACACGGCGGGGGTGGGGGGGGGGAACGGGCGGTGGGGGGGCGAGCTTCTTTCCATCTTGTGTACTTTTATTTTGCGCTGTCGGCATTTTTCACCCTCTTTATGAGGTGTGCGAGCGCACGTTAAACCCCTCCCCGCCTCCGGAGCAGGACGCCAGGGATTTATAATCTCTCTCGCGGAGCGACTGAGCCACGTGGGCTTCGGCAGCGCTCTCGGCTTTTCTTTTATTACACTGTGACACAAGCCTCAGACGTGTCTCCTCAGCCACCAGGTAAGTAACAGGTCAAACACTTTGAAGCACATCCTGTGAATCGCTTCGAGACCGTCTGGAAGACGTGATCAGGCGCTGTGTTAAATGCAAGGATTATTATTATTATTATCCACAAATCATCAACACACGCCCGCACATGCATGCGTACACACAAACACGCACACGCCACACATATGCGCACACGCCACACACACGCGCACACCCACACAAACACGCAGCAGTACAGGATTTTGAACGGGAGTCTTGTCATCAGGGCAACGTTTAAAAAAGCACTTTAGTAATGAATTATGTATAACATTAACATGCTTTTTTTTCGTCTATTTTAGTCAATTTGCTAAACACTGAGTGGCAATCACTGGCTTCGTCAGAGACACCAGTTAAGAGCTGCTGCACTGGGCTGGTTGTACTCGTTCAATGCTGTAAGGTAATCAGGGCTCTAAAATCTGCCACTTCAACGTAAAGTGGGATGTTAAGCTCCTGATATAAATATGAAATGACTGAACAATGCAATGTGAAGGTGGTAGGTCTGGCATTCTGGAAAGTTAATAATAATAATCCTGGCATTTGATAATAGCGCCTTTCCAGAAAGGTACAAGAAAATGACAACAAATGGAATAAAAGCCATATTTACTGCAATTTTTTTGGTTGCGATATTTTGATTGCTAAAGAGGGTTCTGACAGGAAGAGCACGTCGGATTTGTAAACCTACAGATGAAAGGCGACCGCTAAAGATGTCAACACAACCCATTTAATGTGGCAGCATCACAAGATTTTAGATGACAACATCCCCCACCCCTCCCCACCCACTACCCCTGGAGAGTTTGTCAAAGCTACGGGTGAATCAAGATATACTTTATCTCAACTCAATCTAACTCCATTTATTCAGTCCCAGAATAGGCTGGGAGATAGCCCTGGAAGGACAGTGAGGCCCTAACCAAGACACGTGGGATGCTGTCCATGATGTGATTTCCTAGGCTATTTTCAGTGTGAACGTTTCCCTTAGATCATATGCCTGCAAGCGATCACAACGCTGCAAGGGCTTATTCTAGTCAGGAACCTTTAATGTTAAAAGTAGGGCACAATCAACTGTGCCAGCCAATGATCCAATTCCATGTCAGCACACACACCGACCTCACTCAATATACCCCTGCGCTCGGAAAGCAATGTTGCCAAGTTTTATAATGAGAGTCAATGTTTCACACCACACTGCAGAATGAGGAAAGCAAAATGTAGGAGTCAGAATCGAGCAGCCTTAGGCTGTTCAACAGTTGTGTACAATATAATAATCCTTGCATTTGATCGCTAGCTCCTGCACACGGTGACAGCAGTCCCGAGTTCCAAACCAAGTGGAACAAAGAATTGCTGGACAAAAGAAGACCAAGGTACATCCAGTTTGCCTTCTACCATCCTGGCAGTCACATGCATAACGTCATGTCCCAAACTCTGTACTGTAGAGTTGGGTTGCAATGGGTTAGGGAGACTCACCAATCGATTGGCCAGGCTGATGGTCCGTGCGGTCGATTCGGCTTCCTGTTGGCACTTCAGTTTATCCGCAGTCGCTCGCTCAAACTTTGCCGTTAGCTTTGCTAAGTTTTCATTGAGTTGCTATAAAGGTAAAGAGACGATTTGCTTCATTACGAGGTTGGTTTTGCCATTTTTTTCCATTGGAAAAAAAACGTTTAGTAATTTTACCCTAAACTTTGTGAGCGTACTGACATCGCTAGTACGTTAAACTGCAATTAGCCAATGTCCTCTCCCACAAAACATTTATATTACAAACACCCAAAACCCGAGCAAAAAAAATAATAATAATCTGGTCACTCAATCCACGACTGTTTGTGGGACGCTCACTGCTGTGTGCAATTGGCTGCCGAGTTTCACCTACAAAATATACAGTCACTACACTTTACAGTATATTCTGTGAAGAGCTTTGAGATGCCTCGAAGACGTGATAAGGCGCTGTATCAAATGCAATGATTATTATCATTATTATTAATTGTACTTACGGCTATCTTGGCTTTGATGTTGGTCAGCTTATCCTGAGCCGCTGCCAATTCCGCGTTGGCTTTGCTGAGCGCTTGCCGCTTGGGCTCCACCTCGCAATAAACTTGGTAAAACTTGACAATGTTGATGACCCAGGAGCACAGGCCCGCGGCAGCGAGGGACTTGGATGCGATGAACTCCTGGTTGAACTCGGGATCGTGCAGGTAAGGCTGGATGGCTCGGAGGCAGGCGTCGGGGATGTTTTCTTTCTTGAAGGTGATCAGGGAGTCCAGGAAGCCATCCACTTTGGCCATCATGACCTTTGCCGCCTTCCAGCTGCGGTCCTTGGGTATCTTCCCCCCGGGCGCCATCAGCACCAACACCGCGGCCGTGACGTTAGACACCGCGGAAGGAGGGGAGCCGAAGGACTTCAATTCTGTTAGATTGTTCTGGGGAAACCAGTGGAGAGTGACAATGGCTGGACTGTGCAACAACTCAAGAGTCGCGTCTTTGGTTCAACTGAGCAGACGTAGAGCGCAGCTGGAGTTTAAATACTGAGAGTCAACAACACCAACAACTTGCATTCACACAGCGCGCTTCACACAGGATAGCGTCCCATAGCACTTAACCCAGTGGCGGAGCAGGATGCCGAGGCTGGGGCGGGTGGGGGTGATGGGGGCTGGGGAAGAAGGAATCCAATAAAATGAAATGTAACTCCCTCCCCATCACCCACCAATCCTCCTGCAGTAAAACAATGGCTCTAATGACTTGTTAGCTGTGTAGTTGCAGAGTCCTCAGTGTTTCCAACATCCAAGGAATCAAACGCCATTTGATCAGCAACAATGCTTGCATAATTGACCTACTTCTGCTTTGTTCAAATCATTTTCAAATTAAGCAAATCCATTTTGTTTACACCCCTCCACCCACCCCTCAAAAAAAAGATTAACAAATTAAGGCCAATTTAGATGAGATTGTGGAAATGCAGATTCAATTAAGTTTGTGCAAAAAATTCTGTTGACAGACAATTTTAGTATTGAAATAAAATAGACCTTGGCGAGATCTTCAGAAATGTACAGCGCAAAATAATAATTTAAAAAATCCATTTATCATTCACATTGTGCTCAGGGCAGAGTAGACGGCACCTCAATTTAATAGCCACCCCAGTGACTTTCTTTAACGTTCCTGAACAGGAGGGAGCTTGTTCAACCTCAGCATCGCTGGGAAAACATTCCTATTCACTGCAATGCAAAGTTAAGCAGTTAAAAATCAATTGTGTGAAGTCAAATCATTTGATCGAAAGAGTTTGCTCATGGTTAAAGATCAGACAGCTTTCTCTTCCTGTCAATGAGATCACTCGCAATGATGTCGTTACAGCTGTAAATCAAATCTAAATAGGTTAAACGTTAGTTTGACCAAGATACAAACAAGAGGGTTGACGCTATTCCTCTCCTGACAAGGCAAAAGGCTCCATTTTATCTTCTTAAGTGCACTGAAGTAAATCAAGCTTGCAGCGGGCCAGCGATTAAAGCGCACGGCTTACTGTTTCATTATTTAACTCAGCATAAAAGCATTTGTACAGTACATCAAGGGAAATTAAAGTTGTATAAGTTCGGAGGGGCTGGAGAGAATGACTGAAGGCTCCCAGTTACAAGTTTGCTTGTTGATTGCAGTGGATGAATGACCTGCTCTCCCGGTCACCCACTTAAACTGTCAATTACGCTGTGTATAAAGAAATACTTCCTGGTGTCTGCCCTCAACTTGTCTCTCACAATCCTGAACCTGCCTGTGCTACTTTGATATATCTGGATTTATTTTCTGCTGCCAATACCCTTATTTGTCAATGACCATTGGGGTTTGTGGATTGAGCACACACCCTGATAACTCACAAAGCAGCTTTGTGTTGTAGATAGTTGGCTCGAGGATCATACCCTCCACAAGCCAAAAGCGATGGGATTCTATTGGGAGTAAAGTGAAGGGGGAGAGCCCATCAATAAGGTTAGGACTTGATCTTAGGAGCTTTGCTTTGCTCTTAGGTAAAGTCTTACCTTGTTCAATGTGTTAAGAGCATCCTGAGCCGCCACCAATGCAGGCTCTGCCTTAGCTAAATCCTCCTCACAGTCTCTCTGCTTCTGAGTGACCTCCTTAGCAATGAGAGCCACCTTCTCTTCCTCCTCATCTGCGATCGCCTTTTCCTTGCTGACCTTCTCGGTTTCCACCCCAACCACTTGGATAAGCTTGTCGGCGTCTTCGTTCTTCTGCTGCAGCTCCACCTCCTGTGCGGCCAGCTTAGCCTTCAAATCGTCCACCTGCGGGTCCAAGGGTTTGCTGTTATAGGAACATAGGAACAGGAGGAGGCCATTCAGCCCCTCGAGCCTGTTCTGCCATTCTATAAGATCATGGCTGATCTGTACCACAACTTCAATTACCCGACCTTTCCTCATATCCCTTGGTACCCTGTGACCTAACAAATATCTATCCACCTCAGCCTTGTAAATTTGAATGGATTCAGCCATAATCCACAGCCTTTTTGGGGAGAGATTTTCAGATTCCCACCACCCTAGTCCAGCCGGGAAGTGACGAAGATGTGGATGAGGGTTTTGGCTGCATTGGTTGTGAATTACGGATGGGGGCGGGCAATGTGACCTTGAAATTCCAGTTCAAGGTAGAAATGCCTGGTTTGTGGTCATTATCCTCACATCCCCAGCCCCATTAGGCCAGCTCCAAATTCGAGCCACCTCATTTTCCAATCTGTGACCGTGCTCATCCCTACAACCTAACAGCACCCAGTCTCAGACCTCGATCATTAGTCACCTTCTCTTCCCAGGTTTCTTTACGAGTTATAAATCCCACTAATGATCCAGAGTAAAATTGTCAGCATTAACATTTAACCGCAGGCGGTAATGAATGGGTTACAAGACTAAATTCACAGCATCTCAGCAGCAATGACTGACAATATGCTGGCATGGCTGCACCTATTTGCATTAATCACTCGGGGACTTTCTAGACCTACAGGAAGATACTTTCCTGCTTTCATAACTGTGTCGTTGGGAGTCGTTCAAAAACACAATTATAAAAAAAAGCAGCTTCAAATAGCTTCTGAGCAGCAAAAGAGCAATAAAAATACAGCTTATACAAAAGATTGTGGTACATTAGAAAAAATAGATGTATGCGCTGCTACTCTCTTCAGCTTTGCTCACAAAGACTCTCCGATGACCCATCTCTTCAGCAGTGTCTCCCATCAACTCTGAATTCACAACATCAGTTCGGATGAAGGAGGCCTTTCAGATCTCATTCTTCCAGAACACCCACACCCCTCCTTCCTATATCACAGCTTCAAAATTGCCCCCACAAAATACAGCCAAGTAACTTTACAATATATTCTGTGAAGCACTTTGATACTCTGTTTACCGATAGCTCTTCCCTTGGACTCTACTTCCAGAGTAAACAGTGCAAATATATGACTTGCAAATATATTACACCAATTGCCTGAAAATGAAACCCTACCAACATTCAACGTGTGAAGCAAAGGACTGCCCCTCACCTGTGCCGAGGTGCCTTTGAGTTTCTGGAGCCCGTTCTCCAGACGCTCCATCTTGGCCGTGAGCTCTTTGGTTTTCTTGGACAACAGGTTCTGGTACAGTTTGATCTGCTCCAAGAACGACTTGGGGGTGGTGTAATTGTAGCGACGCTCATTGGCCAGGTAGGACTTGGAGATCTCGTTGACGGTGATGTGGACGTAAGCCATGAATTTGCTGACAGATTCCTTCAGTGTGGGCTGAAGGTAAGGCGATATGAGAGGTGAGAGGTTACTAATGAGAAGACAAGGCACAGTGCTCACATTCCCTCTCTCGCTCCATGATCTCCTGCAATTCTATTCCCTGCCCATACCCTCTGCTTTGCCAACTCCCCAGCCCTCTCTGCTCCATCATCAGCCTTTAGTGACTGCTCTGTGGAGCTCCCTCTACCTCATAACCTCCCTCTCCATTTTCATCTGCCTCTTTGATTGTCTCTTTAATCATCTCTCAACTAACCCGCCCCCCACCACCCATATCTCCCACCCACTGGTCGGGCTCACACTCCACCTCAAGGAAGAGCTTTAAGACATATAACTGTGTGAAATGTGCCTTTACAAGTGCAGGTGATTGTCGATGTCAGTGATCATAATGAGATCCAAACCCAGCATGCGGACAGCCCTTCAGTAGAGACCTAGATTAAATCAGGGAGAAAGCAGGCGTATCAACAGGGATTTAAACAGCCTGGCACTGCCAACGCTCCCGTCCTCCATTAACCAGTGCCGCTCGGGCTCCAGTTGCTTCAGTCCCCCCAGTCTTGCTCTGTGTGTGAAAAACCGAATGCACAAAATAAACAGGGAAGTCACAAACACTTTGCCCAAGACAGACAGACAGACAGACAGGCAGACATCACTCTGCTACTGAAGGAAATATATGAGGCTCGACACGAGGCTCATGGGAAATCGCCAGAAGACGATGGGAAGGAAACAACAAAACAATTTAATTAAAAATTGATAGATTTTCTGTTGATGAAAGGGGCCACATGATAGCGTGAGGCACCAAAGCCACCAAACCCGCTCGAATAACTGCCGCTGAGCCACATACATCAATGCTGTCGATCCCCTGGAGGAAGCGCAGGCTGACAGACTCCAGAGCCTCCAGAGGCCACTCGTGGAACCAATCGATGGCAGTGCAGTTCACAACGGCGGGGAATTTCCTGCTCCGCAGTCGGAGCTTGTTACCAACAGGTGAGAAGCACAGGGCAATCTATTAAGAAACAAGTTGTACATTATCCCTGTCAGTGTTAAAACAAGACGCCTTCTGCGTCCTGAGCCGAACAACAAGAGACGCATTCAGCAGCAGTTTCTCTCAACTAACAGCATCAACTTGGTGATTTGAATTTAACCCTGGCTTGAGTTTGCTCAGTTCATTGACTCATTAGCTAAGGTGCTGGAATCTGTCTAGCATTTTAACAAAGCGACTGAAATACAATAAAGCCTGGTATTCACAGCTGGCTGACAATTTGTGCACATCATATCATAAGCTATGGAGTGGGTAGCCAATATTGTATCTGGGGGATTGCTGGTCAGGACACCAGGTGAAACTTCCATCATTACGAAGAATGATGTGGGATCTCTAAGATCCACCTGAACAGATAGACAGCAACAGATAGACATGTTGCAGTCAATGAAATTTCATAGCTAAAGGGGACGTGCTCTTGACGTGAAAGGCACTCTACAAATGTCATTTTGTTGTTGAAAATCCAAATCAGACTGTTTGCTCCCTTTCTCATCACCTCCAGGCAACTGCTGTTCCCAAAGTGGTTTGGGGAAAAGGAATTCCTGAAATAAACCGGAGTAAGAGCGGGGGGAGTGGGACTAGTGGGTAGCCCTTTCAAAGAGCTGGCACAGGCACAATAGGCCAAATGGCCTCCTTCTGTGCAGTAAGATTCTATGAAACCAGCTTCACTTTTTCAAACTTCCAAGCTCTTTATGAACAGGCTGGAATTATAGTCAGAGACAAGTTAAAAGATTTTTGGGTGTCTAATGTATTCTGAGGTGTGCCTGGAATAAAGCTTTAATGTGAATACTCCAGAGTGCCAATCCCGCAGGCTTAAATCGAACATGTATGGGCTTTAGATAACAGCTACCTCAGGCGATTTACTTTAATCAGGTTTCTCACCAGAGATAAATCAATGACAAGGAGAAAGCACCATACCAATAAGAGACACAGCCACAAATTACTATTCTGAGCAGTCCTGTCACCGTGTAACCACCTCTGCCTCCCCCACATATACGTGATCCACCAACAACAAATTACAGTTACACAGCGCCTTTCACGTCTGGAGGACATCCCAAGACATTGGAGAGTTAAGGGTTTGCACGCGATCTGGGGCTTAGAACCAAGAGGGCTGGTGGTGAGGGGGGAGCGGGGTGGGGGGGAAGGAGAGTGTGGCTGAAGGCACGGTCAAAGAGGAAGATCTTGAGACGGGCTTTGAAGGAGGCACGAGAAGGGGTGAGGTGGAAGGATTTGGGGATGGAGTTCCAGAGGGTGGGGGCAGAAAAACTGTTGGTAGCCAATTCCGGGGCAGGCAGAGCAGGGGATATGCTGCAGGCTGGTGGCCACCACAAACAAAAACAACTTAATAATAATAATAATCCTTGCATTTGATATAGCGCTTTTCATGTCGGGAGGACTTCCCAAAGCGCTTCACAGAACACACTATAAAGTGAATTGACTGTATATTTGTGGGCGAACGCGGCAGCCAATTGCGCACAGCAATGTCCACAAACAGTCGTAGATTGAAAATGACCAATTTATTATTGTTTTTGGTTTTGGAGGGATTATTATTAGGCTCTGTGTGGAGTAAGGAAACTTGCCCAAGGTTTCGCCCTGACCTGCCTGGGATTGAACTCAGGTCTCTCACTTGCAAAGCGAGTGCTCTAACCACTGAGCTGCAGGACTCCACAAACTTATATTTATACAAAGCTTGAGGACCTCAGACTGTGCTTGTCCAGCTAGGGACCACCCTGCCTATTAGGGCTTTGTCTTGCAGGGTTAACAAGAGCCAAGTAGGAAGATTCCTAGCTCCCAGTGTCCTTCCTTCAACTTGTTCATACCTTCAATTGCTTCCTGACACGATCTATGAAAAATTTCCAGCAGTTTTCCCTGGTGTCCATCAAACCTTGACCCTTGACTTCATTTCGCACACCATTGATGATGTTCTCCAATTCATCATCAGGGAACAGGTCAGGAATTTCGCCTGTGGTGCAAAAGTCCATTAGGAACACAGCACAAGTCCAACTAAACATAAACACATCCTGAGGAGTCGTGAGAAATTATTCTGGCTCAATTTTTCATTCAGTTGAAAAGCTTTTAGTTGGAAAGAGAAAAAAAACATTTGGACATTCACTTATTTATCAGATGTTTATGAAGCCGACATTCAGTTAAGACCAAACAGTCATTTACAATGGGTTTCCTGCCTGAGGACAAATGCTTCTCTCTGCTTTCTACTGCGTCCCCTCTGCTTGCACAGTGGAAGGAAATCACAGCCATACAAATGCTGGCATTTGTAAATGCTACTTTAATGCTGTCGTCATCTCACAGTGAATACCAGTTCATCAATGAGTCTCAAACAGTGAAAGGATTTATTTAAATCACTAACAAACCCAAGAACCCCAGAGCAGGACAGCATTGAGGTTGAAAGTGTTAAATGTTTAATAGGGTAGAGCACCACTTATCCTTTCACTGGTGAAGCCGGGCTGTGAATTTAGCAAAACTCCTCCTTAACTGTGCACAAAGTCACTTGGATCCTCACACAGTTACACACACGCTGTGTGAAGTGAAGAGCTGTGGTGCAGGTACATGCATGGATAAAGAGAGGGACAGAGAGAGAGAAACACACACACACAGAGGCAGGGAGAGGGACACAGAAACACAACAGGGACCTGATATCTGCACTGTTTTAGTATCCACAATGTGGGAGTCACCACATGGTGAGGATACCCGGCTCTGGACCACAGGCAGCTCTCAGTTGGAATGGTCTGATGCCCTAAAACCATTAACCAACCCACCTGATGCCAGCAAGTCGTTCACAAGCACAAGAAATTTCTCATCTGCTACTTGAGCATCTGTCATGAGGAAGACGGTGCCTATGTTCTTCATTCCAGCTTTTAAATATAGATTAGCGAGATCTGTCTGCAAATAAAATCACAAGAGTTACATGTCAGGACCTCGTAAAGTGTTTGTGTTTGATGTGGAGGGTAAGCCAGGGCTTGGCATGTCTTAGACAGAGGGTAAGCCAGTTAGTTTGGAGTGTCTCATTAGCATTGAAAGACTGGCGATTATGTGTTTTATTACAATCGCTTCATTTGAAACCCGCATTTCAGTAATTGACCTGTTCTACATGCTGTTATATCCCAGCGCCTTGGGACATCCTCCCGGTGTGAGAGGTGCTATAAACATGATTTGTTGTAGTTCGCCCACAAAACACACAGTCAATTCACTTTACAGTATATCCTGTGAAGCGCTTGGAGACATGATAGGGAGCTGTGTCAATTGCCAGGATTATTATTGTTGTTACATGAGAACATGTGCTTGGGGATCTCTCTTACCTTCAGATCGACGATGCTGTAGCCTTTCCTCAGCGTGATCTGGAAGACTTCCAAAGAGCTGATGAAAGCCGCTAGTCTTGTCAGACTCTGCTTCCCACTTCCCCCAACCCCGATCAGCAGGGCGTTGCCTCTGGGAGCCTCGAGAATGCGATTGATACGGCATCTACACAAAGAAAACATTGTAATCACAAACTAAACTATTACACTCGACTCATCAAAGCTCACTCGCTTCCACAAGCCATGTGTTCACCCCCCACCCCCCCCATTCCATCATGGGGTAAATGTCCTGCACAGAGACTCCCAGATCCCCACAGTTAATAAAACACGAACTCCAGAATATCACTCCTCCTGACCCCAATCCCCAGCTCAGGATTATCAATTGCAAAGATTATTATTAAGATTAAAATTTCCTCCAAACCCAGGCCCAACAAGAAGGAAAACCGTTATGTGCTGCGGAACAGCGTTTCATCTCAGTCTGCGCCTGTCTCTCTCTCTTTGTATCCTCCAGCACTGTTGTCAACCAGGTACGTATTGAGTTAACTTTCAAAGAAAGAGAAATAAGTGTTTGTGATCTCACATGTGGGACATGGCATCCTCGAAAAGAACTAAGTTCATGGCAGCATTGACTTCATTGTAATTGTCCAGCGCTTCCACCAGGATTTTGTTGACGGATTCCCAGTCCTCCACAGGCATGTACTTGGGTTCCCCTACACCATGGGCAAAATGGCAGTACATGTTCATCGTCCTCGTCTGCTCCAGGGTCTCCTCCACATCCTGGGAAATCAAACGCAAGAGCTTCCATTAAAACCCTGAGCTCTTCTAAACCTTGAGTGACATTGCCTCAACATAAGAGAGAATTCTCAATACCGTCCCAAGGCCGAGTCTGTATTTTTCTCCAGTTCTTTGGGGAAATATCTGAAGAGAAATAATACAAATGGCAACAAATACAGCCCTTGCACTCTGCTACATACGTCATAGAACTTTTTGACCATTTCCGTCTGTATTTTATCAAAGGTCCCAAAGTCCTTCTCTTCCAACATCTTGTCTCTGTACACCCGGTTCGACTCGTGCAGATAAAGCTTGACCAGATCATGAGGGGACTTCAGACAGTCAGGTGTACTGAACAGAATGCCCTGGAAACACAGAATAGACCAAATATTATTAATGTATTGGCTAAAACAATGTGGCTGCTGTGGTATCCATGACACTGGTTACAGAGCTGGGCACAGACACGTTCACTGGAGACGGCACCCGATACACAAAAGGTTGTCAAATCTCTGATGGGGGTTGAGAAGTTAAATAGGGGGAATGTATGTCCACTGGTTAGTGAATTGGTAACTATATGGCATTAATTTAACAGATATCCCCAAGTCCCTCTCTTCCAGCATCTCATCTGTCTCTTGTTTCCTGCAGGTGCAGCTTGATCAGATGTTGAGAGATCCTTCAATTAACTGGCATTGCTGACCAACACTCAGGACATTGGCAGCCCTGACGGGGGATGGTTCCCTGAGCGCCAGCCTCGGGCAGACTCCAATCATCACCAAGAAAACAAGGGGGAAGGTGAGTTCATTTCTTTCACAGAACAGAGGGTGTGAGGACATGGAACACCAACCAAAACTGTGATGGACGCAGAATGCACAGCAGCTTTTCAAAGGGAATCAATAATAATAATAAAATAATTCTTGCATTTGATACAGTGCCTTATCATGTTGTTGAAACATCTCAAAGCGCTTCTCTGAATATGCTGTAAAGTGGATTGACTGTGTATTTTGGGGCGAATTAGACAAATGGCTGAAAAGGAAAAGTACCAAAGGGAATGGCTGGGGAGGGTTGGGGGAGAAGACAGGGACTGAGCAAATAGCTCTTATAGAAAGCTGCTATGAGCACAAAGGGCTGAATGATTTTCTATCTGTACTGAAAGATTCTCTGATTGTAATCAGGAAGCATTTAATAACAAATGTGTGTATGACATGCAATAGCTGCTGCTAACAAGTAAAATCCTATCGTAAAATTGTTTTGCACACAAAATGTATGGTCAATGCACTTTACATCTGTGTGTATATCCTGTGAAGTGCTTTGAGACGTCTCGAACACAAGATAAGGCACTGTATCGAATACAAGGATTATTATTCTTATTATTATCATTATCATTATCTTCCCTCCCTGAGGCTCTCTCTGTGATGGGGTTAGAGAGAAATCGTTTTACTGCTCACAACACCAGACTCTAACATCTCAACCTTTGATGCAAGAGGCCACTGAATAACATTGTCTCTGCACTCAGACAGGCAGTTGGCTGCTCAGCTACAATTTCCTATCACTCTGTCTCCAGAGGAAACCATCGCTGTCCTCTCTCCATTATGCTGGCACTTTGAATACTGCGGGGGATCATTTCCATGGACGGAAAGCTGGTATCAATTGACACCGTGAACACTTTAGGAGCCCGAGACAAGTCCTGTAAATGTAATAAATCTGTCCCTCAGCGGAGAGCGCTGGTTTTTTCGAGGCTTACAGAATCTGAGCAGTGGAGGCTTGATGGTGGATGGACGCTGTATTCACTCTATTAATCAGGGAACTGCTAAAACACTCCGCAAGAAAACTGTGTGATTCCAAGTTCCTACATGGGGCTCAGTACTGTCTGAGTGGAGCTTAGTTCAAAGACTTTCTTATCTCCCCCAAATGATATAGTTGGGCTGCACTGTGTCACACAGAGAATTTTGCTGCGTTCAATATATTGACTTCAGTGATCTCAGCCGAGGAGGTGAGGAGTTGGGACTACAATTGGCCTTGGGTCATGGAGAGAGTAAAAATGCTCCCATTCGATTTCCACCAGAGACACCTACTGCTGAGAGGAAGTGGAGTGTATGTGGAAGTGGAGGGAGGGGAGGGGGGGGATGGCTTTGTATTGGCTGGAATCACCCAGCAAGTGAATAATCTGCCGCACTCCTTCTTTAGACTTGGGAATTAATGGTGGGTAACTTCCCGCAGGCAGTGACGCCATGTCCTGGCACAGTCAGCGCCCGGAGGAGCCAAGGATGGAAAGAACATCGGAGAGAATAGCAGTGGAATTGTTAGAGCAGCAGAATGGAAGGCACCGTGTGAACCAACAGCCTGGGGGTGGTGGTGGGGGGGGCGCCCAGAGACAAGAGGCATAAAGAGAGAACAAACTCCCTCAATAAACATTATAAAAATGTTATGATAAGTTTCTTTATTAAAAAGGAAATAAAATACACCCTCGGGTCACCCCAAAGGTCTCCTGTTTATAACTATAAAAATTCTATCACTGTTAGCCATCAGGGTATTTTTTTGTAAGGGGTGGGGGTAGGGTGGGAGGGGGCTGCCGGTTTCTAAGCAACCTGATGTACAGCCATTGCACATTCTCTTCACGCCGTGTGTGTGTCTGCGCGAGTGCATTTGTGTTTTTGTGGGGCTGGAACGCAGGTCTCTACGGGTCAAGACACAACTGACAGCTGACTCCTCTCTCTACCCCCCACCCCCCCACCACCACCGTTGGCATGGAGACTTTCATTTCAAACCTTGTTTAAAAGTGGCTTCTGATCGAAATGATGCATCAGCGACCGGCAACCAATTCAGGCCAGTTACGAAAAAGAAGAGAGTTCTCACCAGATACACAAATCAGCCATTCACCTCCTGCCCATTGGCGCGGTGTCTTTGCTGTGAGCAGATTTGCTACTACACCAGCTGACCAATACTCAGTCACTACACTTGAAATGACATGGAGCTAGACCAAATGCAAGGGTTATTATGATTATTTTTTAAAAAATTAACTGACGGTTTTAGACGTGACCAGAAGCTTATGGCTTGATCACCGACTTCTCTCCTCAATCCCGCAAATCACGCAAATTTAAAAAATAAAAGGCTTGTGTTTTATAACTTGGGTTCCGAGCACAGTATCGTAGTTATCTCTGGAGTAACCACAGCATCAGCAAACCATTGCTGTAATTTTGCCAGTACATTTTTGATCTGAATTCCATGCCCATTGCTTGCCAGATAGCTCTCTCAATGGCAAGCTGTGCATTGTTAGCTGGTTAGACTCCAGCAGTTACCCCAACGCATTCTCTGAAGTCCCCAAGCCTTGGCTCTTGCCAATCTGCGCCTAATACTAATTAAACCGAGGCCCTGACTGCCTGTTCTGGTGGATGTTAAAGATCCCATGGCACTATTTGAAAAGAGAAGGGAGTTTCTCCTGGTGTCCTGCCCAGATAAAACTGGTCATTCACTTTGATGCTGTTTGTCGGACATTACTGCACACAAATTCTGTTACATTCACTTACAAATATAGTTACAACACTTTACAGTAAATCCTGTGAAGCGCTTTGAGACATTGGCGACAAAGTGATAAGGTGCTAGACCAAACGCATTTATTACTGTAGCACCAAATTTCAAACTGTCACACACCCGTGCTCAGAACTCTGGATCCAATCAGTGTTGCAATATAGAGCAGGAAATATAAATCAGGTTTCCCACTGCACATTAATCTACCCGCGTCACTTCCAGGGCTATAAAGGTACATTAAATAGCTCCAAAAGTGCAAACTATTTAATATACTGGTCACAGTGCACGCCTTTGTTGCTATAAGGTGCTAATGGTTACAGACACATTGGGATACAAAGATTAATGAATCTATTATCACTGGATTTTTTTATGCACTGTTCATCGGTCATCGGTCATAATATAAGACTAAGTGTCACTTTAAGGGTCTTTTCAACAATTGTTAGGACATATTGTTAGCACACCACTAAATCTGCCAAACACACAAAAATGCTCGGATCTTAATAATAATAATAATCCTTGCATTTGATGTAGCGCTTTTCACGTCGGGAGGACGTCCCAAAGCGCTTCACAGAACACACTGTAAAGTGAATTGACTGTATATTTGTGGGCGAACGCGGCAGCCAATTGCGCACAGCAATGTCCCACAAACAGTCGTAGATTGAAAATGACCAATTTATTATTGTTTTTGGTTTTGGAGGGATTATTATTAGGCTCTGTGTGGAGTAAGGAAACTTGCCCGAGGTTTCGCCCTCTGCCTGGAATTGAACTCAGGTCTTTCGCTTGCAAAGCGAGTGCTCAACCACTGAGCTACAGGACTCCACTTAACTCAAGGGGCTTGAAAACGTCATTAACAAGACACGTTACTGGAGAATCATGCACTCCAGCCCTCAGCGAATTCAGACTCGGAATTTCCTCTTGACTTCCTCATCGGTCACACCCAAGGCAGCACAAGCAGGAATGAGGAACAGCAAAGTCATCATAAGGCCTGATCTGTTCATTGTGTCTGTCCCCAACAGATCTTGGAACCTAGCCAGCAATTAGCAGATCCATTAATAGCTGTCACAGACCAGGTCACATGTCTGAGCCTCATCAAAGCTTAAGTGCTCTACGGCATTCTCCCAATGTGACAAACGCTAGACAAATGTCAATTGCATTGCATTGTCTCACCGTTGATGCCTAATCGTACCATTAACATAAGATGACTCCATTACAATGAGCTCCTGCACCAATGGAGTTCACCAGAAACAATTTCAATGAATAACGCCTTATCATGTTGTTGAGATGTCTCAAAGTGCTTCATGTCATTGGGGATCAGGGGTCTACACAATCCAGTGATTTTCTCTGGGGTTAGGGTGGGTGGGGGAAGACCACGATGGGGTAGATTTTATGTATGGTTAGGAGCAGACTGGTGTCCTCCTCCCCTATCAAACCCAAGATTGTCAGCTCTGTATTGGAGCATCACCACAGTACACAATAGCCATGCCTCACCAACACTGTACGACTCCACACATGATGTCATGCTACATTCTCTCCCCAGCACTCTCCCCTCCATGCTACATGCCAAGCTACATGACACTCTACATGACACACCACACCATTCTGCACATGTCATGCTACACAACATACCAATTGAGCCATTGGGGCGGCTTTTGAGAAGAGCCTTTTGAAATGACTGAGGTGACATATGGCTTCTTCATCCGGTTTCTAACGATTTCCAAGGAAATAAGAATAGTAGGAAGTCATTCAGCCCATGGACCTGTTTATATCAGATGATGGCCAATCTTTCAAACCCATTTCCCCACCTTTCCTCTGTTTCCTCCAATTGATCTTCTTCTACAGCCCTCTGTGACCACACGTGGGGACTTGCTATAAAGCGGGACTGTCCTCACCTGGAAGATGTTGGAGAGGTCCCGCAGGTTGAAGATGTAGTGGAATTTGATGGCAGTTGGCAGAAAGCTAGACGCCACTTTGTGATGCACAGCCAAGGCCAGGCCGATCAGCTGCTGGGTGGATTTCTGCAATGCTGCGGCAAAGTTTCCTGCTTTCAGATGCTGGCACAGGATGGAGCTGTAGATGGTCACCAGGGCGTCTGTGCCAGGGAAGGAGAGGGCAAACACGCAGAAGTGACGCTGCATTCGGAAACACAAACACAGTTACATTGGACCATCTGGGATGTACACAGAACAGTGCGTAGATTGCAATCTGTATGGAGCAACTTGCCACACAGTTCAGACAACACACATCTCGGTTCTGACTCTGTTGCTAAAGCTGCTTTCACACCTCGACTGAGCCCTTTACTCCACTGTTTTGCTTTACTGGCTGCAGAGGTTTTGAGCTGGTGACTGCAAGGAAGATCAGTGCCAGCTCTTCTCAATGTTTCATAGCCAAAGTTTTATCAAGTGGAGAGAACACCAGCATTAGTCCCACACTCCACTCCCAACTCATGCGTTCCCTGGTACAGCTCACCAAAGCACTAATTTCCCTCGTCACCTCCGATGAAATCTTGCAGCTGAAGCCTATCACAACAATAACTTGGACATATACAGGACCATCGGTACCTCAGAGCGCTAACATTAGAGGGTGTGGAATTGGGGTTAGGACAGATGGTTTTAATGGAGGAAAAAAGACCAAAATAATGGACCGACGTAATATAATGGGTTGGTCTGGAAGCGTGGTCTTGCTCTGGCCCTTGTCCAGCCAGAATTGTCAAGTCCTCTCGACCTGAAAGGTGCTGTGCTCAATCAGTGTAAACTGTATTGCTCTGTCATAGACATCTATAGTTCTGATTGGAAGTGCCAAAGCCATTAAGAGTGAATGCTTTGAAGAGTTTGGGCAAGAGTGTTCAGTGGCAATGCTGACTACACAGAGGACAGGATGTCAACACAAAGCATGTACCTAGGTTGCACTTGCAGCATCTCGGAACATTTGATGAGAGGGATTATTGATTCTCTTCCCCTTACTTCTGGTCAATGTGCATCTGCCAGAACCCAATGCAGTTCAACAGCAATGCAAAAGGAGTGTGTGTGAGTGTGTGTTTTCCCCACCACAAGCAGACGATTTCTCAATTCTTTCCAATTATGTTCAACTAGAGAGCGCATGTCAGAAGATCAAATGTTTTAGCAAATCTAAAGGCTTCCCCTCATTGGTAGATTAAAAAAACACCGCATTGGTCATTTGATTAGACACACATTTCCAACCTTTATTGCTGCCCCCAATTAACCACAAAATAACTGAAGAATACTCCCATTAAATTTTATGGAAAGAACAGTGAAGCAAATCTGTGAGTTCAGCCTATTCTAGCCTGTGTGACTCGCTCCTGCTAACCTCAGACACAAGTCAAGGGCTTGTGTGACAAGTGGAGGAGTTTTCTTCTGCTGCTGTGAATCCTAATCACGGGAAACTCTTGAAGGTGGATGTTAACAATAAGCACTATTTGGAAAAACAGCAGAGAGTTTCGCCCACGCTTTCAGACCAATTTTCCTCCCTCTCTCGGGTCAGATAAATCACTAGAAAGGTTACCGTTGAATCATGATGGTGTCTGTACCTGTAGACGAGGGTTGATGGTAAAGCTTCCAGCTGTGGGGTTCATACAGGAAACATATTGCACATTGTGAATCTCCTTCAGGGAAAGCTTATTACGGTCGTACCTGGGGAAATATGAAGCACCGAAAGTTTACAGGCCAGATAGGAAATCTTACTTCCTTCCGTCTTGGAATTTGTGTAGCACAGACGAAGAGTTATTCAGCCTAAAGTGCTGGTGATAGCTTACCCCCCACTGGAACTATCCATTCTTATCCCATTCCCATGCCATTTCTCAGCCTTTAATATTGTTTCTCAAGTGTATATCCTTTTTAAAGCTATCATGCACTCAGCTTCCAAACCCATTAAGGTAGAAATCCAACCTGGCTCTAAATTTACTCCATTTTCTTACCATTTAAGAGCATATAGAATTCAGCAAATTTTTAAACCCAGCTTTCATTTTGATGTCTGTTAAATTCTTTTAAGAAGTACAGAAAACCAGCTTCAAAGTGAACAGCGAGTTCAAGAATTTGCCAACTTTTGGACATTGAAATGCTATAAAACAGCCTTTCAATCTCTGAGATTTCCTGGAATAGTTAGCCTGTGGGACACTCACCAGTGATAGTAATCCATGTGCTGCCTGATCAGTGTGTGTGGCTGAACAGTACCATAGGTGTCAACCTCAGGCATGTTCATGTCATCAATGAAGTAGATGAGTTTCTTGGAGCCGGGAGGGCCGTAGTTCCTGCCAGCCTTTTTCTCGAGAGGTTTTTCCAAGATCCCTGTAAACACAGGAACAGGGATCAGCTTGGAGGCACATTGTCTGATACATAAACCAGGTTCAACAAGCCTGGTATAAAGAGAGGAAGAAACAAGGGCAGCTGTTGCTCAGTGCTGCTGTAGAGGAAAGTATAAGTTTGAGCAACTCCAGGTGGAAGTGTATGTTTGAGGACGTGTAGGGGAGAGAGGGAGGTCAGGCATAGTTGCAATGGAGATGAATAAAGGAAACATTGAACATTGAGTGAGAGGAATGGCTCCTTGGAAATCTGTAGCTCTGAATGTTGTTGTTTCAGAAACCACAGCACTGTGAGGACTCAAACAACATTTGCAACCAAACCTATAGCTGGCGGGGAGGAGAGTTCCATTTCTACTGAATATTTCCATTTGGGAATGGAACAGATATCTTTCCCATGCAGAAGTGCCAATATTAAATCAATTTGTCTTCGGTTTGTCTCATGCTGAGGTAATCCATGGCATTAGTAGTCACCTGTATTTCACACAAACCCAGAAACCCAATAGTTGAGAAGGTTGAGACCTATTCTGTCAAATGAAGCAGAAAGAGCCAGCGCCCAGATTGAGCAAATGTAGTAGAAACATCAGCGTCCCCACGGGCTGGTTGGGACCTGCTGACCTTGGAGCATTGCTGACGTGGTGTAGTAGTTAAAGGGCACGTTCTTCACTGTGTACTCATCAGGATCCAGAGATCCCAGCTTCTCCCCCACCAGCACCGACTTCCCTGTGCCAGCGTTGCCCACCAGCATGACAGGCTTGCGTCTCGCCAACAGTCGGTCCATGAAGTAGCGGATGCGGATGGTCTCCACGGTGTGCACCAGACATGCCTGAGAAGCACAGGTTCACGTCAGCAACAATTACAAGCAGCACTGCAGCATCCATCTATCGCTTAAAATAAATGTTCTAGCCTCAACCAGCCTTCCTGGTATTCAGTTCTGTATAAAGACAGACTTCTGGTATCTGTTCTAAAATTGCTCTCTTGTCACGGTGCACTGGAGTATCTAAAGTGCATTCTGAGTTCTCTCTCTGTCCCATTGCAAATGAGCAGAATAAAGGATTGAGACAGAAGAGCTTGTTTAATTCAGAGCCAATATAGCGATACACTTACCTGAAGCGGCATGTCTGAGTCGTACTCAAACTTGGGGATTAGTTTGGACCAAGGTTCAAACTTCTTTGTCTCTGGATCAATATAATAGTCAAAGACTGTCCCTTGAGAAGGGAATTTGATTGTCTTGAACTCCGATACCCACCACTTGCTGAACTCAATCCTGTAGTCTACAAGCTGAGGAGAGAACAACACGGATATCAGCATGGGTTTCTCTTCCCTCATAGAAGTCTGCAATAGGAAACAGGGCCTATTGAGTAAGTGGGTCATTGTGTGTCTGCGGTTTCCCGGCTGAGGTTAGATATTAGAGCGTCTTCTCACCTGATCTTGAAACATAGCACCACCAAAGGCCCAGATCCCAGCAAAGATGAAGTACAGCTCGTAGAGCTCTTTGGGGGAGTCTGCAGGGGTGTTCTCCTTGGTCAAGAGGCACTCAAGCAAGTAACAGAGCATCTGAACCATACTCTGCTCTGGCACTGGGATGATCTTCTTAAACCTGCAGAAATCAATCAGTTGTTTAATGTTAAGAATCAGCCCTCTCCCGTCTAGTCTCCTCTTCACTTTCTTTCCTTGGCCAAATCCCGTTTACACTGTCCTCTAGATTTTAATAGTGGCTTGAGTAAAGAAGGACTTTTGTCCATTTGATCTCAACCTTCCAATCCGTGGAGTCCTGTAGCTCAGTGGTTAGAGCACTCGCTTTGCAAGTGAGAGACCTGAGTTCAATTCCAGGCAGAGGGCGAAATCTTGGACAAGTTTCCTTACTCCACACAGAGCCTAATAATAATCCCTCCAAAAACCAAAAACAATAATTAAATTGGTCATTTTCAATCTACGACTGTTTGTGGGACATTGCTGTGCGCAATTGGCTGCCGAGTTCGCCCACAAATATAGTCAATTCACTTTACAGTGTGTTCTGTGAAGCGCTTTGGGATGTCCTCCCGACGTGAAAAGTGCTATATCATATGCAAGGATTATTATTATTATTATCCAACTGGTGTCTAATGCAAACTGGACCTGTCCAGCACCTCCAGACAACAAAGGCGCAATATAAATGTAAATGTGTTGTTGTTGTTCTCCGATTACAATGTTAAATTGTTTCCTAAATGAATCCTGGCCTCAACTCCCCATCTTGACAACCCGTTCCAGCTGCTGATTACTGTCTGTGTAAACAAAGACTTTGTGGTGTCTGTCCGACATTTCCCCTTCACAACCCTGACCCTCTGTCCTCTTATCTTGTTGCCTTGGTACATTTGAGATGGACTGTGGGGAGAACAGACAACATCTCACTGAGTGTTTTAGCCCATGACCAAGAGACAACATTGATAATCTGTTGTAACAGTACACGGTAATGAAAGATAATGATCATCAATACTGCTGCCTTAGAAATCAGTGTACTCTGACACACATTGGAGAATTGCAAATATAGGGCTCACAATTCCTGAAGTAGCAGGAATATCTTGAGAGAGGGCAAGTACAGAATACTTTGTGATAGGTGGTGAAGCTGCACCTATCACAACAATTATTTCAGTCACTGGGTGCAGAATAGGCAGACTGCCCCTTCGAGAGTTCCCCAGTTATAACCTGCGAGAAACTAACTTTCAGATGCCTTAGGGCATGTGCCGTCTGAATCAGGGCAGAGCGTCGGGATGAACAGTCTCACAGAGTCCAGCTCAAGAGGCTCTCTCTGTGCTGGTTCAGGACATGCTATAAAACAAGGACAGCAGAGCTATTGGGAAGGCTGGTCTATCCGGGTCAGATAAACATTTGCTATGTAACTGCTACATTCAATGCCACTTTAATGAGAAGCACTTAAAACATTTCTGTTCACTTGCCGGTGGTTCAGCTAATGCATTTACGGCGATTTACTTCCTCGATCTAATGTGTATTGAAGTTATCTTCAAAACTGGGCCAGTGTTAATGGGGAAAGCGTTCAAACATTCCGCTGCTTAAAAAATCTGAAAGGCACAAAGAGTTGTGCACAAAGCTCAGCTAACTCTGACTGAAAGTGGATTATGCAGCTCAATATGTGGTTGGATTTTACTATTGTAAAAGGTCAACCCACTGAACGTTCCTGAGATGTCCACTGTGCCATGCAGCAATGTTTAAGGGACTGTTTGGAGTAGAATGTCAATTTATACATATATACATATAATGTATGTGCATATACACAAGATATAATAATAATAAAAATAATCCTTGCATTTGATATATGATATCTCCTGGTGCCCTGACATTGCCTACCTTGCCCTGAGAGTGTCCAAGCACAAGGGCAGGTACTTCTCGAACAGGATGGTCAGGTTAGCTTTCTCAGACTGGGCTTCTCTCTGGTCAATCCAGCTGCTAACTGGTGGGTTCCATCCCAGGTCAGCGGCGTTAATGTACAAGATCCCTGAAGACACAGAGCATCTCGTATCACACAGCATCACACGCAAACCAAACAGAATTTACATTAATGTAATAATAGTGATAATCCTTGCATTTGACAGAGCGACTTATAACATCGGTGAGACGTCTCAAAGCGCTTGACAGAATATACTGTATACAGCCAATTGCACACAGCAGTGAGGCACACACAGTCGTGGATCGAGTGACCACATTGTGTAACAGAGAGTGAATGACCTAGTCCCGTGCGAACACACAGAGCCAGTGGTTCCACCGTGAAAGGGTTACTACGGCAATGAAACTACTGTACTTCGGAGAGCCGACAGGGCAGCATCAATCACAAGAGAAGTTATGTTGTTGTAAACAGCACGACCCTCCAGTACACATTAATAACTGTGGAGCTGTGACACAGCAGCTCTCTGTTACAGCTGTTACTTACAGCTGCTTTGAACGCAGGCTGTATCACAGCCCACAGAGCAAACTGTGTTATGTTACTCCGCGGGCAGGGAATCTTTAACGCTGCATCGATGACGACAATTAGTTCTCACCTGCTCGGGAGACGGTGGCGGGAGTCGCGGTCCTGAGATGACTGATTTCAAACACGAGCCTCATGCTGGGGTTCAGGGGGATGCGTTCATTACTGGCCAGTGTCAGGACCTGCAGGAGAGACAGCTCTGTCAGTCACTCGCTCACTCACTCCCCAATCTGAGGCTCAATATACACAAGCCAACAAACCAGGGGAGCAAATGGCACAGAGGCAACAATACCAACAACAATAATAATCCCGCCAATAAACAAAACAATAATAAATTGGTCATTTTCAATCCACGGCTGTTTGTGGGGACGCTGCTGTGCGCAATTGGCTGCCGCGTTCGCCCACAAATATACAGTCAATTCACTTTACAGTCTATTTTGTGAAGCGCTTTGAGGTGTCGAGAAGACGTGAAAAGCGCTATATCAAATGCAAGGATTATTTATTTTATTATAACACAGCAACAGCTTACATCCATGTAGCAGCTTTTACATAGGAAACCTTCCTCCCCACCAACCTCTCCCTCACCCCATCTCTCTTCACGTTGGCTTTCTGCGTGTGCTAGACACCTGGCTGACTAAAAAAAAATGATATTATTTATTGTTTTAATTTTTTTTCCCCACAAAACTCCGAAAAAGCCAGGCTGCAGCACAGCGAGCGACATCTCCAGCTGTGTGAATTAGGTGGATGCTCGAGGGGGAGATATTAAATATTAACGGGAATGTGGACAGTAATTTTTTTTGTAATAGGTACAGATTTCCTTAAAGGAAAAATTAACATCAGTGTCATTGGTATCAGCTGAGAATTTGTCTCCATGCCTTACAGCGACACACATGTTCACCTTAATATGGTGTGATATTTGATTAGTAAAACTACTTAAGATATATTATTCAGAAAGTAAACTAAACACCATGTTAATTAGGTCCCGTTGAGCTCTGTATTGGAGTACCGTTCACACCAGCTCAGGTCTGTCAAGCGCTTTGCGACACCAACCTGCGTGAGGGGGCGCCACATAAATGCAAATTGCTGTTGCTATTGTTGTTGTTGTTGTTGCGGGTGCAGACTAACATTGAGGCATTTGAGGCCCATGTTACCTTATTGTCATCCATGACTGTGTTGAGAGATTCAATCCACATGGGGTCAATGTCACCATCCAGGACTATCCACTTGTGTCCCTCATGTGTTACGTTCGCCAGCTCTCGCATGATGGAGGAGAACAGACCTGAGAAATGAACACAGAGGGACCCGGTGTGTAAACCAGTAGCGACATTCGCTTACAAGCATACCTCCACTACGCTCACAGGGAAACCCCAGCCAACGCTTTGAGGGACCGCAATACAGAAAGCACCTCATCACATACGAGGGTGATTGATATCAGGTCATTAGTATCAGGTGATTAGTATCAGGTCATTAGTATCAGGTCACTAGTCTCAGGTCATTAGTATCCGGTGTCAGCCGGACAGCTGGACTCAGTCACAAGGTGGTTATGGGTGCATGTCAATGGCATCAGGCCCACTGTAAATTGGCCAAAAATGTGCCTGAATATTAGTGAATTTGTGGTTGACGGGAATTATTCCCTCTCTGAAGCTTGCGTTGAGCTGCGCACCGATCCATAGAATTTACACGGCAGTGCGAGGCCATTCAGCCATGGGAACCGACATCCTGCCCTTGCAGTCGGAGACTCTCATCCCAATTCCTTGACAGTGACGTCCTCGATACCAAAAGTCCACCTGTTTTAGTTAGTATGATGGGAGTCACCCACCATCTCTCCACTCCCTGGTCGCTGGGTTTATGATTCCAAACAGTTCGTCGTTGGTGACGGCCTTGGGATTCAGGTCGGCCCAGGCCGGCCGGAGCTTCATGTTCTGGTAAGTCCTGTACAGGGACTTCAGGACCTGGGACTTGCCGGTGCCAGCGTTGCCCACCACGAAGACAGAGTGTCTCACAGCCAACAGCTCCTCCAACTGAACAACCTGTACAGCACACAGCAACACAAGTCACACACACACACAGCAACACAAGTCACACACACACACAGCAACACAAGTCACACACACACACACAGCAACACAAGTCACACACACACACAGCAACACAAGTCACACTCACACACACAGCAACACAAGTCACACTCACACACACAGCAACACAAGTCACACTCACACACACAGCAACACAAGTCACACTCACACACACAGCAACACAAGTCACACTCACACACACAGCAACACAAGTCACACTCACACACACAGCAACACAAGTCACACTCACGCACACACACAGCAACACAAGTCACACACACAGCAACACAAGTGACACACACAGCAACACAAGTCACACACACACAGCAACACAAGTGACACACACAGCAACACAAGTCACACTCACACAGCAACACAAGTCACACTCACACACACAGCAACACAAGTCACACTCACACACACAGCAACACAAGTCACACACACAGTCATACAGAGCCGTTCACACTAGGAGCTCGGGCCAATGGGTTTGGCAGTACTGGCAGCCACCCTGTGCTGCTGATAGGAGCTGAGGGTGGAGGAGGGGAGAAGATGACCAAACACACAGTCAAAGAGGTACCGTTTTCACCCACAAACTACACAGTCACTACACTTTACAATATATTCTGTGATACGCTTTGAGAGTCTCAACAACATGGTAAGGCACTATATCAAATGCTAACTCGCCCCAACTCCAACTATCTGTTCTAATTCCATTCCACATTTTCTTTAATATTATTTTTCCTCAACCATTCCACCCAATTTACTTTAAATGCTATTCAGGCCTGACTTTCTCAGCCATTTGGATCAAAGTATTCCACATTCTAACCATCTGTGTAAAAACAATCTTTCCACTCTCAGCGATAATCCTCAATTTATGGTCTCTGGGTAATGTCTCATTGAGCAGTGGAAAATCTACCGTAACAAAACCATTCATCTATTTTGAAAACCTTTTTGGCCCTTTTTAACCTTCTCTGCTCCAGTGATAACAGTCGCAAGCTTCATTGCTCTCCACGTAACTAATATTTCATTCCTGGTATCGTCCCAGTGAATCTCTTCTGTGTCCTCATGTTGGTTGTGTGATCCTTTCTACAATGAGGTGCCCAATACTGGACGCAATGCTACAACAGTGACCCAAACGATGCAGTGTACAAGCATAACACCATCTCCTTCCTTTTAATAATAATAATCCTTACATTTGACACAGCGCCTTATCATGTCTTCGAGACGTCTCAAAGCACTTCACAGGATACACTGTGAAGTGAATTGACTGTGTGTTTTGTGGGCGAAACGCGGCAGCCAATTGTGCCCAGCAGCGTACCCACAAACAGCCGTGGAGTGAGTGACCACATTATTATTTATTTATTCTTTTTAAGGGATTATTACCCCCGGAAAAGCGATCCAGCAATCGAGTAACAACCAGGTTCCTACTGACTGCTGGAAAACAGAGGCATGCGTGTGGAGTAAGGAAACTTGCCTATCATTTTGCCTGGCCCGGGAATCGAACCCAGGTCCTCTCGCTTGCGAGGCGAGTGCTCTAAACACAAAGCTACAGGACTCTTCATTTTACCACATGGTGCATAATACAGCTGAGATTACTCATGCTTTGCATAATAGACTCCCAGTTGTTCTTACAAAGTTAAACTAACTATTCTTAGCTATAAAACAAGAGAGATAAATTTGGAGAAAGTTCACAACTTTAACAGCAGAGTTCAAGTGATGAACAACTTACTTTCAGAACAAAGTTGTCTTCAGCCTGTAGCTTAAGGTCCAGGACAGACTGCTTCACTTGGCTCTCGAACTCCAAGTCTCTCTTCCTGGGGACATCCAGCGCAGGGAAAAGATCACTGATCAAACCCATGAAAATGGGCATATCGTCGGTCACTATCTTCGGGACGTTGAAATCCCGAAGGGCTCGCATTAGGACCTGGTCTTCAGGACGGTCGGGGTCACCTCGCTTCAGGGAGCCGGCAACGACCAGCACGGATTTGATGGCACGGAGACCCCAGTCATAGTGATCCTACCAAGGAAGAGAAAATCACACAAGGTCACCAAGTTGGGACTGGATGAAGAAGGTCCTTCAGCCTATCCTATCTCATCCCTCCAGAACACTCACCCTATCTTCCCCCTCATCACAGCATCAGCAATAATATAATAATAATAATAATCCTTGCATTTGATATAGCGCTTTTCACATCTTCTCGACGTCTCAAAGCGCTTCACAGAATATACTGTAAAGTGTATTTGACCGTATATTTGTGGGCGAACGCGGCAGCCAATTGCACACAGCAGCGTCCCACAAACAGTCGTAGATTGAAAATGACCAATTTATTATTGTTTTGTTTTGGAGGGATTATTATTAGGCTCTGTGTGGAGTAAGGAAACTTGCCCAAGGTTTCGCGCTGCCTGGAACTGAACCCAGGTGTCTCGCTTGCAAAGCGAGTGCTCTAACCACTGAGCTACAGGACTCCAAACAACAACAACAACAAATTTCATTTGTGTAGCGCCTTTCACATTGGGATGACGTCCCAAGTATTTGGACCTGGCCATTGTGACTGTGAGTCATCAACAGTGCCCTGCAGTGGTGCAGACCTCAAACAGCTGGCAAGAGTTGTCCGTTTGTTCTGAAACACTCTCACACTCGTGTTTGTGTAAGGAATACATGGCTGTGACCTTGTAAATTGCTGACATCCATCAATGCCTGTGATCAGAGGGAACTTTCCTTTGTGGTGATCCTGTTGTGGAAAACACCAAAGGTTGACTTTTTTTTAATTGTTCAAATAGTCGATAAAAGGTTTACATTAGCTTCCAGGAATCCTAAAGAGTTTAAGACTTCAAGGAAACTCCAAATCAATAATGATAAATGGGAAGGCAGTGACTGTGGTTCCTGAGGTATGGGGGGAGGGGGAGGGGTTGGCAGGCGGTGGGTAGATTAATCAATACTTGGCTTCATTAGTAGAAATCTCTTGATGGACTGTACCGTGGCTCCTATGGAGAGTAAGAGCGAGGAGTCAATCACAATCTTGCAATTAAGCAGGATTGAGGAGCTCATGGATCAGCTAAAAATCTACCTTTATACAATGTGTGAGAGTGTGACTTGCTTCACAGGAATCTACTGAGCATTGACGAGGATAGATGTCGACTCTAAGACTCGCATTGATTATTTTGTTCAAGTCGCTTCCATATTAAAAATCCTGTACAATTCTCTCCCAATTATTCGCCATTTAGGTTAATTGGGTCCACCCTGACTTCTCCAGATCAATCGGCTGGAACTTTCTACATGGTGTAGCGCAGTGTTAAGTGATTTTAGTTCATTTTCTTCACCTCTGATCTTCTCTGCTCCTGCCCGCAAAGAGTTTGACTGGTTCTCCTCTGTCGCAAAGGCTCAGCTCTCCCCGTTAATAGTGGATATTAATGGGGAGAAGCTTCCTAGTGAGTTGTCAGTGGGGTGTGTTTATTTAAGAAACTGCTGAAAAACAACTTCAAAGTTAAGTTTGAATTTAACAATTTTGACAGATTCTGGACGCTCGGGAAAATAACAATAATAATAATCCTTTCATTTGATATAGCACTTTATCATGTTGTTGAGATGTTCTCAAAGCGTTTCACAGGATATATCGTAAAGTGGAAATAACTGTATATAGTTGCTGTGCGTAACTAGCTGCCGCATTTCACCCACAAAATACATGGTATCAAATGCAAGGCTTATTATTATTTTAACATCCAAAGAGCATACCTGCTGCCTGCTATCTCTCTACTGCATTCCACCTCTCTGCTCGAACTCGATTTGCAGTTGTGTGCGACTTTATGTCACATGAGAGACGCTGTATAAGCACGTTTACATCGTACCTGTTTTGAAAGCAGTTCTTTGCAGAGTTGGTACAAGGTGATGAATTTCCTGGATAACAGCCTGGCCTCAATGAATCCTTCAGCGACTAACATGATTTCACAGATCAGCTCAAAGTCTGGCACCACCATCGCACAGGGTCTAGAAGAGAATCAGCAGCAATGTGGATACCTCGGCATAAATTACATGGGAAGCAGCACAACACATGTGTACAACAATAGCAACATGCATTTACACAGCGCCCTTCACATAGGGTTGCGTCCCAGAGTGCTTGACAGTGGTGGAGTCTAATCCTGAGCCAGGGGGGAGTGGGAGGGGGGAGGTGACCATAAGCACGGTCAAAAAGGAAGGTCTTTAGGTGGAATTTGAAAGTGGGGGGGGGGAAACGGGGGGGGGTTAAGGCGGAAGGGATTGAAGGAGATAGTTCCAGAGTATCGGGGCGTAGTGGCTGGATTGCCTTTCATGTCGGAATCAGACCTGTCCAATTCCCCTGGCCTTGTTGAGACCTCACCTGAACAGAGCTTTGAGGTTCTCTGGCAGCTCGGTCCGACCGGCATAGCCGGGGTTCATGGTGATGAAGATGCCGACAGACGGAGCCAGGTTGATTTCTTCGCCCATGAAGTTGAAGCGTTTCTTTTTGTCCCGAATGGCATCCTGGATGGACTTGACCTACGGGGAGAGGACAAGTGAGCGAGAGAGAGAGAGAGAGAGAGAGCGAGAGGGAAAGAGGGAGGTTTGGGTGAGTGAGAGAGAGAAAGCACAGTAACCATGAAATCAAAGGAGAGAAGAATTAATCGTCTGAAGTCGTCCAAATGGAGAGGTGCAGAATGGATCCTCTCCACACGAGGCAGGGAAGACAGTCATTCGAACCTCACTGAGAGCGCGGCTTAACTTTATAATATATAATAATAATAATCCTTGCATTTGATATAGCGCTTTTCACGTCGGGAGGACGTCCCAAAGCGCTTCACAGAACACACTGTAAAGTGAATTGACTGTATATTTGTGGGCGAACGCGACAGCCAATTGCGCACAGCAATGTCCCACAAACAGTCGTAGATTGAAAATGACCAATTTATTATTGTTTTGGTTTTGGAGGATTATTATTAGGCTCTGTGTGGAGTAAGGAAACTTGCCCAGCCTCGCCCTCTGCCTGGAATTGAACTCAGGTCTCTCACTTGCAAAGCGAGTGCTCTAACCACTGAGCTACAGGACTCCACAACTTTGTGGCCAGACTGAGTCGAGGGTAATTATTGGGTTTATTGAAGTAGCCATTGGTTCTCCCCCGAGTGGTCAGCGAACTGAGGGCAACATCGGTGCGCAGCGCCCTCTGGTGGCAGACTCAAACATGACCTGACGCGGATTTCCGCACTAACAGAGACAATACAGTCCTCGCACTTGATATAATGTCGACATGTTCACAACGTCTCGAAGAGCGTCACAGCTAAATCGCTTCTGGAGGCAAATGAGCTGGCCCAAACAGCCATGAAATGAATATATGATAGAACTGGAGGATGGTTTCCCAGAATATCCTGTCTATTTTCTCCAGTCTTTAATGTCCATCGTACAGACACACAGGATCTCGGGGCCTTTATAATTTCATCCGAAGCACAAGCACCACCCTCACTCTCCCAGCACCGCACCGGAGTCTCAACCTAAATTGTGAGCTCAAAGTCCTGATGTGGGGTTTGAACCCACAACTTTCTTATCAGAAGAGGATGCTACTGACTGAGCCAGGCTCACCCACTGTACACAAGACAACAAAGCAGCAGATCATCTTCCGAAGCACCTTCAGCCCTTGGCCCTGAACATGGACTTTGTTTTGGATAAACACTGATTTACAGTCAACTAGAGTCTATTTCCTGCCAATCGAAACTCAGCTATTTCTCTGTGTACATTTGTTTTAAGAAGCGTTGCGAGGTTGTTGGCATTGCAGTTGGCAATGAGCTCCCTTTGGCAGAGCCGTCAGTAACAATCTGGATGTGGGACTCAGCCAGTGATTACATTCACAGAGATGGTCAATGGTTCCTCATCGTGAGCAGCAGAGGTAGCAGCGATTCCAGCATAATTGGACACACAGTATTGAAGAGAGGAGAGTTGGGGTGGGGGGATGTTCAGTGTTGTTCTGGGAATCTTAATGTGCATGTGGGGTATGGGGGAATGGGACAGTATAGAATGAGCTGTGAATTTCATAGGGAACAAGCTCTGAGAGGTGTTTAGTTGATATATAATCTTGGAAGAGGCCCATTGTCAAACAGAAAGCATCGAGTGATTCATGTCAATGGCTGCAATAAATGCCCTGACCGAGTAAATCACACAAACTCGGAATGCAAAGTCAGCGTTTGTTAATGCAGATGCAGCTCTGTGATTTATTGTATACTCTTCAACTCAATGTCAAAGCCAAAGTTGGGGAAGAATTCCTGAGCGTCGCTTTGCCGACAGAAAGAGTGAGTGACTCTGAAGTCCGGTGAGTGTACAGAAACCCATCATCACACCAACAGCATGCAAGGCAAACTGCTAAAGGAGCTCCCCAAATGGGTGGAAATTTCCATTTGCACTGTACAGGGTAGGCACTCTCTCCCCAGAGGGACACACTTCGCTTACCTAATTCAGGAAAGTTTTAGGCGCAGGTTGGCAAGAGCCAACGCTTGCGGATCCCAAAGTGTGTGTTGGGGTCGTGCTGGAATCTAACCAATGAACACGTGTGTTCGTTCAGTCAGCTAGGATCACCGTACACATGAGGGTTTGGGTTTGCAGTGTTAGGATCAGTGGATGGGGATAAAGGGTAGGAACAAACAGTTCCACTCACCTGCACAGCTACCACAGAGAGCACCTCCACCGAAATCCTGTTGAACTCGTCAAAACATCCCCAGGCGCCAGTCTGAGCCAAACCTTTGTAGATATTACCACAGGACTGTAGCAAACACACACACAAAAAGGAGTCAACAGAATAATAATAGTCATCATGATGAATGTGTGAACTGCAACAGGATCAGAAACGCTCACCAGTTGCAATAATAATAATCCTTGCATTCGACACAGCGCCCGATCACATCCTCAAGACGTCTCAAAGCGCTTCACAGGATATACTGTAAAGTGGAGTGACTGTAATAATTTGTGGGCGAAACGCAGCAGCGAATTGTGCCGAGCAGCATCCCCACAAACAGCGGTGGATTGAAATGACCAAATTGACAGGAGCAGCAGCAGAGTTGTAAATACCACAGGAACAACAACAACAATGACTTGCATTTACACAGCGTCCCTCGGGGAGAGCAGGGTCCCGGAGCGCTTAGCAGTGGTGGAGCACGACACGATCACAAGGGACGAGGCGCTACCTTGTAATCCATCTGCTCGGAGCAGTTGAACACGTAGACCATGACGCCCAGGGCTCGGCCCAGGTCCTTGGTGGTTTCGGTCTTGCCGGTGCCCGCAGGACCCGCCGGCGCTCCGCTCATGGTCAGGTGCAGGGACTGGGTCAGGGTGATGTAGCACCTGGGACCAGGAGACATGCACATGGTCAGCCATAGATAGCAGCACAGCAACTCTGACCTGCTGACCCGACCCACCCCAACCCACTCCACTCCCCTGTTTGCTCCCTGACACCCTTTAACATCCCTCTCCTCAAAGCCATTCAACCTGTCTCCACTTTGAGAGAATCCACAGCCGTTGGCCATTGTCACTAGGGATAAATGTGTCCAAAACTCTGAGGGTTTTGATAAAAAAATCCCCGTTCCGTTCCCCCATTACACAGCGCTTTTCCCTCTAAGCCGGACGGTTGGGCAGGACAAACCAGCAGCCTGAAGTGACAGACCAGGGATTTCAGGCTGCGATTGAAACACCACCTCAACCAGCCAGTGTGTAAGATCACAGCGATATTAAATACACACACGCAACCCCCTCTAATCTAATTCCATTCCACCACTCGTTCATCACACAGGGACACACTTCATTTCCTTGCAGACTGAAGAATGTGTGTGTGTGTAAAAAAAACACCTCGGTTTCTGCACAGCTTCTGTTTCTGGGGCCGCGGAGCACGATTCGGGCCGGACATAAATCACGACTTTGCCATAATTTAATCGCTCGTCTTGAACGAATCTCCAAGTACCTTGGGCTTCAGTTCATCGAGTTACAGACGGGGTAGATTCATTGGCTCGCGTGGCTGGCTCTAACAAGGTCAGCATTAAATCACCGCATTGGTGACAGGATAAATAACTGCCAACTGGCAGGAGTTTGTGAGGAAACCTGCACATTCCACAAGGCAGAACGGCCCCTGCCAGACCACAACCGGTCAGTCAGTCAGTATGTGATCACCAGTCAGTCAGTCAGTCAGTATGTGATCCCCGGTCAGTCAGTCAGTGTGTGATCACCGGTCAGTCAGTCAGTATGTGATCACCGGTCAGTCAGTCAGTATGTGATCACCGGTCAGTCAGTCGGTATTTGATCACCGGTCAGTCAGTCAGTGTGTGATCACCGGTCAGTTAGTCAGTGTGTGATCACCGGTCAGTCAGTCAGTATGTGATCACCGGTCAGTCAGTCAGTCATGGAGTACTCACCGGTCAGTTAGGGGTGTAATCACCAATCGGGGGGTGTTCCCCAGATACTCATACAAGTACAGAAACTGGGCATCACAGATGTTCGCCAAACAATGCTTCTTTTCATCATCCCAGCGGTGTCGTAGCTGGGAGAGCCAGAGGAAGGCTTGGGAATTGTCAACCTGAGGAAAGAAACAGGTACCAGCTAGGAAACGATTGCCATCGCGTCCGTTTTACATGCCTTAAAACTGCCCTTGGCAGCACTATTACCCACCAACCCAGTGAGAGCTGTGTAGGATAGAAAAGCAAAAAGCCGATACTAAATGTATATAAATGGTCACTCAGACCACAGTTGGAACATTGTGTGCAGTTTTGTGGTCATTAGATTTTAGGAAAGATATCGATAAAGATTTCCAGGACTGGAGGAACTGGGTCTTTATCTGCTGGAACAAAGAAGGTTTTGAAGGGTAAACTGATAGAGGTCTTTATAACATTATACCACCATGCTACAGCACATCCCCGGAGGAATGTCTCTACTGTTGAGACAGGGTGGACGAGTGAATTCTTCTAAAACCTTTTCTCTTGAATGCTGAGCACACAGAGAAAGGATCAGAAGCTGGGTGAAAGGTCACTCATCCCCAGGCCTGGCATGAGTCCCTTACGTCACTGACCTTCTGAGAAATGATCTTGGCCACCACATCCCGGGCGTGGACATCAATGGTGCAGATGGTCATGATCTTCTGCCGGTCTCCCTTGGAGAGCTGGCCAATCAGCATGGTGATCAGCGTATTCAGCTGGTGCACCTGCTTCTTATAGTATTCCTTCATGGCATTTTCATAGCCTTCCTCCAGCCGCGCAAAGGATATACTGACCTCGATCGTCCACCAGATCTGGGTACAGCTGAGAGCCACCTGCTCACGGAGAGGCAGAGACAGTCTGAACTTCCACAGCAGAAAGGCAAGAACATGCTTCACCCAATAATATCTCACCCACAAAACACACAGTCACTGCACTTTACTGTAATAATAATAATAATAATCCTTGCATTTCATATAGCGCTTTTCACGTCGGGAGGACGTCCCAAAGCGCTTCACAGAACACACTGTAAAGTGAATTGACTGTATATTTATGGGCGAACGCGGCAGCCAATTGCGCACAGCAATGTCCCACAAACAGTCGTAGATTGAAAATGACCAATTTATTATTGTTTTTGGTTTTGGAGGATTATTATTAGGCTCTGTGTGGAGTAAGGAAACTTGCCCGAGGTTTCACCCTCTGCCTGGAATTGAACTCAGGTCTCTCACTTGCAAAGCGAGTGCTCTAACCACTGAGCTACAGGATATATCAAATGCAAGGATTATTCTTACTGCATTATTAATCCAACAACCTCACCCAGTTAACGGACAGTAAGCAAAGCCAACTCTACACCTAATGCCATCTTTCAAACGGAACTGGAGAAACATTTGGATAGTAAATACGATGAGAGATAATTGGGCGAGATCTGGAAAGGGTGATGAATAAAAAGGTCAATTTAGATAAAACAGAGCCTGAAAGCCAGCCAGCCTTCTGCTGTGCTAAACAATGTCTGTTTGTAAAATTGGGACAGAGACTCAGGTCCAAATTAGTTTATTTTTATTAAATAAATCCTGGGTTCAATTCCCGGCAGGGTGAAACCTTGGGCAAGTTTCCTTACTCCACACACCTAATAACAATCCCTCCAAAACAAAACAATAATAAATTGGTCATTTTCAATCCACGGCTGTTTGTGTGGACGCTGCTGTGCGCAATTGACTGCCCTGTTTCGTCCACAAATATACAGTCAATTCACTTTACAGTCTATTCTGTGAAGCACTTTGAAACGTCGAGAAGATGTGAAAAGCCCTATATCAATTGCAAGGATTATATTATTATTATTATAAGCCTGGAAAAACTCCAGGTATTATATACAAGAGCATGGAACAAGAATAGGCTATTTAGCTCATTAAACTCTCTCTTACTAAAGATCATGATGATTTTACTGCCATCCATTCTACCTCCTGAAATAAGTGCTCAGTGGTTCCCAGGGCCAACAAGACTGTTCCTCCATTTCCATCTCAACCCTGACATTCTTCTGAATGGACAGAAATGCCACCAGGAACAGGAACCAAATTAATTCCAAGTCTTCTGTACACTGCTTACCTGAGCCGGGTAATCAAACAGCCACTGGTCTCTGGGTTTCTCCTCATAAGACGTAACGCCCTCGGCCATTTCATGCCTTACTGTGTCTCTCATGGACTCAAGCACTCGATTCAACCAGAGCTCCACCTGGGAGAGAGGATCAATAAAACATCAACTAATACAGGGAGCAAAAGCAAGTTGTATGTACAATCATCAACGTAGGTGGACCCTGATCTTCTTTCTCCTAACAAATTCTTATATTCTTATGACATTAACAGAACCTCAGGTAAAGGAGACACAAGACAAGGAAGGTTTTGCTCACCTGCCCGCTACAATCACATGGCTCTTTGAAGTTAACGTACTCATTCTCCTTGCTGTACATTCCCAACGCCAACTTAGTGGGTCTGTCATCTGCGTCGGTCTGGAATTTCATCTTCGTCATGTTGTCAAAGAGCTTTGACAAGTGATGCTGAACCTGCAAAATCGCACCGTTTACGTGAATTTGAGACTCTGGAACTCTCTCCCTCTCCCCCCCTTACCCCTTCCTTCCCTATTTTCAGGTTGGAGATCTTCCTCTTCATCTGTGTCTACGGTCACCTCCCCCCAGTTCAGCGACGTGCTCTGCCACTGACACGAACTTGCATGAGGGACCCGGTGTAAATGCAAGTTGTTGTTGTTGATTAATATGTCCGTATGGTTTAATTTTGAGTTTAACATTCCCCCCGCAGCGCACGTGTGAAGATTTGAACGTCACATTTTATTTCACTTATAATGGATGACCTGTTGTAGTGTTTGTGTGTTCTTTTAAGCCTCACTCTTTACCGACCTGAATCCCTAAATGGTCTGTTAGTAACCATCATGGAAAATGCTGACTCCAACCGTGAATTGGCAAACTTGCGATTAACTGATGGCCAAATATTACCTCCTTGTGCACAGGGCATCAGCGCTCTGTTAACATGCACCTTACGGCTACAATCTATGATATGCACAGCTTCCCATCACTTTAATAGCATTCCAATATTGCAAGTAGTGAATTATATGGTCTTTGCATTGATTTAGTGCTCATAGCATCTGAACATCTAAAATTGCTATCAAGTGTATATTCGTGGGCAAACGTGGCTTCCAATTTGCCCAGTTGTGTCTCAATTTACACGCAAATAGCTGTGAAGTGAATAATTAAACTATCTGGAGGATTATTGGCCAGGACATACAGCAGAAGAAACTGCCTTCTCTGTTCGAAGGGAGTTATGAGATTGTTTGGCATCCACCTCGTCAGCCAAACACAATGTATAACGTGACACTCACCAGGTGAGGGCTGGTGCCATTGGAGAGAATGTCCAAGAGATCCGCAGATGAAATAAAATAGAACCTGGGAAACGCCAGTCGCTTTGTGTCAAGATATTCGGCCAGGGCTTTCTCACAAAGAGCCAGTCTGTGCAGGAGAGACATCGACAATAATTATAATAGTCATCCTTACGTTTCGCACGTGGCCTCTCACGTCAAAAGACCGTCTCAAAGCAATTTGGAGGATATATTGTAAAGATTAGTGACTGTTTTTCATAGCTGGATGGTCCAACTGGTGGCCCGCCCTCACTCCTCACTCACACACACACACCGTGTTTTAACATTAATCACCTAAATAAAGGGAGCAAGTTTGCAATCAGGTATATCTACCTTCTCTGACTGTCCTCCAATTTTTCGTACAAGCCCCATTTGTTGGTCGCTTCCACCACGTTTGGTGTTTTCTCAGCGTCTGAAGCCAACTCCTTGAAATCCATATCGATCTCCTCAAAGCGTTTCGAATCCTGAATAACATTGATAAACTAAATGTCCATTCAAATCTTCAAGAATGAGGTGGAATGGAGTCTTGACCCATCACCTCGTAAGCACTTACTGGCTGCGTCGAATTACAACAACAACTTGCACTTATATAGCGCCCCCCAATGGCAGAGCCTGATTCCGAGCCGGGGGCAGGGGGAGGTGACTGTGCATTCACAGTGTAGATTTAATGATTAAATTAGATTTTATACGACTTTTTTGCCTGCAATTTGGACTTTGCAATAATTCATATTAAATGTTATGGTTCTGCCTGATAGGAACTTATGTGAGTTTGACAGATTGTTTGCGAGTCTCCAGCGAGCTTGGAGAAAGACCCGTGACGCCATGCGGTCAGGAAAAGGAGTAAAGAAAGTTGAGGAGAAGGAAGGAAGTATTACTGAACCAAGGAAACGTCTCGATACCTCAGGCAGCTGGGCTCGTATGTCCTCGGAACCAATGAAGATACTCTCCAGGTGGGACCATGTCCGCTGCACCTCAAACCAAACGGAGATGACGGAGTCCGCAGTGGACAGCTTCTTCTGCCAACTGGAGACTTCCTCCAGGAAGAAGGCGATGTACTTGGAAGACATGAGGTTCTGCAGTTGCACTTGGTTGTCCTCCAGGGTCTCAATGAGGTCTTCATCCGACCTGAGCAAAGGCACGGCAGTGCGTGGGTGATGCTCGTAGTGAAACTGCATACTGCCCCACGTTGTGTCCAGCTCCTTCAGCACCTTCTCCATCCCCATCTCCTTCACAGCCTTGTCCACGATGCCGCGCACCTCGTCCTCAAAGTTGTGCAGGTTCAGTTTCAGGAGGTCGGCCAAGGTGGTGCTCTCGTCCATGGTGAAGGTGACCCTCGTCGCCTGCATCAGCTGGTACCAGTGGCGGTCCCTAATGGCCGGGTTCTGAAGTTCAGCCACTGCACGAAGGGAGGTCATGATGTTCTTCACTGTGCTGTCCAGCCCCGCAAAGGCATCCCAGGCCCTCATTTCCTTATCGAGGCCCCGGATATCTTTAGCCAGCTTCTTGGTCTCCAGATCCATGTTTTCCACGTCAATCTCCCTCCACTTTGTCCTCTTCCAATCATTCATGCTGGACTTGACCACAGTTATCATGTCCCACAACTCCTTGAGCAGACATGCCTCTTTCCTGCACTGTTTCAGCTGTTTGTAGTCAGGCACACTGACCTCGAACAAGACGGCAGAGTCATTCAGGGCCAGCATATCTGCTTCCATTTGGCTGATCTGGTGATGGACCAAATCCAGCATCTGGTGGGGATCTGGACTGTCAAACCTGACAGGGGAATAGGACAGAGGAACATAAAGAGACAACAGGCCAGGCCCAAACGTAAAACAAATCCTACACTTTCCTCATCTCTCAGAACTATCAGTTTAGTTCTTTGCCAAATACTCTATCACTATGTTTCCTCCCTCAACACAGCGTTCCCTGGACTGTGCATTAAAAACTCACCAATACTGCCCACTCACTATTACTGCTCACTCACTATTACTGCTCACTCACTATTACTGCTCACTCACTATTGCTGCTCACTCACTATTACTGCTCACTCACTATTGGGGTTTGCTCACCACTGACTGGTGTTAATTTAGCATTAGTTTCAATCACCAACAGCCCTCATCCCCACCCTTAGTCACCGCTCACGATTAGTTTACTGCCCCGTCCGTACCTGAATGGTGCTTGTCGGCGGAATTGCTCCCGGAACTTGTGTTGCTCCACATCAAAGGCAGCGCATTTCTTACGCAGAACAGTCACTTCGTTGGCTTGGAGCGGGGCCACCTGCTGCTTTGCTGTTATCCCAAGTTTCTTCACATTATTCCACTTCTCTGGCAATTCCTGGCACACAGCAACAGTGACACGTCAGTACAAACAGTGCAGTACATCGCTGTGAGTATCCCACGTACACACCCCACCCCAGGATTCCTCACACAATCCAGTGCATCATTTGTAAGGAAATTAATTGAGGTCATTTAAAAGGAGGACTCAACAACAACAACAAAACTGCATTTATAGACTCGGCGAAAAGTTGAGCAAAAAAATGGTATTGAAACTTGAAATGCTATTAAAAGTATGAAAACTCCCCTCTTCAACAGTGCTTATGGCCACCTCCCCCCTCCCCCCCCGGCTCGGAATCAGGCCCCGCCACTGTGAAGCTCTGAGACACTGCCCTGCGTGGAGGGTGCTATATAAGTGCAAGTTGTTGTTATTAAATGGGCGCACAGACAAAGAGCTGGGATGTGGGTTGACAGCTCCAGGCCAGAGATGATGGGCTGAAAGGTCGCCACAGAACCATTGACATTTACAGCACATCGTATCTCTGCTGCCTTTTAAAGAGCAATCCCTTCAGTCTCACTCTCCTGCTCTTTCCCCAAATACCCCTGTAGTTTAGTCCTTTACAGATATCTATCTAGTTCCCTTTAGAACGGGCTGTAAACTTTCTGCGTCACTAAAGTCAAGAGTTCAGCTTGCAAATCCACAGTTTTGCAGAGCTTTGTGAGTTAAGAACTAGCACTGGAAAGGGAACAGAGATAAATTGAATCAAGATTTAGAGAGAGAGAAAGAATAGGGAGAAAAAAAGAAAGAAATAAAAGGAAGAAAGGGACAACATGTGAAGATCAGAAAAAGTATTTAAAATCTTCACCTCTTTTGAAAATTAGGTATTTAATATTTATTGCGATGGGTGGATTTAAAAATTCAGTAAAAAAGCAATCCTCCTTTTAAATAGCTTGATTAGCAACATATATTAATAATACCTTTTATAGTGAGTTAGCCAACTAGTTACAGGCCCAGGAGACAAGAGCGTGTGTAGACATGACTGTAGTCTAAAGGTTAAAGCAACTTTACTGAGCAAGTATAGGTTATTATTATAAATAACATTACTCAGTGGAAGCATCCAGAGCAGGGAAAACTTGCTACAATTACAGCACAGAAAGAGGCCATCGATTTGGGTATCGACCTTCCTCTTCGAGCGTGCCTACGATCACCTTCCCCACCTCCCTCTCCCCCTGGCTCAGCGTCATGCTCCTCCACTGTCCAGCGCTCTGGGAATGCTACACTGAGTGAAGGGCGCTGTGTGAATGCAAGTTGTTGTTGTGCTGCACCAGAGCAGGACTGACCTCTAACTGTCTGTACACCTCTTCAGGTAGCTCCTGGTCATAGGTCTTCAGAAGCTCAATGGTTTGTTTAAGGGGTTCAAACATCCCATCAGTCATCGCCTGCCTCTCTTTCACGGCCATAAGGTGCCCCATGACATCAACCAACCCGGTCAAGTTGCCGTCTTCCACCTTTTGGCTCAGGCCTCTTTCAGTCACTTTGATGAACATTTCCAAGTCAGCCAGGCTGTGGGCAGAGGGAAAGGTACAATGTGCTTCACAGTCAACATCAACTGCAACAGTCATTGTTTTTTCCAGGCATTTGACTGAGGCATTTCATGCTTATGGGGCTATTGGGGGAGCATGTGAATTTCATCCATTCCTGTGAAACAGACATGGACTATAGCTTTCATTCCCTGTGTGAGGTCTTAACCCGCACATAGACACACCCAATTATAGCAGGTCAGGTGACGGGATGGCCTCGCTGGCAGATCACGTCCAGCCTGAGCTTCGTGACCAGGGGCTCAAGTGATTCCGGTGTCTCTGTGTGAGGGCAGATCTCACTTCTGCAATACCCACCCAACCGAAAGAGAGCGCTGAGAGCCCAGCTGTAGTCAGGAGCTCAATCCTTCCCATCATCCTCTCATTTCCCTATCTGTCAGCAGAAGCCTGGCTCAGACGTACCTGTTAGTTACATGGCCAATAAGGTGCTGCTTGAACATCAGGCTCCATTTCTTGATGACATTGAGCAAGGCAGATTTAAACGGCCGCCCATCTACTCGCATCCAGCCGTCAAACACATTGACGGGCTCCAGGCGGTTCACCTCATGGTAGATCTTCTCGTAGGTGTCCACCTGCTCCTTGTACTGCTGCAGGGTGGGGGGGCTCTCAGGGACCCCCTCCTCCGCGTGGGCCTCGATTTCCTCCGCGCTGAGCAAGTGGCCGTACAGCAGGAACTGCCGCATGAACTCCTTCCGGTCGTCAACCCACAGGTAGGAGAACTGGTCAAAGGCGTTACGGTAATTGCAGCACTTTCCCAGCACGAGCTGAACACTGTCCATCAGGTGCTGACGCAGGTCTGCCAAGTCCGCCATGTCTTCCATGTCAGCCTGACAGGCAACAACAAGAACAACAATATAATATCCCTCACGCAGGGTAGCTTCCCAAAGCGTTCAGCATTACCATGAGTGGCCGCTGCCTTACCTGGTAGTGAGGGCAGTCACTGTGATTTGCAAGTCTGGGCACCAAGGAAGAAATCCTGTAGATGTCATTCATGAGTCCGTCTACCAGGTCACAGAAGCCATTGGTGGCACCAAGCTCCAGAGATGGGTGGAAGACCAAATCAGGGGCAACGAGGTCCAACTGGGCTTCAAAGAGCGGCCCACAGCCAGCTTTAGGATCTAATCAAAAGAGACGCAAAATGGTTCTTTTTAAAAACTATGAGAAGAATAAAGAGATGCCAAACAGAGATCGAGTGACCTCTCATCATCATCATCATCATCCTTGCATTTGATATAGCGCCTTGTCATGTCATTGAGACAATTATCACCCCTGGAAATCTGTCGATCGACTAACAACCAGGTTCCTACTTACTGCTAATATACAGAGGTGTGTGGACGAAGGAAACTTGCTTGAGGTCTCGTCCTGCTCAGGAATCAAACTCTCGCTTGCGAGGCGAGTGCTCCAACCATTATCCCATGGGACTCCTCTTCTTATAGGGAGGAGGAACAATAAACAAGCAGGAGCCTCGACCTGGATCTGGATGGAGATCTGGAAAGCCTTGCTAGTAACCCAAAGGTTCTACTTACCCATGTTGTCTACAAGATAGTTCAAGGAGCACTCAATCGCATTGAATAAACCATCGATGATCATTTCATCAATGTAATCAACGTAAGTTTTCCAGACATCCAAAGTTGCATCCGCTTGGAAGAGAATCAGGTTTTCCTGGCCAAATGATAACATATCAAACAATAAAAATCAGATGGGATTGTGGTATAAAATGTACAGAAAGCTTTCAGAAACAGGGCAGAATTGTGGCAATGGTGGGTCTCTAACTCTAATAAGTTAATTATCTAGTCTTCACTTGGCATTACATTATCATTTTAAAGAGAATGGATTCGGGAGTGATTCGATCTATTCTTGGCCACAGATAGGTGAAGGCCAGGAAATGAAGATGAAGATTGCCCTTCTCTGCCCTCCGCTTACCTCCACTAGTCGTTGGATCTTTTCTCCCGTTTCTCTTATGAAGCTGTAGCGTTTCTCGAGCCGCTCGCTCCTGTCCTCCAGATGGAGCAACGCGTCCTTGCCTTCCCTCCTCTCAAACACAGGAGACACCCAGGTCCTCATGATACTCTGTATCTCCTCCACATGATCCTTTGCTTTCTGTATCCGACATTCCAAGTCACGCACCATATCCCGGACCATTTGGATATAACCCCAAGCGTCTTGGAGAACATTAATGAGAATATATTACCCACAGGAAGAACTTGACACGTCTTTATTTATTAGATTTGTTCTCTGATAACTCTCACTTTATCTATATTTTTCCTCACTTTAGCATGTTAATTACTGTCTCATACAGCTCGGGCACTCTATGCCGTTATAATTCATTGTTAATGGCATAACATGTTACAGTCAACCTCTGGTGATTTTCTGATCAATTCCAGTGAAGAAGTTGTTAATCTTGAAATGATATGATCTCAGTGAACCGCAGAAACAAATAGCCTTATTAAAAATCAAATCGCTGAGTTTATACAGTGAGCAACTCCAGCCACAAAGTCAGTGGAGGTTTAAGATGCAATCGCCAGGCTGCACTGACTGAGCTCATTGCAGCCTGAAATCAATTGGGTTGGGCTCAACGACTGAGGTCAGTGTCCGAGGTTAAGAATGAGAAATTCAGGCCGACTTTCTGCTCCTGATCCGTTATCTAGCGATCACCTTGCTGGTGGTGTGTGAGTGTGTCGACATCAGGAGTTCTCATGCAGAGAAACACACCAGTGCAGATGTTATGTGCTGAGTAGCCTGATTGTGGATTGTAACATTCTACACCTTGGGGGAGACAATTTTTAAAAGGATTTGGGTGGCTCATTAAAAAAAATCAGACACATGTTCTCTTACATCGAGTGGTTAAACTATTACCTTCATTCCTCCAGTTCAATATCTCTTCTGCCTCCTGTAGTTTGGCATCTATGACCTGCACTTGCCCTTCTATAAGAGGGAATTCGACCTCCAGCACTGTCTTACGAATCTTGTTGTACCAGTTGGCTGTCAGCTCCAACGTAGCCACATACTGTCGGTAGGTTTCTTTGGAGCAATAGATTTGGGCTGCAGTTTCTGGGATCTTGACTTTCAAATGTCTGTCCAAGTACTTCACTTCTTGTAAGACTGAGACCAGCTACAACATAGCACAGGAGAAATGGTGAAATTAGCTGTCGTGACAGTGTAGACACATGATAAGCTTTCTTCCTGTTCACAAAGACAGAGAAAGGTTTTCCTCCACAAACCTGATACTTGTCAATTGATTCACAGAGAGAACTTGATGACAGCAAACTCAGACAGACTTGATGGCACATCACAAGGTTTGGTTAAAAAAAACATACAGAATCCACACCCTACCATTTGCCTCATTACAGCAACAAACTCTTTCTTAAATGAGTTTGTCGAGTGCCTTGGGCTCAAGCATTTTCCTGGTAACAAGTTCCAGTCAATAGTTGTTCTCGTATAAAGAAATGGTTCTTGGTGTCTGTCCTAAAAACTCTAAACTTGCTGCACTTGTAAAGCAAACCAGGTCCAACACTCAAACAGATGTCTTCACCACAAGCAGGAGTGTCCGCAACCAGGCAGGTTGGTTCAGACAGAGAGAGAGTAACAACAACAACTTGCATTTATATAGAGCGCCCTTCACACATGATAGCGTCCCGGAGTGCTTGACACTAGCGAAGTCTGACACCGAGTCAGGACGAGAGGGAGGGGGGAAAGTAGGACAATGCAAGACTAGTGGCCGTCTCTGACTACATATTCCATCACCACTGACAGACAGTCTCTCGGGACATAGCCTACCTGGGAGTCAAAGTTGACCGTGATAAGTTTTGTCTGTGGATTTCGCCTGAGGAGAGGTTGATTGAGGTTATCCTGAGACCTTTCAGCCACAGTTTGGGCCCACTCTGTGTACAGTTTCTCCTCATATCTGGAAAGAGACGTCAAAGCCATAGCACAGGTAGCAGTAAGTATACACCACATACATCAGTGTCGATATAACAGGTGCGTAAATGTTTCTGCAGTCGTTGGGAACAGATGAGAAGAGCCCATTAATTATAGTCAAAGTCATTGTACTAACAGTTCAGGATTATCTTGACGTGTTGCTCATAAAGTATTAGAATATGTGATCGGTGAAATCAGGTTCTTAGCTCTTCAGCTGTGTGCCTCAGTTAGAGCATGCTCGCTCCCAGGTTACAGGATTGTGTATCGCAATTTTAGACTGACACTCGAGCACATTACTGCGGGAGTGCTGCATTGTCAGAGAGCAAGGCATCACATGCCATATTAAAACTATTTGACACAACGCCTTATCACGTCTTCGAGACGTCTCAAAGAGCTTCACAGGACACACTGTAAAGTGAAGTGACTGTGTGTTTTGTGGGTGAAACGAAACGTGAGGGTTCAGATGAATAAAGACAAATTTGGAGGAGCAGCAGTTCCCCCCAGCTCCCTGGCCATTATTCTTCTCTCAACAACATTCCTTAAAAAGCAAGTTAATTGATCCTCGTCCGGTGTGTGGGGCATCCCTGGCTCACAGTATCAGTTGGATGGATGGTTGCCTACTGAGCAGTCACTACATTTTTCAAAATAACCCGAGATAAAGAAAAAGAAGGGAGTTTCTCTGTGTGTCACTGTGGCTGAAAGGGTCACTTGTGTCATGACTACGCGTGAGACATTGTTGTGTGCAAGCTGGCTGTCATGTTCACTTCCAGAACACAGTCACTACACTTGAAAGAAAAACTCCATGAAGCACTTTGAGATGTTTCACCAGTACAGGTGCGACATCAAATACAAGCATTATTATAAAAGATACCACACGTATCTTTATACCGGATTGAGATGTTGCAACGCAATATTATGGAGGATTATAATTAGCACAAATCTTCCCAATTTAATATTAGAGGAGGACGTGTCTCTCTGTGGACAGCTGCTTAGTGCATAAAACAGTGGGTCACTCACTGCTCCAGGAGCTCCTTCATCTCTTCATATTTCTGAATCACACGTTTGCCTTCAGCGGAGTCCAGACACCTGAGCAAATGGAGGTAAAGTCAGAGACAACCTCAGGAAGAGTCGTGTTACCAAAGACTGAGCTACGCCAAGCACCGGGAGGAATACCTACGGGTACGAGACGTGTCTGAAGTAACCGAACGGCACTTGAATCCGTTCCCTTAGCTCCTGAGCCCAGCGCAGGGCACCAGCGACCACTGGCATGTTCCTGTGCACTGGAGGGTAACCTGCAAATACGGAAACCCACTCCCTGGTTAGTCAAGATGTTCTGTTGTATTTAACGAACGTCGACAGCAATACAGCACTGAGTGAACTATCCTCTGCCACAAACAGGGGCACGGCCTGAAAATTATAACCAGGTCATTTAAGAGTGAAATCCGGAAGCATTTTTTCACCCAAAGGGGAGTAGAAATCTGGAACTCTCTCCCCCAGAAGGCTGCAGATGTTGAATCAATCCATCCACACCTTCGAGGGTGAGGTTCATAGATTGTTGATAGCTCAGGGGATTGAGGGATATAGGGAAAAGGTGGAAAATTGGAATTGACAGGATTAGTTGAGGTACAGATCAGCCATGATCTAATTAAATGGCGGAACAGGCTTGAACGGCTGAATGGCCTCCTCCTGTTCCTATGTTCCTAACAGTCGTGAGATACAAGCAAGGACAACCCTGCTGCCACATGGTCTGCTCTGCCTCCGGGCTTTCTCTGAATGCAAATTGAAAGGATTAAAAGAGGCTTAAAATTGGCAGCAGAATAGTGGAGCTTGGCAAGTCTGCAAATCCTCTGTAATAAACTCTGAAAAGCAGCGGTGCCTCAATTAAATCCGACATCTGATTTTTCAAGGTTTTTTTTCTCACCTGAAAGAGCTAAAACGACAACAAGATGCATATTTTCTAATCTTTAAGTGCAAAGAAAGCCACTTTTATTCCAGGGTATAATTACATTATTCACTTTGCTCACCGGCACCCAGAGAGGATTATAAAAGAACGAGTTGCCAGTTCCCGGGTGTTACAGTTAATGTCATCTCATATGCAGCACGGAGGTGCTCACAGGGATGAAGTCAAATATGAAAGGGTAAAAAGGGGCCAGTGTTTCCGAATGACTCATCGGCTTCGAGACTGCTGCGTTTGATACAGCGCCTTATCATGTATCCCAGACGTCTCAATGCGCTTCACAAGATACACTCAACTAGAGAGAGAGAGAGAGAGAGACCCACTGAATGATGGAAAGAGAGGGCAGAGCAGAGACAAAGACTAAAAGGATTTACTCTGGATGAAGATTCCCTTCCCTCTTGCAATGAACTCCAGTTCGCTCTCCGTCAGACAAGCCCTTACCGAGCTCCACGGTTTGCTGAAGGTGTTGGTTGTAAATGAGTTTGGCGTCATCCAGGTCCTTGTTGAAGGTGGTGACGAGGTGAAGGTACCGGCTGCTCACGTGGGCCTCGATGAGGGGTCGGTCGAGCAGACTGCCGAACATGTCCAGCAACTGCAGACAAGAGAATAATAAAATATAATAATATAATAACAATAAAACAATAATATGGTAATAAAATAATAATAAACTAATAATATAGAATAATAATATAATAATAAAATAATAATATAACAATAATATAATAATAATTCTTGCATTTGATACAGTGCCTTATCACGTCTTCAAGACGTTTCAAAGTCTTCTCAAAGAATATACTGTATATTTTGTGGGTGAAACGCAGCAGCCAGTTACGCACAGCAGTGTCCCACTCAAACAGTCGTGGGTTGAGTGACCAAATTATTATTATTATTTTTTGGGGATGGGTTATTACCCCCACAAAATGATTTGACAATCGACTAACAATCGGGTTCCTACTTACTGCTGGGTAAACAGAGGCGTGTGGAGTAAAGAAACTTGCCTAACGTTTCACCCTACCCGGGAATCGAACCCAGGTCCTCTCGCTTGTGAGGCGAGTGCTCTGACCACTGAGCTACAGGACTGCACAAGTCTCTCCCAAACAGACCTTGAAGCCTTGCTCCAAGCCACAGGAGTCATCGAAAGCCTGACAGAAAATGGTGGCCAGCCGAAGGTCCAAATCCTCAACTCTCTGCTTGCAGCTCTTGAGATCTTCGTCAAACTCCTGCCAAACAAAATCTCTTAATAGTTTACAGGTTTGAGCTCAGCAGTGGTTCCAAGTCACCCGACTCCACTCCCTATCGAGCTCACACATGGATAAAGGCCATTTGGGCACAGAACCTGGTGAATATCTGTCCAACTGTACTGCAGGAGAAGGAAAAACGTCAAAACACCTTCCGAAGAGTAGGGAAGAGGAAACTAAATAAAACATTAACTTGAAACATCTCGGCTAACATAGACATCAGAACACAAACAAATGACATAGATTTCTGCTCGAAAATAATATCTAGGGATACAGTATATAATTCGGGACACAACATTTCATGACATGCCAGGATGGTGGAAGGCGAACCAGATAGACCTTGGTCTTCTTTCTTCTAGCAAATTCTTGTGCCCTTATGCCACAAGTTTGCTAAGGCTGAGTGCAAAGGCTTAACCTTACAAAGTACCTCGTCCCCTCCTGACACACACACTAAATGGGTGACGCCATGTAAACAAGGCTTCTTTATAATGCTATTGTACATTTGTTCCTCACCTACAAGGCCATTCACGGCCTTGCTCCCTCCTACCTCTCTGACCTACTATCCCCCTACCTACCTGCCCGTACCCTCCGTTCCTCTGGCTCCGGTCTGCTCCACATCCCCCGCCCCAGCCACCCTACCATCGGTGGCCGGGCCTTCAGCCTCTCAGCCCCGAGGCTCTGGAACTCTATCCCCCAGTGCCTTCGCCGCTTCCTCCCTTTCCTCCTTCAAGGCCGGTCTCAAGACCTTTCTCTTTGACCTTCAGCCTTCAGCTCCCCTCTCGACTCTCTACCCCCTCCTCGCTCCCTCCCTTCCCTCCCCTCACCCTGACCAATTTCCCCCTGCTCGGGTCCTGACCCAACTGTACAGCGCCTTCGGATGTCCTCCCGACGTGAAAGGCGCTCTATAAATGGAATCTTGTTGTTGTTGTTGTTCCTACCTGGTTAGCGGGATCCAAACAGTCGTACGTTCGCGCTGAGAAAACTTTATACGTCTCCTGAAACTCCTCATAGGTGCTCACCACCTGATGACTCAAGGCTTTGCCTCGAACCCCTCCCAGCTCAATCTTTTCCAGCTTGAATATGTCCTGCGCCGTCACCAGCAAATACTGGCGGCAAAGACAACACACGAATGGGCATGAAACAATGAAATGGAAGGAAAAAGTATTTCTAACCTACAGGAGTGTCTCCACAGCCCCCCACACCCCCCACACTCCCCACCAGCAAAAGCAGTTTAATATCTGTCTAAATATCCATCGCACCAATTGATGCCCTAATACTCCATCAATGTCCATTTGTTGGCCACTCAACCGGATTGTGATCTGTTCCATTTCAATGCATGAATGGAAGTGAAGTTTTGTCTCACTTTATTCCCAGTTGTGTTGATAGTGAAGCTCCAATGCTCACCTCAATCTCCTCGAGTCTCCGCAGGAAGGAGTTCATGCGGGAGAAGACCAGCAGAGAATTGAAGTTCCACTCTCTCACCACTTGGTTTTCCTCGTAATAATCCCTCAGTGTTTCCCGCTTGTCCTCATACAACCTCTTGAAAGATCTCAGTGTCTCCAGGGTCTGGCGCACCTTGGCCAGGCTCTCCTCCACCTCTCCTCTCAAGATGTCTTCTGGGTTGAGATGGGCACGAGCCTGGAGCAATGAGACAAGAGGGAGGAAGAATGCTGTTGATCTCATTTAAGTCCTTCTCCTTCCCACCCACCTTGCTCCACCAATTCCAGCCTGCTTCACAGTCCTCACAATCTCCCTGCCTCACCATGAGTGAGTGAGGGAGCTCTCAGCTACTCTATGACAACAACAAATGACATTCTACACTCTGGCCCAGTTTGCAGCATTGTCCCACAGTGAAGTGAACGGCCAATTATTGCTGTGGGGCACAGAGCGGTGGGGCAGATGGGACAACAATAACAACTTGCATCGAGTCTCAAGATCCTCCTCTTCGATCATGCATTCGGCCATCCTCCTATCCCCACCCTCCCTGCCCTGCAACCCCCTGGTCCCAGCACCCAGCTCGGGTCCAAATCCCTGACTGTCCAGCGTCTTGAGACATCCTCCTGACGTGAAAGGCGCTTTACAAATGCAGTTTGTTGTTGTTGTTGTTGTTGCATTTACACAGCACCACTCAGGCAGCGGCAAGTCCCTGAGCGCTTCCCCAGAGGGACAGGGGGTGTGTACCCCAAGCTCTGTACCTGCTGGATGAAGAGGTTGCAGATCTCCTGCAGGAGAACGATGATGCGAGCAGGGGTGTTGAAGTGCTCAGACCTGGCCCAGACCAGACACACTAGGTGCAGGAGACAGTTCATGGCCGGTCTCACCTCACTGAACTCCACGTTCTCAATATCTTCAAAGTAGCGCTGTAGAGGCTTCAGGTGCAGACTGATGTCCCTCGCCTCAGTCAGAGCTGCGGGGGACGGAAAGAGAACTAAACTGGATCAGCAACAAGCACTCGTGTTTCCCAGAGCTTCATCACTTCTTCAAAACACATGCCCCGAACTCAACCTCATGATTTACCAAATTAGTAACAAATTTGCTAATTTACTTGTGTTTAACTTCACAATTAAAATAACCCAGAAATTAGAGACATTCAAAACCCAAATCCTTTGGGAAAGAGTTACGAGGTTCCGACACAACAAAGGTTCAGAGGGAAGTTTAGACTAGAGACTAACCCTCAACAACGTCTGCGAACATGGTTTTGAACACGGGGAAATAGCTGCTTTCCACACTCTCCAACAGCTCCACCATCTTCTGAACTTTCCTGGACTTCAGCTGATCGTAAATACATTCCAGGTTTGTGCATCTGGAAATAATGAAATCAAAGAAACAGTTTAGGTGCAGAAGCCAAAAACCAACCCAGCACTGACACGGAACTTTGAGATATCCTCGATCAAATGCAAGGATTAATTATTTTTATGATAATAGATTATTTCAACACAGACATGGGGACAACATAGAGGGACAGCAAGTACTGATGTGCATAGGCATTGCGTGACTGCGCTGAAATAATCTATTATAGCAAAAGTGCTGACCAGCAATCAACACCCTTACAGCACTGGATTGGGATTTTATAGATCCACAACGACCACATCAGACCAGGGCTGTACTATTTCTGCTACATTTCAGGACAGCTCCCAACTCCATGGCACCCTGACATGTGCTTCAATTCTGCCGATTGCTAATATTTGTGTTTCGGCAGCGAGAAAACTAATGATACCATCAGGGACCCACTTGGGTTTGGAGACAACCTGACAGAACGAGAGATCAGAAATAACGCACACAGTAGGAAAGGCAAAGATACTTGACAAAACGTTCAAGTTAACAAAACCTCCAAAATCCTCTTCAAAACCTATCGTTTTGGCTGTGCTTTCAGTCACTGTCCCACCACTTAACGTCCACCTGAACCAACGGACAAGACCTCAGTTTAATGTCTCACCTGAAGGACGGCAGCGGAAAATGACCAGCCAACGGCGATGCTGTGAAGCCTGGTTACCTGGTTTTCCAGAATTCCAGCTCCTCGGTAGGATTGGGATTGCAGCCTTCCAGCAGAGACTCTGAGGAGTCTTTCTTCAGCACCTCCCGGATCTGGTGGCTCCAGTCAATGATGACCGATTCGATGGCGTGGACAATGTGCTTGTCCAGGATCTCCCCACTGTAAAGCAATCAGAATGCAGGTCAGTGCCTGAGATTACAATCAACACAGGAAATCCACATTTCTCCAGTGTTTTGCACGGATGTAGGGGGTGAAAACAATCCTGAATCCTTGCATTTGATTCAGCACCTTATCCACGTCTTCAAGACGTCACAAAGCGCTTCACAGGACAGACTGTAAAGTGTAGTGACTGTGCGTTCTGTGGGCGAAAATTATGTCCTACGTTTTCTCCTCCTCGTATCCGTCCACAGCTTGCTCAGCTCCTGCTGGCAGTGGAAGCAGAGTCTTGCCTTTCACTCGGCCCACCACCACGAAGACGTTGCTCTTCAAGCCGTAAGTGTGTCTCATCACATCCTGAGACACCACCTGAGGCCATCGGCTGAGGTTCCTGCTGTTGGTCAGAACTGGCACCACCACCTGAGGGGAGACATGGTAAAGCTCTGGCCAGGTTAGGCAGATCCCTCAGCCACTTTACACACAAGTTCTGCACATTCATTTATTCTAATCTAATCATTCAGTCACCCTCCTATCCCCACCCTCCCTGCCCTCCACCCCTCCCGATCCCAAATGCCCAGCTCGGGTGCAAACCCTTGACTGTCCAGCAGATTGGGATGTCCTTCTGGCATGAAAGGCGTTATCTGCATATAATTTGTTGTTTTCACATTAATAATAATAGTAATAATCTTTGCATTTGATCTAGTGCCTTATCACACCGTTGAGAAGTCACAAAGTGCTTCACAGCAGATACTGTAAAGTGTATTGTAGAGTGACTACGTATTTTGTGGGTGAAACATGGCAGCCAATTGCGCACAAGGTGCATTGGCACTGAGGACTAGGTATCCCCCACACAGTCGTGGATTGAGTGACCAGTGGATTTTTTTTTCAGGGATTATTTTAATAATACATACACTTAGCTCTGCTTTCACCCTTGCATTGGAGAAAGCGGCTTTGGCTCTTTTGTGGGACATTGCTGCGTGAAAATTGGCTTCAGAGTTCGTCTACACACACAGTCACTATACTTCGGGGTAAACCCGGTGAAGCATTTTGAATTACAATTATTATTACCGTGTCGTCGAAATGTTTCAAAGCATTTCACAGGATTTGCTGTAGAATGGAGTGACTGCCCTTTTTCGGGGCAAACTTTCCCATAAGTAATAATAATAATAATAATCAGCCTTGCATTTGATATAGCGCCTGGTCAGGTATACACAGACCCAGGCAGCAATGTTTCTGCATCATGTACCTGGCAACAAGGTCTCCTTCCAGCTTCCCCTTGTGTTGGTTTGAGACACTCTGTGCAACAACACTGACAATATTACTGAATGTTTCACCTGCACCAAAGCGGCAACTCTCTCCCTGTGCTGTAGTGTAGTGACTGTGTATTTTGTGGCCAATTGTGCACAGCGATGTCCCACAAACAGTGCTGGATTGAGTGACCACATTTTTTGTTTGCGTTCAAAGGTGGTCAGGTTCACCTTAGCTCCAGGTGACACCCGCACAAAGCAGTGGTTCATTAGAGTAGGTTTGTGTACTGTTCTGTTTGCTGCAATATTGCACATTTACACCGTTTGCTGTTGTGTTAAGTGCATTTTTACGATCGTTGTTCGTTTCCCGCTTTTTTTTATATATATAAAAACACTTGACTTCACGAACTTTACTCTTACCTCGTCCACCAGGGCAGAGAATTGATCAAGCGGGGAGTAGGATAAATCCCCAAATCCCAGTTGAGTTTTCATAGATTCCCTCGTTAACTGATCTTTGTGTTTCTTGACAAAGAACACAGCTTTGTTCTTACAGGCGTTGGGAAACTCCAGGGACGGAATGAGTTGTCCTGCAGCATTCACAGACACCACAAGCACTTTCCGATCACTTTTTTCCAAGAATTCCTGTATCAGTAGGCGATATTCCTCAGTGCCAATGCACCGCTGCCATCGATCAGCCTTTAGCTTCAGAGTTTTCAAGACATATTCCTCCAGGAAATCACACCTTTTATCAGCAGTGGTGTCTTCCATTGTTTTATCGTAACTTTTTATTATTCTCTCACTCTCTCAACCCCTCTCCCTCTCCCACAATTGACCCTCTCAGGCTAGTGTGACCCCCACAGCCACAGTCACAGACACGAGCCAGTTCTGTCTCTCAGCCTTGAGTGGATTTCAGTGTCGGATGTGTCCATAGCAACCGTGTGTTTGCAAGTTGCATTCATGAATGAAACATTGGGAAGTGTTCCCAGGAAGAGAAGGAACCACATGGCAGTGATTTGCACACCTCCCCCTTTGCAAAGGTCTCAGGTAAATGTTAAGCAAAACTTTGCCTTAGTTGATGCTTTTTATATAATTGAAAAAAAAAGGTAGGTTCAATGGAGAACCAATCTGGCTTTGTTCACCCTGATAGCTCCTCACCTCTTACCTCAGCCAGTCACTTCTCCAACAGGAACCGTGCCTGAGGATCAGCACCAGTTTCACCTGCAACATAAATAGGACATCCCTAAAACAAGAGAAACTCTTCCAATAAAGATTTTTCTCAACAGAAGTCTAAGAGATTTCCAACCCGCCGTGGAAGCAACCGAATGGTATCATATTTCGGTGGAAGCCGATTCAATAACAACTAAGAGAGAAGTAGATCATTGTTTGGGGAGGAGACAAGTTTGCATGGCTATGGGGTGAGAGCAGGGGAGTGGGATTGATTTGGAAGCTCTTTTAAAAGAGGTGATAGACACAATGAACCGAATGGGACATTGCTGTGCGCAATTGGCTGCCGCGTTCGCCCACAAATATAGTCAATTCACTTTACAGTGTGTTCTGTGAAGCACTTTGGGACGTCCACCCGACGTGAAAAGCGCTATATCAAATGCAAGGATTATTATTATTACACTATCAAGAGAATTGACTATATTTTGTGGGAGAAACACAGTACTTAAAAGTGCAGGTGCAGAGTTGAGAACCAGAAACCAAACTGACTTGGCAATGTGCTGTAGCTTCTTGTAGGAATCAATGCAACACTGTATAAAACAGGAATCCTTTTATTAGAACGACATTGATCTTGCCCGTCCGAAGCTTGGTAGAGTGAGGCGACATGATGCAAAACATTATACAGCAGGTAGGGTACCAGTTAAGCGAACCCTTTCCGGCACCAAATTATCAGGAAAGGCAAACCGTGGCATTGCTCAGTACGTAGGCACCTGAATGGAATATGGTTTCAGACATCTTTTTTTAATTCATTCAACATAAATATTCATTGTGATTCAGCATAACACACCCTGAGATCAATCCCACCTTTCAGAGTTGAATTGTCGCACACAATTTTTAATCTAGTCTTTGTTGATTCTTTTTAAACCTTTCAGACAGAGTGTTGTTGGGCAGCGTTGCCAAGACCAGTGGTGTTTTGGTAACCTGATCCGAGGAGACAACCTGAGCAGGTTAACCCTTTGAGTTCTGCGGCTATTACACTTCCCAGAACAGAAGTTTCTGCATTTCGGCTGTAAAAAATAAATAATACTCCTTGCATTCGATATAGCGCCTTATCACGTCTTAAAGCCCATCACAGAAATATACAGTAAAGTGAACTGACTATTTTGTGGGCAAAATGCAGCAGCTGATTGCACACAGCAGTGTCCCACTAACCATGGAGGATTGAGTGACCACAATTTTTTTTGAAAGAACTAAAAATGTACCGAAACCTGACCCACTCATCTCCATGATATAATCAGGTCAATCTTCAAATACTGGGGCATTGGGATAACTGGAAATAGTGCGACTTTAAACGATTTTAGAAAGAAAAAAAATTCCCTTTAAGCTTGCTTTCTTACTCCAAAAATAGAGGGGAAGGAGCTTGGTCAAATTAAAAAGGAAGGTAAAAGATTTCAACAAATATATTAGATAAGATTTAAGAACTTATAATTCAAGTTGAAGAATTTAAGATTCAATTAAAATTGGCTTTGGTTATATGTTGGTGCTATAGCAACAGCTATCCTTGGTGTTAAGGCAGCTTGAGTACCGTAATACATGTAATATTTGTGTTTTCAGTATCTCAGTGAGTGCACATAGAAACAACAACTTGCATTTATATAGCACCCTCACGCAGGATAGCGTCCCAGAGCGCTGAACTAAACAAAATTGGTCTTCCCTGAAAGGCAGAGCTTTCCCTGGAGTTGTCTAAAATCCGAGGGTTTATTAAGCTCCCTCACTTCGGGGGCCATGGGTGTGTGTGTGTGTGTGTGTCTGTAAATATTTTCTGACCAAACCGAATAATGTGTGCGACTGATTAAAGAACTCCGACGCTGATAATCTGAGCAGGAACCTTCCTTAATTAATATTTAAACAATGATAAAAAAAAGACTTTTATATCAAATTTAATCTGATGAGAATTCCGAGTACCAGTTTGTTTCCGCCCCCATTTCACTGCAGCTCAGCGTCCCTCTGGTTATTTGGGACTGAAACTATCTGATACATCTGATCACACGACCACTTCATCCCCAGCAGTTTATTTATTAATTATTCCAAGGCTCTGTTTTGTGGTAGCTTCGATAATTGTTGAGCGAAACGTCTGAAACCAACTTGAAAATAAAACCTCGATTGATTTCCTCTCTCGACCCGAATAAATTATTGAATGATTGCGTGAACTTGTGAACCCTCTTCGCACGTTTGCTTTAGCCTTCAAATAAAAAGGTTCAAACACACTCCACAACACGAGTGACGCGGTGTTAGAGCAGAAGCTGTGCTTCCGGGGGCAATGTAAGAGTCAGTTTAGCACAATGTGACTGTGCTGCTGTGTGTAAAATCACCTGAGGAGTAGGCTTTCCTCTCCTCCCCCTCTCACCACCCCTTCTCTCTCTCTCTCCCACACGCACACACTCTCCCCTTCACAATATACACCCCGCACGCAATTATTCTGTGCTCTTTCCTGCAGTGTTGGAAACAAGGTTCTGGTCATCCATACAACACAGCCTTGACCCCGTGTTGGTGGCTCTCTCTCTCTCGTCTCGCTCGCTTTCACTGCCAACGCCCCTCAGCTCAGGCGTTTGGGAAGCAGCTCAGTTCTCTGCCACATTCCGGCTCAGTTTGAGTTTCTTGCGCTCCGTGTCAGGATCCGGCTCCTCCAAGTCGCGTTTGGTGCTGCCGGCTGGGCTCCTGGCTGAGGTCACGGAGGCCGGACCTTCGGTAGCCGGTGCGGAGGAGGGAAGACCATGTCCCACACTCCCGTTGGCCACATCCACGCTCAGGGCTTCCTTCAGCTGCCGAAGCTCCCGCTTCTCTCGTCGCTCCTCCATCTCCTCGATCTCCTCAGCAAACAAGGCTTTCAGTGGGGGAAACAACCTGGGGATCACTCCGAAATCTCCAAACCTCACCTGCCGTGGAATGTGACAGCTTATCCGTTAGTAAATCCATTGGCTTAGTCAAAGCTGCTCATTGGGCTTTCTCCCTCTCCCAATCATACAAACATGGGAACAGGAGGAGGCCATTCAGCGCCTCGAGCCTGTTCCGCCATTCTATAAGATCACGACTAATCTGTACCTCAATTCTAATTACCCAAATCCTGTGTTGACCAACAAATATCTATCCAGGGTCTCATCGAGAGTTAAGCTGCTGAGTACATGGATCAGTGCAGAACTAAAGCCATGAACAAGTGCAAGGCCATCAAAGACCAAGACACTCAGCCCCATGACACAAGGCAGGACCCACAGCATCGCTCCTCCATTACATCTTAAACAAACTGCAAAACAATACAGTTTATGTACCCTCATGTGGTCGAAAGCAATCCCAACTTTCTCATTGAAGTCAGCGCTGAAGAGGGGGATCTTGGCATATCTTTGGCTGAAATGGTTCAACATAATAAACTTAGCGTTCATCTTCATCCCAACACTGATGGCCTGGGAAGTGGTGCTAGAAAGAGAAAGAGAGAAAGAGAGAGACACAGGGCTTTAGGACAGAAGCCGCTTAAAACACACAGCTAATATCAATTTTGGAGACAAATAATTAAATCACTGATCATTCTGATGTTATCATAATAATCATCCTTGTATTTGATATAAGGGCCTTATCATATCTTCGAGATGTTTCAAAGGGTTTCATAGAATATACTGGAAAGTGAATTGACTGTATATTTGGTGGGTGAAACGCGGCAGCCAATTGCGCACAGCTAAGGCGCTCTATCAAATGCCAGGATTATTATTATTACTGTTTGTGGCTGTGTGAGCTAAGCACAAATTGGCTATGAGAAGCAGCCAATCCGCTTGATGATAATTGTTGTAAAGTGCTTCAGGAGATTGCTATGTAAAGTGCTACACAATACAATTGTGTTGTAAACAAGATCAATATTCCATCTTTATCATGTTTACAATTTATTCAGATCGCTGGAAACTATTTTTCTCTCTGATTCACAGAACTCAGCAGCTCTGTTTGCAGAGGTGTTTTTATGCCTCAAAGTCCTCAAGTAATGAATAATAAGTAACTGCATTCATCTCGTTTATGTTCCACACAATGATTTTAATCCCAATAATTAAGAAGATGTTCATTTGATGGGAAAAAAGCCAAACCTAAGAAAATCTACGAGACTGCATGAATATAACAAGCCCCACCCTCCCTCCCACCTTCCTACGTACTCCCTCCCACCTTTCTACACCCTCCCTCACACCCTCCCTCCCAAGTAATATTGAGTTGACTTATTGCCACTAAAACCTGGAATCTGCACCACACTATGTTCTTCACCCTCAAAACACAGTCACTCCACTTTACAATATATTCTGTTGTAAATTCTACAATATAGACTTGAGCGAGACATTGGAGAGCACCTCACAACTAAACCCTTAAACATCCAGGAGCAGTGAGAGAACATAGCAGGGGGGGGAAACAGGGGACATGAGAATTGAGCCCACCTGTAGGGAGCGCATCATACTGAGAAAATAACATTTAACACCAAATCGGCGGTGTCTTGACGCAGTGATGTTTCCAGCCTATTTAACAGACTCAGCAAAACCTGAACAGGTCTCACAGATAAACAGCAAGAGTTCTCCCTCACCTGTGGGTTTTTTCCACAGCCTCTTCCTCCAGTCCATCCTCCAGTGTAGCTTCGTGAATCAGTAAGTCTGCATTCTGTCCTGTTTAGCAAAGATATCCTGGTCAAGCATATACTCGGACAGCAATCCCCCTCGGGCTCCCTCAGCCACACCCTTGTATAACAATAACAACTTGGATTTATATAGCGCCCTCCACGCAGGGTAGAGTCCCGGAGCGCTTGACAGTGGTGGAGTCCGACTCCGAGCCAGAGGGGGAGATGACCATAAGCACGGTCAAAAAGAAAGGTCTTTAGCAGGATTTAAAAGTGGGGAGGGAGGGAGGGGGTAAGGCAGAGGGATTGGGGGAGAGAGTTCCAGACCCACCAACCCAATCACGTAGGATGTGCCATCAAACACTCTGGCTGAAGCCACGTGCGATTTTCAAACAAAAGTGAAGCTGATTTTAATTGTTATTTAAAACATCAACCTGGGATTTAACATTGCACACACAAACGTTGATGTACAGTGAGAGGAGCCATCTGGTGGTGGGTGTCAAGACAGACTTGAAAAATAAACTTCAATGCACTCGCTGGCTGCCCAAAATAAAAATATACGAAAACATGAACAGAGTGAGACTGTTCCTGATGATTGGTGAGGCGAGTCGGTTACTATGAGGAGGAGAGCGAGGAAAAAAAAAGGGGGGGGGGTTAGAAGAAAGGTTTTACACGGAGTGTGTGGTGAGGGGATTACGCCCAATTTGTGCCAGTGATGTTCCAGAAGCAGAGCCGGAACACAGGATAAAACCGTCCTCAATCCTGCAGGAGTCTTTGCTTCACAGACACGATAACTCACCCATCAGAACCAGAGCTGGGCAGGGCATGGTGTCACCGGAGTAAACCATTTTCCAGCCTGACTTGTGCTGCAGCGAACATCCAAAGGCGTTCTTACAGTGACGCACCACACAGGTCTGAAACTGTCAACACACACTACATGTCAGCAACACGCACTGTGCGTCAGCAACACGCACTGCGCCTCAGCAACACGCACTGCGCCTCAGCAACACGCACTGCGCCTCAGCAACACGCACTGCGCCTCAGCAACACGCACTGCGCCTCAGCGACACGCACTGCGCCTCAGCGACACGCACTGCGCCTCAGCGACACGCACTGCGCCTCAGCGACACGCACTGCGCCTCAGCGACACGCACTGCGCCTCAGCGACACGCACTGCGCCTCAGCGACACGCACTGCGCCTCAGCGACACGCACTGCGCCTCAGCGACACGCACTGCGCCTCAGCGACACGCACTGCGCCTCAGCGACACGCACTGCGCGTCAGCGACACGCACTGCGCGTCAGCGACACGCACTGCGCGTCAGCAACACGCACTGCGCGTCAGCAACACACTACATGCCAACCACATGTACTGCACGTCAAACCACATGCACATTACACGTCAACCACACACCCGTCAACCACACACACGACACGTCAACCACACACCACGCCGCGTTGCTCAGACAGGAAGCCCCTGACCTTGACCAGTTCGAGTTTGTTCAACAAGGAACGAATCAAGTCTTGAGTTCTTAACTTTGTAACTTCAGCTCCGTCCAGGAGAGCGCGAGCAGGAATCACACTGCAACAGAGAGAAGAGGCGCTGAGCCAGTGGGGGACTGGGAGAGGTTGTGTCACACAGCCTTGCTGGAAGGCCGGTGGGCATGGCAAGATGGGATAGTGGGCATCACTTGGTTCACATATACATTTAAGTGATGCCTGTGGACTGTGTCGACGTGTTCAGACACTAATCCCCCATCAGCCTTGCATTCCACATCTGAAGGTACTTTCATCCAAAAAATAACAACCACAACAACAAATTACATTTGTATACACCTTTCATGTCGGGAGGCACTGGAAAGTTAGAACCTGAGCAGTGGGTCAGGATCAGGAGGGGTGGAGGGCACTCCTTCAAGCAAAATAATTCTTGGTGGTTCAAACACTACCCACACATATGCAACACTTATCTCCCCCCAACCCCCACAATCCCCACCCTCAACTGCTTTGTTTGTATTGTGTGGACTTACTTAATGTGGCGCAGAATCTCCTGGCAATTGTCATGGTACTGTTGAAGCCAAGACATGATCTGGATTGGAGTCACAAGGAGGACCGGGCTGAACGCCTTCCCCAGAAACTTCTGAAAAGCAACAACAGGATTGGGTAGAACACAGAGCGTAGGATTCAGGGCCATCAGGAAATCTCCCTCCACCCCTTCCTGCCAGCACAGAGTTCATCTCTATCTGTATTGTATTGAACCCTGGAAACAAATGAAAACCTTCAACATGGGGTTGGGGGGGGTGGTGGGGGGGGATCAGTTTGAGGGCAATGCCCCCACCAATGCCCGTCTGTTGGTCTGTCCACTCACACAGGAAGAGGACTGTGTCTCTTTGGGGGAGGTACCAGAAGGTGATGGTTGGAGTGTACCCCAATAAAATAGGGAAACAAGTGGATGAGGGGGGAAACAAGGAAAACGTAGATGACACATTAGTTTTCAAATAATTGTACGGATCGAGCAGAATGCCTTTCATCTCAGCAACATTTCTACCCCATATCTGTTGGCAAATCTGTCCATACCAGGATAATTCTGATTCACTGCCTAATACAGGGTGAATGGCTTCTCTGAGAGCTTTGTAGTTAGTTCCCACTATTCGGCCTTTTCTCCGTTTCCTTTCACATTTTTTTTTCTTTTCCAATAGTCGTCTCATTCCCTTTAAAAGCTGTTTTTGAACAAATAGGTTTGTCGCAGCTATGACTGGTATGGACACAGCTTTGTCATGAAGTATTGCTGCAGCGTCAGGCTACACTGCAGAATGAGAGGATGCAGAGTGCATATCAATATCCACTGCAGTCAGATGCTGACATGGGCAAATCTCAGCAGGGAGAGGGCGGCAGGTGGGGAAAGAGTGGGGTGGGGGGTGAAAGAGTGAGAGCTGGCAGACTTTTCTGATTTTCTTCACTTTCTAGCACCCAGCGAGCTTGCGTAAAGGGGAAGAATGTGAACCGAGAGGAAAGTTTCATAATATTCTAATAATTAATCAACATAATAATTAATAACAACGAATTTGGTCACTCATTCCACCGCTGTTTGTGGGACTCCGCTGTGCGCGATTGGCCGCTGCGTTTTGCCCACAGATTACATAGTCACTCCACTTTACAATATATTCTGTGAAGCACTTTGAGACGTCTCATATAGGCTCTATATCAAATGCATGGATTGAGTGACCAAATATATATATTGTTGTTTTTTAAGCGAGTATTACTCATGGAAAAGTGATCCCCCAATCGACTAACCTACTTACTGCTAGGTTAACAGTGGAGTGCGGAGTGGAGAAAGCTTTCCCAATGTGTTGCCCTGCCTGGGAACCCAGGTCCTCTCGCTTGCGAGGCGAGTGCTCTAACCACTGAGCTACAGGACTCCACGAATAGATGCAGAATCAACATTTCAGTTTCTTATGTGAATCACAGGCTCTTAAGTGGGAATAAAACCTGACCACAAAACAATCAAATCACCTGTACCTCCCTCCTTCCCAGAAGAGCTAATGGTTCAGCTATTCCACCCTCTGACCTGAAAGTGGCAGCAAAGTCCCAACATGAGACAAGGACTGAGAACAGAACAAGGCGACAATTTCAGACTTAGCAAACAAATCTAAAGTCACAAGATTTATTGAACAATACATTTCACTTACCAAAGCTCGCTCTCTCTGGAGCAATACATTTAACAAGCCCTGCAAGATGTCAAAAAAAAATCATTACATAGGACGAAAAAAAAACATGGAAGAAACAGTCTGGTTAGATACAAACATTTATTACTTGGGAGGCTGGTGTGAGCATCAGATTGTAAACTATGGCCTATTACAGAGCCGAGCCCCTGCAGTCTGAATGTGCCATTGTCCCTCAAAGCACTGTTAGTATTGAAAGCATTTTTAGGAAAGGCTTTCACCCTCACTCCGTCCTCAAAAATAATAGGCTTTACGACTTTCTGTGCTTAGCACATGTTTAGAATCACAAAATGTTTACAGCACAGTTGGAAGTCATTCCAATTCATTGCAATAACATTGTGTGTGTGTTAGTGCTCACTGCCCCACGGGAGCTCCCTACTCCTCTCCCATTTCCTTATTCAGGACCCATAATCTTTACTATCTTCCCTCAACTGTTTTTCAATGCAATTCCTTTTCAAATGCCGTTGCAGACCACGCTCAGCTTCCGCAGTGCTCTGTGTTAACGCATTCCAGATTTTAACAATCCTCTGTGTTTTAACGGAGAACTCAATTTAGTTTTTGCGACAATCCTAACTTTGTGCTTGTGCGGTACCCACTTTCCAATCTGAGGAATTAAGAGTTTATTGTATTATTTACCATTCACAGCTTTGAAAACCTGTTAAGATTCCTCCGGCACCCTCCCTCCTCTGCAATGTAAAGGCAGAATGTGACTGTATAACAGCCCTGTCGAGATATTATCATCGGGAGGCATTATTGAGTAGAATGATAGAATCTTCCAGCACAGCTGGAGGCCATTCGTTTCAACGCCCCCACTCTTTCTCCGTAGCCTTGCCATTTCTTTCTTTTCAAGTAAATATCCATATCCCTTACATCTATCCACCTTTTCAGGCAGTGCGTTTGAGACCAGAATAACTCGCTGCATAAAAGAATGGAATAACACCTCCATCTACCAGCTCTACAAAAGCAGCCAAACTACACAGCGTCTACCATTCCCTAAGCTTTCCTTCCTTTACTTGCAGCTCCCAGAAGACCCAGTACAAGGACAAAAATATTCTAACAAAAACTATGCCAACAAGAAGTAGAAATCAGAAAACATTTCACACAAAACCCTGTAAGATGGAGATGAATTCCTGCAGGAAAAGGCTGTCGAGGCAGAATTGACTTGAGACTTTTTGAAGCAAGATGCATATGTAAAATTGTAGCACTGTTAACCACTCATTCCGGTGTTCACTCGCTTTCACACCCCAGCGCACCAACACCTGCAAAAAGGGCTCCCAAAGGCTTTGTAACGGCTGCCAAGTATCCCTTCCCTAATTCGCACAGAAAGAATTGATTCCGGACGCTCACCGTGTGATGGTCCGCGTGCAGGTGGGAAATAAATATGGCAACTATCTTGCAGAGAACCTCGTCCACTTCGCTGCCATAGTGACGGCACAGCTGTCCGAAGGTCCCCTCGCCACAGTCTAACAGCACAGATCGGGTCGTGCTGTAATCACAAGGAAATGACTGTCAGGAAGGAGGCTTTGGCTAAATTGTTCATGGTATCACCTCCAGGGCAGAGCGCTGAGCACTTGAGGCCCACTTGCCCGAGTCTAGGTTAACACACTCGCTTGCGAAGCGTGCGCTCTGATCACTAGGCTACAGGACTCTAGACATTAGTTATCTAGACATTCAGCAAATGCAGGACTTACTCGATGTTTAGAATGATGGAGCTAACATTGCGGATTTTCATTGGGATGGCAGATCCGGTTCCTAGGAAAACCACCTCTGGGTATTTGTCAACTTGCCCTGCGGAAAAAAACAACGGGAATAGAAGTCAGCAAAAATGTCGGACGGCATCGAGGAAAGCAACGGATATTTGCTGAGCACATCCTCCAGAACGAAATGTAGAGATGAACAAAAGCATAGAAACAAACATGTGGTGGTGGAGAGAGAAAAGGACAAGAGGCTAAATTACCAGCCATAGATGCTCGCAACCTGCCCACTACTATGTGCACCCACCCACCCATTATTGGGAATAGCTCCAACAGGCTGTACATTTGGAGAATGAGATTTAGGGAATGGAATCACACTGTGCATCACTGTGCACTGAAACACCCTATGAGGAGCATTCACACAACTGCTGAACAGAATACAAGAGTGAGGAAAGCAACTAAACACAGTGTTTTCACAGCTATAACAACCCTCCCAGAAGAGCTGCCGATCTATCAAAGGTCGTCCTCACTTTACCTGTGGGATCTGCCAAAGCGCTTTTGCATTCTTCAACACGCTCCAGGAAGCCTGGGATTTCTGTCGCCTCTTTAATAAACTCGTCCGTGTCAGCGACTACCACAGCATCTCTGTGCGAGAAGCAGCGAAAAACAGTGTTCAATGCAGTCGGCAGATTTCTTTCAGTCTCAAGGTTTGCTCCCTTGTCTGTGGCGCGGCAGCGAGTTGCATCCTGACATCCTTTACAGCGTTTAGCTCATTCTTATTCCGCAGTTACATTCAAGTCCAATACTACTCCCCAAAGACCGGCCAAAGTGAGTTGGAACAAAAAGTATAAGCCAGGCTCCCAACTGCTCCCGGTGACTGGAAGCCACATCTCTTTGCCTCCAGCAATACAAACAGGGGATACGATAGACTAAAGACCTGGCCAATGACTCCAAAGTGCCCTTTGTTCTCCAGGAAACAGCTAAGACTTGGGTAAACTGACCTTTGCCACTCAAACGTGGGCCTCAGCTGGTATTTGAGCAGACATTCTCCTCGGACAATCGGCACAGTCAGGGTGGCCAACGGCTCCTGGAACCAAAGACAAGCACATCACCATCAGCATCTGTCCTGCAAAGGACTGGTCAGATTCACTTCCCAGACACGGCTACTGAAGGTCATCTTAAAAGCTTGTGGATGCACTTTGCGAGGCTCATCCCTGATCAATCAGTTTGGTTTAGTTTTGATTGTGGCTTTGTTCTCCTCGCCTACCTCTGTGTGAAAGGTTTTCAATGTGGGGAAGATTTTGCTTGTTCATCGCGCCACACGTCTTCCGCAATCGTCAACATTCAAGTTAATTTCCCTGAATATTTTGACAATTCCCTACCTCATCAACCTACTGCTCAGGGAATCCTTTAAAGGTTTGAAGAGCCAAAGTTTCTATCTGAAAAGTTCTTGGCAATTTCTTCTCCATTCCAGGAGGGGGTACGAGGGGAATAGCTGGCCACAGCCCAGCCTCATATTAAAATGCCCTCTTTGTGAACCGTGTCTCTCTCTCCTCCTCTTGCTCTGGTTTTACTTGACATTGTTTGCCTTTCTGCCCCACACTATCTGGAACTCCATCCCAGAGTCCCTTTACCTCGCCTCTTCACTTGCTTCTTCAAGGTCCATGTTTGACCATGTCTTCAGTCATCTTCCCCCTCTCCCCCACCCACCACTGCTCAAATCCAACCCCCAACTCAGGTGTAAACCCTGGACTGTCCAGCACCTTGGGACAACCTCCTGACATGAAAGTCACTATTTGAATGCAATTTGTTGTTGTTGTTGTTATTGCTACTTATTATAAACCATGATCTTTGCCCAGAAACGTATGAAACCCCCAAAAATACTTCCAGCATTTATATAACAACAACCTGCATTTATATAGCCCCCTCTACACAGGCTAGCCTCCCAGAGAACTTGAGACACTTTAAGATGCTGAAGGAGTGATGTAGGCTAAATAGTCCTGCTCTGCCCACCCCTACTGGGAAGTTAACAGGGTCTGCTTCGTCTCCCAATGTACGGTCTTCTTGGTAAAATACATCCCTTCTCTTGGTCACCTCCCCAATGTGCTGGGTTCTTCCACGCCCTATGCTCCAATACTGTCTAGACACCAAAGATAAAATACAAAACCATTGACTACATTCACTCTATTTGTTTTTAAATAGACTAAAACAGCGTCAATCAAAAATTAAAATAAATGTAAATATATATGTGGCAGAATATTAATATTAATTTTGCCCACAAAATAGACAGTGAATTCACTTTACAGCACTTTGAGACGTCGTGACGACATGATAAGGCACTGTCAAATGCATTATTATTATTATTAAAAGGCTACAAGAATGCATCTGTGTATCTATTAAGCCCTCTGAGATTCAGCCCCATATGAAGTGTGTGATATAAATGCAAGTTATTGTTGATGATGTTATGTATTAAGTTCCACATTAGCTGGACTTCTTGGAAGGAATGTTTACACAGCTACTCACACACAACAGTGCTGTCATTAGCTGTTCTTCCACTGCAAATCACAGGCTAGTCCACTCCCTCCGCTCAGCAGGCTCCAGTCTTCTCCACATCCCCTGCCCAACCCAGCCCCACCACCAGCAGTCGGACCTTCAGCCTCTCTGCCCTCATTCTTTGGAATTCCATTCCGTAGTGCCTTCGCCTCGCTCCCTCCCTTGCCTCCTTGAAGGCTCATCTCAAGACCCTCCTCTTCTACCCGCGCCTAGCCCTCCATCCCTCATGATCCCAACCCCCAACTCGGGTGGAAATCCCTAACTATCCAGTGCCCTGGGACATCCTCACGATATGAAAGGCGCCGTGTAAATATCATTTGGTGCTGTTGTTGTTGGTCCAACCAAACTCTGAAAGGCCGGTTTAATACAGGCCCAGGATTGCTTTGCCTCATCAGGTCCAACCACGAAATGCATAGATCTGACCATTGTAGTTCCACCACCCAACAGGACCTGTCCTTGTCAGTGTTACTGTGAACGTCATCTACTGTTTCGCTCAGTGTAAGCAAGTCGAATGCTCTTTTGTTTGTTTTCAAGTTGTTTTCACATAGTTCGGTTACTCTTGGAAATGCAATCGCTCTGAAAGAATGTATTAAAGTTCCATGTCGTCACAGAGCAAACATTTGAAACATGCATTGATGGAAAACATGAAGAACACAGACTAGCAACACAAAAACCTCTCCTGAAACATACGTTTAGCTGTCCATTCAAGACCCAGAGCAGTGAACCTTATAGCAGTGAAACACTTTTTTTACACTCAGTTTAGAGCTGCATCGCGCTGTAAATCTGTACCTGTTGGGAGCTTGAAACTGGTTCAGTCACTGAGAACGTTCCTTCCTCCGATGGGATTTGGAAGAAGCACTCTCTCTCTCTCTCTCTCGCTCTCATCTCTTCCTGAGTTTTCAGGCTCTGTACATTAACAAAAAGAAGGCCTGCTCAATAAGCTGATCTCAGACACTTACAGATTTTCAACTGTGAAGGTAAAGCTACAGTGTGTTGAAGGTGTAATATCTCACCCCTCTGTACATGAAGTGTCTTAGGGCAGCCCTTCGTGTGAACCCTGGGGAAACATCCTGCGGAGTTCAGCTTACCCTAACTCTGACTGGATGGGATCTCAGGGGATCGCAGTTCGTGTATAAACAACACAGAGGCCCTGACCCAGTAAACACTCTTGCCCTGTTTATCTTGGCTCACGCACCATCTCTGGTGTGGCCAGTTCTATGTACAGCGGCTGGTGCAGAGCGGAGCTGTTTATGAGTTGTGTTCTCGTGTTAAAGAGAGCAGCCGAAATGTAGAGATGACAGAGTTATTATGCTGGTAAGGCAAATAAAAAAAACGGTCATTCAATCCACGGGTGTTTGTAGGGACGCTGCCGGGCGCAAAAATTGGCTGCTTCGTTTTGTTTCACCCACAAAATACACAGTCACTGCACTTCACAGTACATCCTGTGAAGCACTTTGAGACGTCTCGAAGACGTGATAAGGCGCTGTATCAAATACCAGGATTATTATTATTATTATTAATTCCCCCTTGGCCTCGCTTCAAAATACAACAGCAACAACAGCTTGTATTTACATGCAGTGGCCTTCACGCTGGACGGCAACTCGGAGCAATTTAATACCAGAGTCCGGTTGGTGCCCGGGGTTTCCATCCGGTTGGGAAAAGGGTAAAGGTTGTCCATTGTCCTATCGGTCCCACCACGGCGGCTCTGTGTCAGGACAGTGGTGACCGAAAGTGCAGTAAAACAGCAATTAACAATAACAAAAGTCCTTGCATGTGACCCAGTGCCTCATCATGTGGTTGAGACGTCTCTCAAAGCGCTTCACAGAATATACTGCAAAGTGAAGTGACTGTGTATTTTGTGGACGAAACGTGGCAGCCAATTGCGCACAGCAGCGTCCCCACAAACAGCCGTGGGTTGAGTGAACACTCGTGGCTGAAGAGATGAGGGCAGATTCATTCAGTTTGGGATGGTGTAAGTTAATCCAAGTTCGTCACCAAAAAAGGGATAGTGCAGACCTGAGTGGGTTATATAGAATCCAGTCATTCCATGTCATGTTCCCAGATTGTGCTTGGCTTAAAGGCTGCATTTTCTTAAACAAGTTTGACAACGAGATGAACTTTTAATCCGTCTAGTGACACAAACCGAAAATTCTCTGGGTTACATTCACCAGGACCACTGGGAGGCTTTCTTAACTTGTCAGGGTCTCTTGTTGAAACATACATTCAGAGCTGGCAAATACCCCTCCCTCCCTCCTGTGGAATATCTGTTCATTTTCTAACTGCAGTTGACACCTCAGTCAGTCGATGAACTAAAGTGGTGAAATCCAATGTTTGTTGTGGTTTAAAAGCCTTAATCTAACCCTCCATCTCTTTCCATTACTGAGCACGGAGCTGGAGAAAGTCAGACCATTGAGGAACGTTTGATTACGCACTGTGCCTATGTACCGCCAGGTGCCAAGTGAACTGATTAATATGATCAAACTCCTGATTGTTACAGGGAAGCATGTTTCTTTTTATAGACTGCCTATGGTGGGGGGGGTGGGGGGGGTGCTGGTTGATGCCAATAATTCCCGCAGCAGAGCTGTTCTGCCCTGTACTGGAGAGTGACAGGACACTCACACCTCTGCTCCGAATTCTACACCATTATAGAAACTACAATACAGGAGGCAGTCCCACCTTGGTGTCAACCTCACTCAAGTTGGTAGCATTCGGGCCTCCGAGTTAGTGGGTTATGGGTTCATGCACCAAATAAAATTGGTCACTTAAAATTGGTATTTGTGGGGCACTGCTGTCTGCACATAGGCTGCCGCTTTTGTCTACAAAAAAGCAGTCACTACAATTCCTGTTAAATCTTGTGAGGCGCTTTGAGACATCCGGCTGACGTGATACGGCATCATGCAAGGATTATTGTTGTTATTTAATGAGCCTAAACTAGTCCTGGAGCCAACCGTTCTATCCCAATTCCCTGCTCTTCCCCCAACCTGACCCTTTTACATTGTTCTTTCAAATTGAAATGCTTAAATAAATGGTCTCAGCTTCAAGAACTACTTACGGCAAAACACTGTACGTTCTAGCAACCGTCTGCTCGAAACAATGCCTCCTAAGTGTAACTGATTGTTGTGACTGCACGAATCACTGGCTCAAGTGGCTGTTCAGAATATTCCCCAAAGTGGCTATTATTTATGTACAAGATTCCACAATGAGCATCTTTGATATTAAGCGACAAGGACATTGCAGCCAAACCCAATCCACTCCACCCCCAAAGTCCACGCACGGACCTCTTCCAGCCTTGGTTTCCTTTCCCGTCCTGGACCTTTGAGATGCCTGTCCTCGTCTCCCTGGATCAGCTAAGCAGCACACACCAACGCTGGGACCTTCCAGGTCTGTATGGCCCAGCTTGACACAGAGTAAATGCGCTGGTGAGATATGTATTTTGTAGTCTTTTGGCGAGGTCTCGGGCTATATTTTATTTGGAAAAATTTTAAACTACCAATTTATGTCAGAAGAATAATCAAACTGCTCGTAAATCTGGTATTAGTGAGCGAATGAGAAGTCCGGTGAGTTCACAGTGACATTCTACATCAAACAATCACTTTGCTTAGGCAACTGTATCGTTTACTCTTTGATCGCCAAAGGGAAAGACGTTTACAGCTACATCTGAACATACACTTGAGTTGCTCAATAATTCGACCAGAATGGTCGTGGGATTTTTGGCTGTGTTCGTGGCAGACCCATCCCTCAAAAAGCAGAATTCATTTACAATGATAATTCTTGCATTTGATATTGCGTCTTTCGCTTTCTCATCTTTCATTCTCAAAGTGTTTCACGGGATTTACTGCAAAGTGTAGTGACTGCTTATTTCGTGGGCACCCAATTTGTGTGGAACAATGTCACACGAACAGCCACAAAGCGAACGAATGCAATACGATACAAATTTACACTCAAGGTGCCTTTTCATCTTGGGCGAACGTCCCAAAGCCCGGCACAGTTGAGGGTTTGCAACCGAGCTGGGGGTTGGATTTGGGAGGGATGGGAGAGGAGGGCGGTGGGAAGGGGAAAGAGGGATGGGTGGGAAGATGACCGACGACGCAATCAAAGAGGAAGGTCTCGAGATTCAAGTGAAAAGACGAGACACGTCCCAAAAAATTTGCAAGTGGACCATCGAGGAACTCTGGCTGACTATCTGCTGAGACCACTCAATCGGTTACATCGGTCGATGCAACTTCTTATCTTCAACGCATTATAAACCGGAGCCGATGGTTTCCTGCGTCGACCGTTACCGTGACCTCGTTTTTACGCCCTTAAATCAACGATCCCTTCGTCTGCCTGGCGCGCCACGACACCCTCCAACGAAAAGCATTCCTGACTTCTAAGCCAACACTTAAATGGTCGGAACCACTGCGGGAAAACACATGGCCCGCAGTACCAGCGCAGTCCTGCTGGCGGTACTGTTGCACAATTCCATTACTTCCTGGTCTCTTGATCGCCTCCAGGT